CTAATGACAAAGTTGGCATCCAAGCTACTCCATATGGCCTTATAGGCTACCCCGAAGGGAATGATAATAGTGGACGACCCACCGGCAGGGTTAGTGCCGGCTTGCTCCTGCCACCTCCTAGCCAGCCCTCTTCTCTGCACTGCGCCGTGAGACAGATGCAGCTCTCCTGGTGTTCTGAAATGCAGAGTGTGTGCCCCTTAAATACCCCCAAAAAATGATCAAATTTGGAAATATGTGCATTGGGCCCTTCTAATTGCGCTCTAGACTGTGTTCTGCTGTCTGTTTACTTAATTGCGGTCTATAGCCTGGCCTATGTGCAAATTGCGCACCTCAGAGGGCCATATGACGAAAAATTAATATAGTGGGAGAGTGTGTACAAGGCATGTGCAGCAGGCACTGGAGGAAGACCTGCTGATGTAGGGAGGTGTGTGCAGATGGGTAGGTGAGGTAGACAGCTTGTGTCTTGGCACTTGCATGGCATGCTTGAGAAATGCACTCTTGTCTACTTCTGATGTGTCTCTATCAGCATACATATTGCATATGTGTAGTCTGTGTATAGTATGTACATATGTGTATGTATATCATGTGTGGTATGTGTGTATAGTTCTGTGCTGGTGTGCGCATAGGTTTTCATGTCTGGACAGAGCCTTTTTGTTCTTTATGTGGCTGGCGTGTGATGCGGAGTTTGTTCAGCTTTCTACATTGCGCTGAGTGTTTGCTGAGAGTGGTTCTTCAAAAAGTGCAGTTTTCTGATTTTCGTGTGTCTTTATCTTTTTTTTAGAAGAAACAAACCCTTCTGAACAATGATGGCAGTGCGAATATTGTAGAGTTTATTTTTGCAAAGATGTAGAAGAAAGGATAATAAGAAGACATAGACAGGAGAATGGAAATATAGTACAGAAGAGGTAGATTAGAGATGGAGGGTACGGGATAAATATATAAGACATGTGCGTATGCAGCTGAATGGATAGAAAATGTACATCGGGTTATAGTGCATTGACGTGCCTAAAAGGGGGCGACGAGCTAGTCTGGAGATAGTAGTCTAGAATAGAGAGTGTAGTTGTCAAGGAAGTTTTATTATCGTAATTCTGCGGATGTCTTTGGTGACTGTGACCTTTTGTGTAAGTGTTGAATGTACTTCTTCTTTCTGACATGTGCCGCGCATTCAGTATTGTTTTTACTATCTTACTATTTTATAGTCAGTCTCTGATATACTAGGAATCGTCTAGAAGTTGAATTTATCATTGATGCACTTTGGTTACGGAATTAATGAAAGTGGGAATTTTACCACAATTATTATTTCTTAGCAGAAGCTCTTTCTTCAGAATAAATTTATTACTTATAATGGACTGTATATGAATAACAAGAATAATCAAGTATAAGCACATATACATGTTTAATAAGTGGTTAAAGTGCGCAATTAGAAAGAGTATTATACGGTGTCTAATGTATTTATATCTAGATACTCTGGTAGTTTGTGCTTTTGTATAGGTCATTTATAAGCACACTGTCCTCTAGAAGGTATATCTTGCTGTCAAATGTGGCAACTGGATGCTTTGTCTTCTGCAGTGCCATTAATGACTTCTGTCTCTTTATGATGTCGCATGTCCACTTTGTGTACTTCGGGTCTAACGACATAATTCTTTCATCATTTTTCAGCCATGCCATTAGCTCTGTCTTCATTTCATTTGCTTTCTCTGGGAAATACTTCATGGAAATATCCAGCATATTCAAGCCGTCTTTTCTGACGTCAATCACACTGCACGTCAGCATGGTCTCTAAATATAGCATAATATACTCCTCCCAGCTCTTTAGCTCTGCTGGAAGTGCTTTCCCCAGGAATTTATGCGTAATTCGATAGAAGAGTGCACGAACTTCCTTCTTTTCGCTCTTGCACATCTTCATTATCTCTCTGATCATTTCTTCAGAGATGCACTCTAGTGCCTCTGCCTCTCTTGCACCCCTCATTCTAACTGATGACGAAGAGTGCCTCAGCATGCTCAGTATCTTTACCATTTCGTCCGTTATTCTTTTTGAAACTCCAATGGATCTTGATCTTACTGCAAGTGGTTTTATTACTTTTGGCTTAAGCTTGTACCTCTTGAACATACGGCAGATATTTTTCTGCAAAGACAAATAGAAATTGAATTTTTCTGCAGCTGAGAGCCAGTGAGAAATTAAAGCAGATTTAACACAGAAGAAACCAAATGAACAGATTATTCCAGAGAATGCACTAAAAGATGCACTAAAATTACTACATTTGAACTAATAGCAATTTCAAAGGACCCAAATACTTGTAGTCAACCTGTCTTCTGAAACTATGTTTTCCATTGAGGTGCCTTCTATGCTCTGCACTGGCACTTTTCAAAGCAGTGACTTTTCAGTAACTATATGGCTCTACTACAGTCTAAATTAATTGTTGAAAATTTAAGTATATTTTTCTACTGAAAACCCCTTGATTTTAGCTTTGAGTGAAATATGCTGGATGCTTATTGGCAGAGTAGATGGTAAAATGAAATTATCACACAGTCTATAATAGTGTATATTTTGGAAAGTAATTGATAAATACAGGGTGGTAGGGGGAAGAGACTGGCTGCCAGACAGGGACGCAGAAACAATTCAAAGCCGTAGAGCATTGGACGTAATGGTTTTTATTATTTTTAGCTGCAGCAGTCTGGCACGCCTTTTATTTATTGCAGTGATAGAATGCATAGTGAAGAATGTTAGATTTATGATCTGTGCTTTGTAAACATGCATATGCTCTGGATGGTTTATTCACCTAAATATTTCTGCTATCTAGATCTACGTTATGTACCGATCTTACTTTGTATTTTTGCAGTACATTAGTGCTCTAAGGCATCTGCAAAAGCATTCAGTTATATCTCTAATTAGGAAGATATTTCTGGGCTGGTAATTCGGTATATCTTAGTGTCATTGTATATAATTATGTAGTCTGGGTGGTGAAGGTGCTTGCAGTTTGCGATTTCAAAGATTCCCCTGAGTATTCCATCTTTTAGCGTAAATATTTTCACCTGCTCTGCGCCAATTGCAATAATATATTCCTTAAAAACAAAGACGTAGTTAACTGCCATAAGCCACAGAAAGACTATATTTGTCTTTTTTCTGGATCCGTACTTGTTAATGTAGAACCCCACATCAGAGAGTGCCACAAGATACAAATTGTCATCTATTTTGGAAATGGAAAGAGGTTTTGACTCTGTTTTGTCAACGTATATTGCTATTGTTTTGTCTAATGGGTCAAGCAATTCCTGCGTGGTTAGGTCCACTAAATCAATTAGCTCAAAGTCATTTGAAGAAAGAACCATATTCTTTCCAAAGAATGAGACGTCCATTATGTCACCTGCAATGTACATCCTACGGTGCGTTTTTTTTGTTAAGTATCCAGTTTGGTCTGCAGTTATTTTGAAGATAAACAGCTCTTCAGAGCCTAAATATCCTATCTGTTTTGCAATTAAAAGAATCTCATTCTCTGTTTCGCCGTTTTTAATGAATGATATATCTGTGCATCCTATGAGCTTTCTCAGTTTTGGAGGAGACTGCTGGATATCCTGACTTATCACAAAGCTATAAACTGCTTTTTCTATTCTGACAAATACATTCGAAACCTTCTCATTGTACACTACATCCATGCATGGCTTCTTGTCTACTATCCTGGTTCTTTGATTGTTCAGGATTACCTCCAAGTACTCTTGGCATCCAATAACTATATCCCCGATACCACTCGATGACCATTCTTCAATTAAGCTTGGGCTAATTAAAGAAAGGGAAATATCTTCGCCTTCCACCAGATTCTCCATTTCCTCTACTGTGAATTTGTAGAACTTTGACTGCTCTGCCTCTTTTATATCCTTAATGACTTGGACAATTTCTTCTGCCACCCAGCCCTTGCACTCTGCAAGGTACTTTTTATCCCCGCATGATATTTCTAGCTGAATCTCCTTTTTGTCTGGGCTTTCCACAATGCATGCCTCCACTCTGTCTGGTGCCATGTATTCATCAAGAAGCGTTTTTACGGTTTTCTTGTAGATTCCTCGAATTTTAATGATGCACTCGATTAAGAAAACTGCATTATCAAGGATCACAATTGAAACTGTTTTTCGGCTTAGACCAGAAATAAGTGATATTTCTTCTTCCATTCTTATTAGCTTTCTATTTTTCTGTATAATTCCTATTGAGAAAGCTGGTCTGTGCTTGTAATTGATCTCGTGCGATAGATGGAAAAGCGTAAAGTACTCTGTGGAATATTGCACATTCTGGTTCACGTGCAGGTTTATCTGTTGAATATTTGTTATTTCCTCTGAAAGTGCTGCTTCTTCCTCCGGCAAGGCTTGCTTTAATATCGCCTTAAATAGCAGTGGGTATCTGGTTATTTTCTGCATAGGGCGCATGATAAAGTGCGAGCACCCCAGATGCAATCTGTTGATTCTATGGAGAACATCAGATATTTCTGCATCAAAGTTCTTGTTGTCTTCTATGAGAATTTCCATTGTCCCTGTTGCCTGCGGCACCCTTCCTGCATATTCTATGTATATGCTTGAAATAAGTGTCTTTCTTATGCTGTATCCCTTAAGCACCTCTATAAGCAACTCTGGCGTAATGTCCAGGCGCAGAAATACATCCTTCGGGGTGTTTCTTGCTATTTTCAGGGTCTTCATGAAATTTATAAGAATTGCGTCGTGCAGCTGGTATATGCTATCTGAGTTTCCTATTACCTTAGACAGGAAAACCTGTTTGCTGTAAACATCCAATGTTGTCGTATTAACAACCAGATGTTTTATGGTTCTTGTCCAGAGAACTAAGTCGTACACGTACTCGGACTCAGACTCAAAAAGCTCGTATATTGCTTGCATTCTCTTCTGGCGCTTTTCCAGATTATTTTTATCCTTGTTTGGGTCCATGGCATCTGGCATTTCTTTCTTTGTTTATTTACTTTTCTTTTTCCTTAAGAACTAAAACCTTTTCTCCCGTTGCATGGTCTGTTTTAATTACGCATATTTTCTTTATAATATGCCGAAACACCTCCTTTGACTTTGGGTTAGCCTTAAATCGCATTTTAAACTTTTCGATTAAATTTTTAATCGGCATTGGGCCTGCGCATAGATGCATTTTCACATCAACCTCTGCTATTTCCTTTTGCTTATCCTCTGACTCTGACTCATTTCCTGACTCTGACTCGTACTCTTCATAGTTCTTTACAAGCTTTTTTAAGTCTTTTCCTGCTGTATCCAGCCTCTTCTTCTTTTTCTCAACCCGCTCTATGTCAATTTCGCCATCATCATCGTCAAATACCTCTTTGTACTCGAGCTCATCCTCTTTGTACTCCTCCACTGCCCTTTTGGATGCCTCTTTGTCGGACCCTGCGTCTTTTGATTTTCTTTGCATCTTTTCCTCTGCCTCTTCTAGGGTGAGTGTTTCATACTGGATCTTTGGGGAGAACTTGTACCACTTCCCAATTCTGTGCAGCTTTATTTCATTCTTGTCCTTTATCATCGCATAGTATGCACTTTTTGACTCCTCAGTTACCTTTATTTGTGTTTTCCTTCCAATAAAAGACCTTTGCTCGCTGTCCTCCAGCAGCCACGGAACTCTTTCCTCTTTATGCATTCTTATGTCTTCTGGTGCCTGGTACTCCAGAATCTCTGCTTTCTTTCGCGTGATCTTTGCAGGGTTCGCAGGTTCCTGCTCTTCGTCTTCTATCACCAAAGAAGGATCTCGAACAAGTTTCAAAGGCGGCACTAGGTCATCACCCATCCCGTGTATTGCTGCAATATTTCTCTCTATCCCACTGTTCACTAGAACAACTCTGTGCTTCATAAAAAAATTAGCACGTCAAAATAAATGAAGGCCATAAGAGAAAGATGGCTGTCCCTTTTAATGCCACCTGAGGAATTATCAGCAGAAAAGATCGCATCCAATGACAGAGTGTACAAAGAATACTTAGAAGAGATCTTTGTTCCTTTGGAGGTTGTTGATCTAATCTATAAAGACGTAGAAAGAACCAAAATTATCCCAACAAATGGCCTTTCCAGCAACTACCTTAATACAACAAGAGACTATGAGAAGGTAAGTGAAATAATTGCCAGAATTCTAAAAGTATTCGCATACACAAATAGGTCTATTGGGTATGTCCAGGGAATGAATATTATATGCTCCATTGTCTACTATGTTATCTCATATGATGAGCAGCCTTATAGTGAGTCTCTTGCATATTTCTGTTTTTTCAACCTCATGGTGGACATTGGGGACTGCTTCTCAGAGAAAATGGACATCACAGAGACAGGAATATTTGGGCAGCAGAGAGTAATACTGAGGATTCTTAGGAAAAAAGACCCTTCTTTATGTGCATGCATACAGAAGAAGAACTTATTTGGAAAGAGTGCCTTTCACATCCGGTGGATGGTGCTTCTATTCTCAGCTGAATTTGAGCTAAAGGACACGCTTGCCGTATGGGAGCGGTTCTTTCAGGAGAGACCTAGAAGAAAAATGGTTCCTTATTTCTGTGCTGCAGTGCTAGTTATTCTAAGAGAGATTATAATTAAGCAGGATGAGATTCGTGTGATAGGCACACTTGAGGTAGCAAAGATCAACCCATACGAAGCACTTGCCATTGCAGAGGAGTTCCTCAGGGATATTCCGCACGCTACTTCTGGCTAGTGAAATTCTGTGTGTCCTGGTGTACGGAAATAAGAGAAGAATTTTAATATGCAAATATTACTAGCAAACAAATGAGCAATCTAATGCCAAAAGAGCTTGAGCTGGCAATTGACTATCTTTCATCAGAGTGCCATCTTGACACACTTGAGGCCCTAAGCCAAACAAGGGACGCATACCACACCATGCGGAAAACCATAAAAGACACAGCACTAGCGGGGGATATTGAGGGAATGTATGAAATGATTAACAAAGAGTATCCTGAGCTGCTAAAGAATCACCCGAATGTAGTATCGCTTATATTCAGCCAAATATTCATAGAGTATGTGCGAAGTAATAAGCCTGAGAAGGCACTTGAGTTTGGGCGAAAGTCCATCCACATTGGCCAAGATATTGCAACCAACCAGGAACTCTTTCTATTGCTGGCATACAAAAACCCAGAGAAGTGTGATGAACTAAAAGGCCTAATGGACATACAAAGAAGACAGATGATTTTTGAGTTGGTGGACGGTCTGATAAAAGAGAGTAAACAAGGAAGAAAAGCATCTCTACTGGAGTACGCCCACAAAATAATTCAATACTGCGAAGCAATAGATAATGAAGAATAAACTTAGGCTATATGTACTTAACTTGCATAGTTTTGGATCTTACACATCAAGCATACGTAAAATGTAGCATCTTTTAGTATTTATTCTGCCTGGAAACATACTCAAGTTTCAGAGTATAATTGTTTCTGATTAACAGGCTAATTGGCTAATTAATTTTAACTCTGGCATGATCTACATTTAATTGAAATTTTATTGTCTAGTATCCAGAGATTTTTGCTGCAATAAAATCCATGCGTTTCTACCCAAGGGCCTGGCATCTCTAAGATCTAAATATTTCTAGAATAATTTAGAGAATTGGTAATCAGAGCACGCCATGAAGAAACCATAAAGGAATGTGTAAAAATAAGCACATGCTAATAAACACACTCAAACACAATACACTCTGTTTTATACTATTATTCTCTGGCATGAATGATTCCAGCCTGAGAAGTGTCATATAAAAGCACCTCTTTACACTTTATTGTAGTATTCTTGGGTGTTTCAGCCTTAGATACTAGTTCTGAACAATAAATATACCAGGTCTGCCCGTATGCAGTGGTCTTTCATTTTAGAGGATTTTAATATTTTCTGTGCTCCTCTTCAAAAATATAAAATACAAACATGTTTATTGGAATGTTCCTACATGAAGGCTTTAATTTTCTATTTTTCAGAAAACGCAGAGAAGAAAAGCAAGAATAAAATACAAGCTGCCAAAAAGTCTCAAACAAAGACAGAAAAACAAATATTTCTTAAAAAGAAAGCCCTCATAGTTGTAAGAGACTTATTTCTCTTCCCACTCACATATATACAAAATCTCATAATCTGTTTATTTATGCACTTGGCATAGCTAATCATTAAGGATCTTATTAAGCCAGTATAAGCCAAATGTACTAGCACACTTTTTGGTTTCAGATTGCAGTTTCTTAGCTTTCATATACTGTTTCATATCACATGATGCATAATTCTAGCATAAGCTTGTTTAAGATGGGTTTTTCCAGAGAAAACAGCTACAACTTTAGCCATATGTATTAAAAGTACTTTCGATTAAAGCTCAAGTTCTTTTTATTTTTTGTTCACTAGACTTCTCGCTAGTGCTGAACTACTTACAAGCTTGCCAGTTTTATTATAGAAATCACTTAATCCACTATAGATTTTAGAAGAAATAGAAAGCATATTTTCTGGTATTAGGCTTCTGTAATTTCTTTTCCATAATACTTTATTGAAGAAGAGTAGAATTTCATTGAAATAGTATTTTTTATTTCGATTAACGTTGTTTCTAAGCAGATTCATGGTAGAATCTTCAATCCTTTTAGAAAAATGTGCAAATAAAGATTAATTCATCTGCATGGTGATAAAAATGTAATTATCATGCATTTTAACACAATTAAATGTAATGAAAATCTATTTAACCATTATACACGAGCATTCAAAACTCAGGATATTTATAGATTAGTTCGCTTTAGTATTAGAGTAAAGGACCTCCTCAAATTCTAAATGTTTATACAGTGATAGTCAAATAAAATTTAGAATATTTTTCCTGCTTTCTTCTTTCTTAGAATTAGTCTGGCACTTCGAATAGGACGGACAAAAGGCAAAATATCTGGCGCGCTATAGAGAGCAATATTCCTGCAAAGAAATAGTAGTCTAGAACCTACAGAGTATTTATTTTGGATGTTTTATTCGTATATCTTTGCATATGCGCTGTGGATATTTCTTTTTGTACTTGGTTTGTTCTTGGTAATTGGCATATACTGCTATTTCAATAGTCTCACATGATTACATAGTGCTTCTTTGATTTGCAGATTTTCTGGTGGTATTTTCCTTTATACTAGGAGTCTCTTGGCCTCGTATCTAAAGACAAGTAGGAGTTTTACTGCAGCAAGGCTTAAGAATTTTTAGTGTATTTCTTTCTAGATATCTTGACTAGAACTATTATGAATAGAAAAGTTATGATTTATGCTAAATAATCTATTTAGATATTACAACTAGAAAGAATACTCTTCATCTCAAGGTTTATAAATTTCTGCTCTCATCTAAGAGAATAGTATACTATTATGAACATCATTATTGGTAAGCAAAGTAGTTTAGTTATGACTATTTTACGACTTTTTCAGAAATTGAATTTCTTGGAGTATTTCTAAAATTACTACTTTCACTAAGTATTGCAGGCATTTTAAGATCTCTTCAACAGAAGAAGCATATCTTAAATTCATGGTTTCATTCTGCTTCTATTTTTAAGAAAGTTTTTAAGCAGTTATAGACATCTTTAGCCTTAGAATCATTTATCTCTACCATTTTCTCCATTTTAACTAACTCTTTAAACACCTCATCATATTTTTCGATATAATCTAGATTTTCAGCAGTTGTTTTAGATAAAATGTCCTGTAGTTCGGAAATTTTGTTGTAGGCATCTCTATTATCTCTAGATAAGTCGATTATCTTTTTTTCTTGGAGTATGCGATCATCATGTAAGAACTGTTTTGTCAATTTAACATGTCTATCCAACGCTGCACATCTGTCTTTAAATTCACGTCTTCTCGCTTTTTGGTTTCTAGCATCTCGAGTTTTTTTTTCATTTTGTTGTTTCAAATATTCAATTTCGACTATTAGTTCGTTTATGGTTTCGTCTTTTCCCTCTATAAATGCATCGTGATCACTTTTATTAATTAACATCTTCTTATTCAGCAATAGATCTATAACAGTATCAATATTATTTTTTTTTACATAATTAAGTAATTCATCTAATTTTTTCATATTAATAGAATTTTCGTCTAAAATATGTTTAATATTAGAATCTATATATGGTAACATTTTTAAAAAATCGTCAGAACTTTTCACAGAATCAGTTACTTCTTTAAGAATACTATCTGAAGTATTGGCTTCTTCAGCAAGTTTTTTTTCAATTTCACTTTTTAGATCTATTGGAATGCGTTCTTTTATAGAATACAATATATCCAGAATAGCTTGTTTAAATTTTTCATCTTCTCTTTTTTGTTCTAGTTTTTCTTCTTGCAGTATTCTTTCTCTTTCTTGCTCTAATCTTTCTTTTTCTTGCTGTAATACTAATCTTTCTTGCTCTAATACTAATTGTTTTCTCTCTTCTTCTAATCTTTCTCTTTTACTTTCTTCTATATCTAATCTTTGTTCTTCTAATATTTTTTCTTGCTGTTTTGCTATTTTTTCTTGATATTCAAGTATTTTAAGAAGTTTTTGTTTTTGTTTTTCCTTTTCTAATCTTTCAAGGTCATTTTCACCTGTTCTTGTTTCTTCCCTTATTCCATCATTATATTCACTAGTATCCTCACTAATATATTGACTATTATGTCTTTTAAATTCTAGGAAAAGTGCTTCTTCATGTGAAATATTTCTTCTTGAATTATTTTGAGTGGGCACTTTGCTTCTTACTATATTTACCTGTGGGCTAGCACTTATATATACAATATTCTCAGTATCACCCATCTGGTCAAGAGACCTATTATTTGAAAACATTTGTGCACGATTTTCTTCAATCTTATTCTGGTAATCTGCATTGCAAGTCATTCTATATGGCTGTGGCTGTGATTTGTAGATTATATTTTCTATTCTCTTTCTAAGAACTTCTTTCGACTTTTTGTTGTATAGGCTAATTAATTTTTTACTGTCTGTGTGTGCTCTTTTTCTATTGAAAGTGGAACTGTAGTCTTCCTGTGGAAATTGCATATTTGAATTTTCACTGCTTATAGGACTGTAAGAATCCGATGTACTACTAGTCTCACTAATAAATTCTATGTCTTTTAGTAATATTTTCTGGTCTTTTCCTTTTCCTTTCCTTCTTACAGTAAAGATATATCCAAAAAGTAAACTATCCAATATAAGCATGGTTGTTATAATTCCCTTTAAAAATCTCATTTCTTATTAAAGGCTGCGCCATAAATGTATTTATAGATATAAAATCACGCAATAAATATTTACATAAGCATCAAATACAAACACAATACAAACAATTAAATGTTATTGAAATAATCTGTCTAAAATACCATTAAGCTTCCTTTTTGAATGCCATAATATTCTTGAAGTATTTGTTATTTTTGATTTCTCCCAGAATGTGAAAGGTAAATGTGTTAATTCTTATGTGTAAGTGATTTTACTTACTATTTTGCTCAATAGACATTTTGTAGATATACGTGTATTTGTGACATAAAATCACATGAACAACTATTTCTATTGAAATAAGGCTATTCATTACTTTTCATAGTACTTTTACCAAGTGCTTTATTTTTTCTCTAGGAATAAGCTACTACACTGGGGACATCTATAAGCTACAGAACTGTTTCTAAAATAAAAGGCATATGCACTGTATACTCTATTCAGTGCTTTAAGATATGTTGTAAATACATTTATATTAGTATTTATATAACCAAAGCACATTGAAAGCCTTTAAGCCTGGCAGTCAAATAGAAATAATTGGTATAGTCCTGTAAGAGAGAACATGGGTGTTGATTATTTAGTCTACCTTTCATGGTTAGTAGAGTTTTATGTATATTCTCTCTGACAGTTTTCTATTCAATAAATATATTTTTCATTAAAAAGCCTTTAACTTACTTACTTCAGGTGAGAGTGAGCTTAGAATATTTATAACGTGTGGTGATAGAATATGCTGCATAGAGTAAAATAAACTGTATTTCAGGCTTGTGCCTATTGCAATATATGCGCCTGTATAGAATAACTAATTATGCAAGAATAAAATCTAGTGTACGCATGTTTTTGAGATATTCCTGTAGGAAATTCTGGTTATATTCGGGTTATTTTGTGCTATGAGAATTTTCATGAACTCTTTCACTTTCACTTTTATTTTCATTCGTGTGTGAGTATGAGATAATTTCTGTGTTAAGCAGTGCGTACTTAAGGAATACTCAAGGAAGACCATCTACTATATAATGTGTGTGGTGTAATATTAAATAATAAAGTGCATTAGGGCAGATCCTTAATGTATACCAGAATTCCAGAAAATGTTCATGTTTGTTTCATCTACGTATACAGAAAGAAATAATTGTATTTTGCAACTTTGAAGTCAAGAATATTTCATAGAAGTACTCCTGTCTTAGAAAGAATATGCACTGTATCTTTATGCAGAGTATACAGTGAATAATATTATAATTTCCTACATGCAGCTGACCCGGATCTGCTGCACTTTGCAAAACAAAGTTTATCCCAGACACTTCAGAAGGTGGACAGAAGAAGGTTTAATAAATATTTATTCCAACTTAATGCAACTTGCATTAGAAGTATCTAGGCCAATTCCTAGAATTATAGTGTATCCCCAGTCTGACAACTTCTGCATGAATGGCATCAAACTTCTCTGCATTCTTTGGGTCACGGGTTGGGTCTTTCCGCATGATATTCAATACATTCAGGACACTGCCAAAATTATCAACTGTACTTATCTTATCTGAATTGTACAAGAAACTGCCTGAATGAAGATTACTGTATGCGTCTTCTACAACTTCCCAGATTATAGGGGTTTGCTCACATACGTATACAAACCATGCAGCACTCACAAGCTCATTCATGTAATTTTTCCGTGCAGAATGCGTAAATATATAGTTTTTTATCTTTTTTATATGTGTTAAGCTTCCTTCCCCATATAATATGCTAAATATTTCATTTGCATTTTCCTTTTTCATTATGGGACAGCTGAAAGAAATCGAGAGATTTTCGAGTTTTATGGAGACCTTCAAGCACTGGACAAGAAACTCTGGTGAATTTAACTCCACTATATAATGGAATATTCCACTGATTTCATTACTCTCTGAGGCTCTTTCCAAATATATACTGTCATCAATGAGGATTGACGGGTAGCAAGACAGGTAGGCTTTAGTGTATACTAAGCTAGGGAAAAACTCTTTTTGTGTTTCTACATCCCTCAGGGGCACACTTCCAAGTATGTTTGATGTAAATCTTATAGCTGGATGCTCTGGGCTTAGGTCTTGATCATGTGCATATATTAAAGTGCATGCTACAAGTTCTTTTTTGTACGGAATTCCTTCAATTGGTGCTTTCATCAATAGTCTATCTATACTTTCAAATTTATCTGCAGATATTCTTATAATTGTCTTTCTGTGGACTAAATCTGTACTTTGCATGATATTTGCACTTTTTAGGATAAAACTGGCATATTGTCTAATTAAGTACCCTAGAAGTGTCTTTTGTGCTTTAATTATGTGCTTTATATTCAGAAGGCTTTCTTCCATTTTCTTTGGAAAACTAGATTTATCAGAGACCAAGGAAAGAGAAGCATGTTGTGGCTTAATTTCCAGTAGAATTCCCTTGGTTATTTCACCAAGTGAGTACTTCAAGAATATTTTCCCAAAAAGATCTGTTTTTCCGTCTGACCTCTTTCCTTCATTTAGGAAAAATTCCACCTTAAGAGAACTATCTCTAGAGAGAAGTTTAAAAAGGTCTTCAGCATATATCCTTATCTTTCTGCATACATCCCAGTTTGTAATGCTTTCTGCTTCTGTGATTTCTTCTATAAATTCCTGAAGAATTTCTTTGTCTCTTTCATAAACCCCAGATATTTCTGCAATGACAACCAGCATATTTATAAGACCACTTCTAAGCTCATTTCTGTCTTTCACATAAGCAATCTCCGGTGCACTCAGATCTGAAACCACTCGATTCCAGGTTTTGTGCAGACTAAAGTCAGTGTATGTGAATGGCACAGAGTATGAATGGAAGAAATCCTTTAAACTAGAAGATGCTTCAGGAATGTGCTCTGTGGTATAAATGCGAGCAGATGCATCGTACACAAAGCAGCAGAATATTCCAAGCAGACCTACCTCCACGCAGTTGCTAAAATTCATTCTTTCATCATTTATGAATGTATCTGACTTGCGAATGTATACGGGAACACTTCTGTATGCAGGAATCTGCGCACTATCAGAAAAGGGAATGGGCCTATCCGAATCAACAATCCTCTCTATTTCCAGCAAAGCATCCACATAGTCAGTTCTACTGCAATTATCATGCGAAACAGCAGATACAAAGCATCTTTCGAATAGATCAATTGCAATTTGCATATTCTCTTCATTGCCACTTTCATGCACATCTTCAATCCACTCAGAAAGTATTTTGTGCACTGCATGAATAAACCCTTCTGTTGCTTCCAAACTGTCTATGAACTCAAATATGTATGACTGTATCATAAACTTAGTGCTGTTCAGAAAGTTCCCTGTCTTGAAATCCTTGTACGAAATTGGTTCTGAAAACTCACCCCCTTTCTTTAACAGATCACACCCACAGTTCGTTATAAAAAAGTTCATGAGTTTTAGGGCTTCAGACAGAAAGACAGATTCACTAGCCTGGTTGCCCTTGGTGTTTTCTTGGAGTCTTAAAGGAAGCACAAAGTATAAATCATTTTTTCTTCTCAGAAATACTGCTTCGTCTTCTTGGCTGTACTCAACTGGAAGAGAAATTCCCTCAGAGAGTAGTAATAAGGAGGCAAGAAGTGAATTTATCTGGGACTTATCTTTGATAGACCGGAGAGCTCTAATAAAGGAATTATTTCGTCCTGTTTCTATGGACAAGTCACCAGATACAGAAGGGAACATCCAAATTAGGCTTCTGCTGTATCTGTAAATATACTCCTGGCTTTCATTCCCTGCACTTTTTGGTGAATATGGCTTGTCTTTAGCAGGATTCTTTAGAAACCCGTATGTGCTCCATTGCTCAGATGTCTTTATATTCCTGTGATTTATCGATCTCAAGATGTAACTTGTCTCTATTGTTGGTGAAAACAGTCTTTTGTTATGCACTAGTCTATTTTTACTGTAAAGGTAGCCACGCAGTGGATTAAGAGGGCCTTCTGGGTTTATTGTAAGGTTCCCAAAATGTGCATCTTTGATTACTCTCTCATGAATATGCTTAATATCCATCAGTGCAATTTTGGCACATATATGCTGCAACATCAGTAATTTCACTAAATATTGCCAGTTCATCCAGGTAAAAGAATAAAACTTTTTGCAAACATATTATGAAAGACAGTAGACAGAAATAACCGCCTATTATTCAACAAATGTCACCAGACATATAAGATAGATAGTAAATAGTGTAGTTGTCAAGGGAGATTTATTTTTGTCACATACTCGAATATCTTTGGTGTCTGCAGTCTTTCAGGTTATTTTTGTAGCTTCTTTAACTGTGAAAGAAAAACAAGTAGAAGAGTATTCAGAAAAATACATAGAATAATATGCCTTTTATTATAATAAGACCTTTAGTCTGTAACTACAATAAGCAGAAGCATGCTTCTTGGAATATATAATAGACCTATAATCACGCTTTAAAGTGATTTAAAATGTGTGCTTTGCGCGTAGCCAAAACCACACATAGCACTATAAGGCAAATAACCAATAGAGAGATTCCTAACACCTTTGCATATTTCTTCATGCGCTGATTTTTGAAGATTTTAAATAATCCACTTTCTTGTGCATTATTTGGCCTAACTTCATACACCAGAAGAGAATTGAAGTTAACTGGGACAAGTAAATTTTCTCTTGCATTTGTAACTGCCAGGAAAAATAACTTTTGCAAGTATTCTTTGCTTTGTCTAATGTATTCTTGTATTTCCGCTACTGCTTGGGTTTTATGGTTCTCCAGGTCATAAGTCATATATCTCTGTAATTTCCTTCCAAACTCACTGTCCATAGACACTTCTTCTTGGATTGTTTGTGTTGCCATATTGTACATGCTATTCTCAAAGTTAGAACTTGCAAACCTCCAAAGATCCTTCATTTCTTCTTCTGACATGTTCTCTCGCATGGTAATAGAACCATTTTCAACACCCTCATGCATTATCTGCCTGAACTCTTCAAAGTTAGTTGGAATAATTAGATCCATCTGCGAAAAATCTGGTTTTGGGAACTTAGAAAAAAGATCTTCCATGTTTGTGAAGTCTTGTTCTGCAGCATTGTGCATCTTTCTGTAGTACTTGCTTGCACCTGTCTCTAATTCATTTTTGTTTATTTTGTTGTATGAGTCCATAAAGGAGTTAAACTGTTTCTATTTATAGTTGTGATCCGCATATGTTAATAGGCTAATTTAAGTCCCTTGGAATATAAACTAAATAATTGGTCTCCGTTTTACAGTTTGCCGGGTTATCCTATCACGTGATTTTCCCCTTTCTTTACCGTCAGATCTTCTTAATTATCTTTCATCCAGCGTAGATGAAAACACGCCATAATTTGAGAATATCCTGTGCTTAGCATATACAGACAGACTAAAACAGCTCTGTCTATTTATACAGTACAACATAACATAACAAGAATTTCCATCTAGAAGTACTCAGAAGAATTTCTTTATGAAACAAACCCTGCAAAACACTACAGAAAGACAAATATGAATATTTTATATTCAAAGGCAACTATAGCAGATCTATTCGCATGACTACACCACTATGTATATTCCTTTATGTCTGGTGTAAATTCCCAAAAATAAACGGCTTTTAATTTAGGATATTTCTAATTAAAATATATATAGTGATGAATGAAAATTTTATATGTTAGGACTAGAAGAAAGCATCATAGCAGCAAATATTGAAGAAGTTGCAATTAACAGCACTGTAGAAATAGCCAATCATAATGATCTCCTGATTGTGCAAGATATTAATATAAATGAAAATATTATAGATTCTTTGCATGAGGCAGTTGAAGAGGCACCCGCACTCCCTGAGTACGAGATAAGTGAACAAGTTACAAATTTCCTTGAGAAGATGCAAATCACTGGCAGTCAGATCCTTGCTAGTGAGTACACCTCAGTTGATGGACTAATTGAGAAGCTACAATGCATTTTAGTAGATAGAAAGTTCCTTCTAACAAAGAATGCATTTAACTCAGCCACTGAATACTTAGAAGAGTATAAGGAGTTCATTGACTCATTTGAAATGAGCATAAAACAAGAAGGACCCGAAGTCATCTCTGAAATTATCATTAGATTAAAGGAAGGAGCACATGCTCTTAGTGAACTAAATGAAGAGTCTATCTTAAGGATATTTTCATCTGTTTCTGTGGCAGATGTGGAGTCTCATATAAATGTATGCGAATTAGTCGATGCCATTGCCTCCCATGAAAAAGATATTTTAAGCCGTATAGGCAGTATGGGCATGAAAGTTGCAAATTGCATCCCAAACTTTGCTGATGAAATAGTGGATGTAGCTGTCAATGCTATTAACCAGAATATTGTAGAGTAAGAATGTGAATATACAGCAGATATTCTTCTGTTTTCACAGTTAGAATACGTATTTTTGTATGCGCTTAATAAAGAACTTTACAATGATTTATATAAAATTACAAAGAATCTGTATTCTATTGCCTCTAGCAGATTAATTAAATATTTATAGTGTACCACTGTAGATTGTGCATATACTTAAATATAACCTGTTTATATCTTTGTTTTATACTGCTCCATTACTCTATATATTTTCTGTACAGTAAGTACTGCATATGTGAAAAATATTCGAAAATAGAAAAGACAGAACGAGAACATAAATTATAATTTTTATCCAGCCATGCTGAAAGTCCACTCACAAGGAGATTTATACACAGCAACTGGAGATTCTGCTAGAATACTTAGGGAAATATTAAATGAAAGAGGAGAAGATACTATAACTCTAACTAAAGAGACATTCCATAAGACAATTCCTGTCATAATACACCAGTACAAAGAAACTCTTCAAGAGTACGCTGTAGTGAACAATAAAGAAGTGAAGATTAGAGAGGGTTCTCCAGGGAACTGGTCTGATTATTCAGAGTACTTAATTGGAGAGACAGAAATTGCAAAGATAGGGAGTGTTTTGATAAACAGAGGGAGCAGTATAGAGGTAGAAATTGCTTGTGTGTCAACCATTGACAAAGAAGCAAAAATATACAAATTCAGTGATAACGAACTATTTACAAGTCTAGCACACCTGATGCATGCACAGAATATTCAAGAGGTGATTTACACAGACAGTGCATTATCTAAGGTATTCACTGCCCTGGGCCTAGCACACTACAAGATCCAGAAGAAAGGAAATTCTCCAATTGACCTACTTGAAAGACACCTCACCATTAACATGCAAGGATACATAGTAAAAGAATGCGTACTGGAGAATGTTCTTCAGATGGATGAAAAAGCAGCAGATTCCCTTCTCTCAGGAGACATAAGAATTGAAAGTGAAATTAACTGTGCAACACCGCAAGGAAAGAGACTCCTGCAGCTATTTATTCGGGCACCTTCCACATGCAAGGAAGAAATACTTAGGAGACAAGAAATAATTACAGAAATACTTGAAAAGAATTCGATGATAAGAAAAGACATACAGTCAGCACCTGATACATTTGCAACCTGCAAGAGTGCATCTACACTTTCAGTGCAAGCCACCATCAGAATATACAGGTTCCTGGGGGCTGCACTTAAAATATCCAAAGGCATAGGAAATATTAAGAGTCTCTCGCATGAGCAGAGTATCCTAAAGGACTCGCTGGATTATACAAGTGGACTAGTCTGTGAGATAGAAGATGTAATCGATTTAAGTGCGCATACCATAAAGGAAAACTGCACAGAAGAACTGAGAGTTCTAAATAAACTGAAGAACCAGAAGGAACAGGAGATTTATGCAGCGTACACAGAAGAAATCGAGAGAAAATCCATTCCAAAGGCAAAATTAGAAAACAGTCCTGTCCATGGGTACTGCATTAAAATACCAAGAACAGAAGAGAATAAGCTGACAACAGAAACAAAACTGACAATCCAAAAGTCAGGTATACTTTTTACAACAGAAAAAATAAAAATGCTAAATCATAAGCTAGCAAGCACATTCTCCCAAATAAAAGCAGAACACGCAAAAATACTCAAAACACTCACTGAGTCATTTACAGTTTGCAAAGCATGGATTGAGGTACTGAATCATACGGTGGCACTTTTGGACGTATTTACAAGTCTGGCTGCATATGCAAGTAATAATAATCTGGTGTGTCCTATTTTCACAGAGAAATCATACCGTGTAGACCAAATGTATCACCCACTCCTGCCCACTCTCTACAGGAAAAGACTTCTACAAAACTGCAACATTCAGGAGCCAGTCAAAAATAGTTTAGAAATAAATGACACGCGGGTGTGCATAATAACAGGCCCTAATATGGGAGGAAAAACAACCTTCTTAAAGACAGTTGGAATAATTTCCATTCTTGCACAAATTGGGTCATATGTTCCAGCGGCATACGCAAATATTCCAATATTTAAGAAGCTGTTCATTCGGATAGGTGCTTCAGATAATCCAGCCAAAGGAATAAGCACATTCATGGCAGAAATGATGGATATATCTGCTATTCTTAATGAGGCAACAGAGGATTCTTTGGTTATAATTGATGAGCTTGGCAGGGGAACAAGTGATGAAGACGGGTACGCAATTGCAGCATCTACTATTGAGTACATTGCCAGGATAAATGCAATGACATTATTTGCAACACATTTCCATGAGCTGGCACATATGCCAGGCGTAGTAAACAAAAGGGTTGGGTGCATTGAAAGCAAAGACCAGCTTATAATGACGTACAAAATAGAAGATGGCTATGCATGCAGTTCATATGGGATAAACACTGCAAGAAGAATGGGCTTCCCAGAAGAAGTTCTGCAAATTGCAGAGGCTGAACTGCAGAGACAAGAAAAAGATAAACATGACAGCTTGCACACTGAATGAATTAACACATGATTCACACCATACAGAAGTACTATAAGAATTACTACGTATTCAAAAATGTATTCTCTGAAATCACAAATATAAAATATGCCCATTCTACAGTATTCAAATTAAAGAAGATTAAAGTGTCTATTGTATCTGACTAAAAATGCTGTTATTATAAAATATTACATTGTTATTATTCTTAGATCACATGAGTTCATATCCCAGTGGAAAATAATTTCACTCTCCAAAATATTCTTCGTATACTAGAAGACTACTCTAGCAAGTTATAAGCGAATATGACAAAAAAGAAGAATATGACAACAAAAATACAAAAAATAACAGTCACTAAAGATATTCAAGTACATGATAAAAAAAATACACCCTTGACAACTATCTACTATTAGAGTCTAAAATACTATCTATCTTAGACTAGTATATTCCGACTAAAATATTACTCATTTTTGTCATTTTTGACACACTAACCGTTATAAATATTTTGTCTTAAGCTTAAATATACTACATACCAATATGTGTGTGTAGTATGTTGGTTATACAGTAATTATCAGCTATTTTATGCTACCTACTCCTATTCTTATAATGTTTTTGTGCCTTTATAAAGTGATTAGCACTACTATTAATAAAAGTATCTTTATTACAGTGTTATTTTTTGTAATTTCTATTCCTCCCTAGTAGTCTTTTCACCTAAATTTCAATTTACATAATTTTCACTCTATATATTTCGCATAGAAATAAACGGAAGTGCATTATAAGCCAAAATGATTTTTTAAATATTTTATGGTAAATGCAACTGAAGTATCCGTACTGCATGGATTTGAGTTTCCAACATATTGCAACTATCTGGAGATAAGTGCCGACAGTAAGGCCCTGATGGCAACTGGAGGGTACAGTCCATCCACTGCCCTATTTGACTTACAGGAGCACACGCTAAAAGTAGAAAGACATGCAGACTATGAACTTATGAAAGGAGCTTTTCTGGGGGAAGATTGGTCTAAAATAGCACTTCTCTCGAATGCAGCAAAAGTGGAATTTCAGACTCAGTTTGGAAAACATGACGCAGTATCCCTGCCACAGCAATGCAGAGACATAAAGGCAGATAAAATAAATGCAGATGTAGTGCTAGTAGGGAAGTCTGGGGGAATTCACAGATTCAGCATGACAGCCGGGAAATTCCTTCCATCCCTTGAGACAGGACTGTCCAGTGGAGAGGAACTGGCCTTAAATACATCGCACACTTTGTGTGCAGTAGTCGGAAGCAGTGATTTTGGAAAGACGGGTCTCTGTGAGTTTATAGACACCAGAGATAGTAAGAAAGTAACTACTTTATCAATTGATTCTCCAGCCACTGCATGCACATTCTCTGAGGATGGCATGATATTCGCAGTTGGCTCTGAGGCAGGAATAGTTTCAGTCTATGACATGCGAAGTGCAAACCCACTCATCCAGAAAGACCATAATTACGACTTCAGAATAAAGAAGATCCAGATAAAGAACAAAACAGTTCTGTCAATGGACCAGAAAGGAGTGAAAATCTGGACTGTAAATTCAGGAAAAACACTTGCCACTGCGCAGCCATCATTTGATGCTAACTCATTCACTACCTCAGATGGAATTGTATTTATAGGAGGCAACACAGAGCACATGAAGACGTATTACGTGCCTGCACTGGGTGCAATCCCAGGGTGGTGCAGTAATTTAGAAGGTGCAACTGAAGAGATGGATGAAATGCAGAAGATGACATATTATGACCAGTATAGATTTATAACAGAAGATGAACTTGTAAGGATTAAGTTGCAAAAGGAAGTTGGTAAGTCAATTAAGCCACACATGCATGGATATCTTATCCCACATGCCCTCTACAATAAGCACACAGAAAACAACAAGAAGAAATTAGACTAGACACAAATATATTATACTTGCACAAGAAATATCTGGTACTACAGTCCAGTCTCTGTCTCTGGCCAGTCTCTGTCTTGGATATGTATGAAATTCATTAAGAAAAATTTTCAATGGAAATAGTCGAGAAGGAGAAAAGAAGAGAGGAGACAGAGAAAGAACTTAACCTTAGAGTGATTGAGCTGGGAAACTTAATGAAAGTATTCAGGGAAAAGGTAGACAGCCTTGAAAAAACAGTGAATTCACTGGAGACCAAGGTAGTAGATTATATACAGGACCTAACCAAGGCAAGAGGTGAAATTGATATTTAGTCTACTAAGCAACAGGACACCAATTGCAGATACAATAAATTATGATATATGAGTACATAGCAGAATATATGAATACTGTGATAATTAGTCTATCAGATATGTGAGACTTAATAAATAAGTCAGCTTATTATAGTCATGTCCCACTGTATACTGCATAAGAATGCTTCTGTAAAGTGTCTGGATGGTTTATGGTGAGTATTCGGGTGCATATATTTGAGGATCTTTTAATTTTTTATTATGTCGGGAGAGGATGGCAACCACTCAATGAGTATTTACGATACGGTTGAGCATGATATGAGGCACTCCAAAGAGTATTTGGCGAATATGAAGTTTAACTACATAGAAGTACTGCATAAGTCAATTTTCCTGAAAAGACTCAGGGGCCAGCAGGGCTCGGAGGTGCCAAATTGCAAAGACGAATTGGTAGCAACAAAAAAGCAAATAGAAGAATTTCGGAGAAGATTTGAAAAAATATCGCATGAAGTCAGTGCACTAAGGGAAGAAGCAGAAAAACAGGAAAGTATTTTGCGGTCTGCCAAGGAAAAGGAAACTCTTCTTGTCAAAAAAATAGAAGAAATTGCAAGCACAGAGAAAACACTCAAAGCATTCTCTGAGATAAAGGAGGACCATGAAGAAAGGGTAAGGGAAATTGCGCAGGTGCACAGCAGTATAGAAGACCTTGAGAAAAGAATAGACCAGCAGACACAGCTGCTCAGCACAAAGACCACAATGAAGGAGACACTGTCTGGGCAGAAGATATCCCTTCAGGAGAGACTGAGTGACCTGCAGAAAACCTCAAATCAGCAGCTAGTATACCAGTATAACTGGTACAAGCAGTTTATGAGCGTATTGTATAAGCTCGTGGGCATACGCGTGATTGATGTCCGGCAGAGCATACACAAGCACCAGGAGACCATATACAACAGCACAGAAGACAGGGAGCAGAAAAAGAAAGAGAACACAAATGAGATAAGTGTTAAGCTTCTGTCAAAACAAAAAGACAGAACCGTTGTGATTACTTTAATATTTATTAATGGGAAACTAAACAGCTACATGTTCCACAAGACTGAAGGTGCCCTGCAGATTGAGCCTGCCTGCTGCAACGAGTTATTTGAATATTGCAAGAAAGTGAACAGCACCAAGCACTTCATCTTTGAGGGAATGCACCAGCAGCTAGCAGACCCTGCCCCAAAGAGCACACACAGCAAGAAGTAGAGAATACGTGGTCTTCTATTTTAGGGCACTGAATATAGGCCAACCAAGTAAATGTAGTTTTATATAATGTGAATTAGATTTTGTTTCTAGTTGTCTAAGGTTTTGATTGTTTTGTTTCTAGTTATCTAAGATTATATCGTATGTTTTGTCGATTCACTGGAATCTATGCTAATTAGTATATACTCACGGTATGTAATATTGTCTGTTGTGTAGAAAAAATTTCTACTTTAAAGTCTACCATATCCTGGATATAGTACAAATAAATTGTACAGTTTTCTTTTTTGTAGACCAGAAATAAATTCATAAAGAGAACAGAGTAATATATACAGGCACATAGACATATATAATAAATAGCATAGAGAAAGCACTTAATAAACAAGATGCAATTATATTCAGCCCATTAATGCATAAAATAAGTCTAAGAAATCGAATGAAAAAACACTAGTATATAATAGTACAAAATTAAAAGAAGCAAAGTGAGTCAACAATAAGAAATACATTCACCAAGTGACAAAAAGACAAAAAATCATAGTTACCAGTCACCATTCAACAAAGATATTCGAGTATATCACAAAAATAATACTCCCTTGACAACTACGCATATCTACTATCAGAGTCTAAAATAGTATCCTCTGGATAAAACAATATCTCATTTGTGCACATCAATAAGAATAATCTTCTTAAATACACGGCACTTTTGCATCTGAATCTGCTGCTTTAAATTAAAGAGTATGTGAGTTTCGCACTGAATAAAAATGAGTGTGCACAGTAAGAGAAGAAGTGGTCTGGCAGGTTTATCTATGTATTTTATTAATGCACAACTATATTTGGGGTTTCCTCCATATGTGTATTTTCTATTTGCATGCCGCCAATCATAGGAGGCAGTCTTTCTCTTCTAAATTTTAAGTTGAACACAGGCATCTCAAAGTATTTAATGAGGAAGTAGTCTAGACCCCACCATATACCAGATGTAATATATAAAGCAAGCAGGACATCAATTGTATAGTGCAGTCTCCCAACAATAATGAAGGTTACAATTGTGCCAAAAACAATCCATGCACATAAAGCCGTTATAACGTGCACACTGAAGGAGTCACTTAGAAGATAGAATGAGCTCCAGCAATGAGCAAATGCACACACAAGCAAAGTATGACCACTGTATATTAAGTCGCCCCCTCTTTCTCGGGAGAGATCTGAAAATGTGTTGCTTATGGTTCGAAGACCCAAATCCCAAGAGTCTGGAAGGCCTGTGACCATTAGTGTTGTGCATCTGAGTAAATACGATATAATTATAGTGACCATAAGCTTAAGACCAATGAAAATTGCAAGCTTATTAATTACAATGCACACGCCAGTAACTGCCAAAAAGCATATCATAATTATGTCAACTACTTCGTTGTAGTTGGAATTTGTCTGAAATCCTTTGTTGAAAAAATCATTTCCGACATCCTGCAGTGCATAATTATACGCTTTCATTGGCGACCAGAACGAGGAAACATTTGCTGCCACATTCACCAAAAACAAGGTTACTGCAAGGGCGAATATAACTACCACTAGTGTAATTCCCTTCTGGGCAGTCAGCCCGTACCAAGATACGATCTGGCGGGGTATATCTCTAATAACATTGCGATCCATAAAAATGCAAGAAAAGAAAATTTAAATATGCAAAATTTGATAATCGGCCTTGTTCTGAGACTCCTGGTGTCTATTTAATTCAGAGTGCATTATGAGTACACTCTTCAGATTCTATCACATGCACCACTGAAATTTTCAGCTGGAATGACCCCCTGAATGAAATGGTATTTCCATGGAAAATCTGCATTATTTAAATGGCAGTTGCAAATTTTGCCAAAAACAAAAGGGGAACAGATTGAAGAATCAGTCACAATAGAAATATCATAATAGAATGGCTTTATATGCAAGAAGGCAGTCAACAATGTAATTTACTATAATACTCTCTAAATATAAAAATAATCCATAAATTACTGCATATTTACACAAATTACAACAAATGAATAATATAGCCCTTCTATTGCACTGAGGGAAATAATTTGGAGACCCAGAATTCTTTACTATTTAACCACATTACAACATAAACCAGGCCATTCTGTTTATATACCCAAGAATATCTGCATAAATGAAATAGTCTGCGTCTATGGGCCTCTATTAATTAAAGCAGATGAAATTAATTAATTATCCATTATTATTGTCTTATAGTGCTCCATGAGAATAATGAATTAAATTGTAGTTTGAGTTCTTTCATGAATAAAGTGCACTAGTGCAAGAAATAATCAGTTTCACATAACATATAAGTGAAGTGCAATAATATAAATAGAAGAATATATACATTTGGGTTATATCCCGTATATAAATGGTCATGGGCATAAGTGTGCAAATTATTTAGAAGAGCTTAAAGTGCAAATTATAGTAGAAGAAATTGGTGTGTCAAAAATGACAAAAATTAGTAATGTTTTAGTCAGAATATAACTAGTCTAAGATAGATAGTATTTTAGACTCTAATAGTAGATATTTGTTAAGGGTGTATTGTTTTTATCACATAATTGAATGTATTTGAATATCTTTGGTGACTGTTATTTTTTTGTATTTTTGTTGTCGCATTCTTCTTTTTTGTAATATTCTCATACCATTCACTAGAAGTAGTATACAAAGAATATTTTGGAGAATGAAATTATTTTCATCCGGATGTAGACTCTTGAAGATCTCAAAATAACAACAATGTTGTAATATTTTATCACAATAGCAGTAGTAAGTGCTGCATGAAATGTATATATAAGTACAATTAGTATACTGCGATTCATATATTTATTCTTCATCTGCAGTCTATATTAATATTATGCCAGGAATATTAGTGTGCACAGGCGTATCCTGAATGAGATTAAGAAATATTTCACAAGAACTTAAGAAAGTGTCAGTTACATAATTACAAAAGTATTTATTATATCAGTGCAAAGATGAGTGTGAATGTGCCTATTTGTCCTTGAGTGCATTAAATTGCATAATTGTGCAGCCTTGTGCACATGGATTATAAACTGCAGAGTTTATGGCAGAATTGAAGACAGACCCTGCTTTCAGTCTTCTTCCTGTGATGGGGTTATTTCTGTATACGAATTCTTCAGAAATTTGTGCAGGTGCAGATGGGTCACGCACTATAACGCATCCCTTCACAATATAGTATATACAGTTAGACTGTATTTTCCTGCAAGTATATGGGCCTATATATGTGGTCTGCAGATTCATTCCATCTACTGAAAATTCCAGTACATTTGTGCTTGTTTTGTCCCATTCTTTATACAGTAATTTCCTGACTAAGGCCGTCTGCATGGTTTTTGTGCTTTTCCTTCTCTTTCTTAGGCTGGTTTCTGGGTTTATCTCACTATCCATGCTTATACTGGACATTTCAATGGGATCTGCACTTTCTGCAAATGCGCCAGTTCTTCTGCTCTTTCCCCTTGTGGTTCTGACAGTTTTCAGAGTTGAAATTTCAGAAGACTGCGCCTTTATGGCTTCCGGTGATTCCTTTGTGTCTCGGGCACTATTAGGCAGATCTTCATCAGAATCAGAGAATCCAGTCAGCACCACATTCTGGAGACTATCTTGGAACTCGTCATCAAAACTTCTTCGAATTATGTGTGAGCTGCTAATACTGCTTGCTTCTGGGTCTACTTTGGCCATGACAGTTGTTTCATTAGGGGTAGAAATATTCAAAGGAGAACAACTTGGCTCTAATAAGCTAATATCTTCGTACTGTTTTCTTTCCATTTCTTCTAGCTCTTTGTTCGCCATGTTCCAATACGCATCGATGTTCTCCATGGAGTCATCGTCCATAATGACTTGCAAATGCGAATTTCGTCTTAATCCTGCCAATATTTCCTGGGAAAGGGCCAGTGCATGGCCAGTCTGCTTTATTTGTTGCTTCTCTCGTCTTGGCCGTGCCATGTATATATTTATGATTTTTTTATTGGGCATGCAAATATTTGCTGAATCTTTCACTCTCTCTGCTGTGGATGTGGATGGAAAAGTATTCGATGAAGTATCCAGGGGTGTATTTACAAATGACGGTGTGACTTTATTAATGGACTATCACACAGGATTATTCTGCCATAAAAAGATGGACAGAGTAAATATAGCAATTTTCACAGAAGAAGAAGATTTCACAGAGAAAGATATCCCAGAGAAATATGCATACTTAATGGGAAATGGAGTAGTCTACCAGACAAAGACAGATGGAAACAGGCAGATAATAGACATATCATTTTCTGGTCTTTTAGTAAACATAAATGTAGAAACATCCAGGATAAAAGTTCCTCAGGCGCATAAGAGACTATATATAGGGGTAGAAGGAGCAAAGAACACATGAAATAGATATTTGTCTAAAATATCACAGCAGTAGATATACGCATAGATACAGAATAAACACTCTTTATTATAAGATAAAAAGAAGAATATTACACGTAGTACATGCATGCTAGGCCATTCATGAAAGCTAAAACTGCAGATATTCCTAGCATATATATATACGAATTATAAAATAAGTTCCCAAATATTCCTACATTACTCACAAATATTACCTTCCTATTAGGGAGTGGGTGGCTCTTTTGTTTTTCCACAATTAATTTATACTCGCCTGGCTGAAGATCATCTAGTTTTCCTATCTTGAAATATGCAGATGAGAAGGAAGATGACTTAGCCCAGCTGCTAATTTGACTATTTCTATCTGCATGAATCTTCATAATATTATTCTCATTGAGAAGTGTATATTTATCGTTAGGATATGTGGATCTAATAATACCACAAGGATATACCCACTCACCATCTTCTACATAAGGAGTGCAATCTATATTTAGTTCATCCTGTGATGTGCCTTGATAGAAAGGATCTTCTCTCATATATTTCATGTGTGTTTGTGCTGCACCCTCTACTGCACCGTACATGTACGTGTTTGTCTTTGGTTTTTTCACTGTAAATGAATATTCACATTTATCGGTGATGCAATGGGAAAAGTCAATGGTAATCATACTAGTGGAATCTAGGAAGAAATGAATTATGCAAGTGCATGCTATGGCAGCAAGGGAGATTCCCGTGTAAAATGTAAGTCTTTTTTTGGTGCTCATTCGAAATGTGTATCTCGGCAGTTTCTGCTCTGTTATTTCAGTGTACCTTTGCAGGAATACTTCTTTTATTGTGGCAAAAATAGACGCAGCCATTGAATAAAAATACGCAAATTATTAAATATTTCATATGAGAGTGGCGGCAATTAAAAGACAAAAATACAGTTACTGCAAGGACAGAGTGAATGTTTCCTTTGGGAAGTGCAGCAGAAATAGTGTCACCATAGACTAACTGAAGTCACAGGCTGCAGGATGGAATAAAAATGAGTTTATTCTTACTGGGAATATAATACAAATGGCAGTTATTCTTTATTATTGTTGTGACCTGAAAACTTTCCAGTGGAAAAATAATAATTGATGAATATGATATTTGTTTAAGAATTATTTAGGTGCAATTGCCTTGGTATATGTCTTAATACTTTTATCTGTTTGTCTGGTTGCCACTTGTGCCTGTCAATTATTTCTATTGCAAATGAAATAGTGTTTTGAAGTTTCTGTCAATTATTTCTACTAGACGTGATCTTTCAATGTTTTTTATAGCTGCCACAATGTCAATCACTTGGTGCAGATTCACTGGCTCATTCCTTCCTTTCACAGGGTGATCTTCAACCCACTTCTTGCTGGGTTTAAGATATTCGTGCGTGTGCTTGTGATATGTGCACGTGGGGCGCACTGTGCACCAAGGTGCATCTGTCTCTAGAAGCAGTTTATCTAGGGGTATATTTTCTATCACAGAAGTATGCACATTCTCCCTAATTGAAGCCCCATTTATTCCTATATAGTATCCCTTACTGACTAGTTTTTCCATTTCCTTCAAACTGCCTGTATATGAGTGTATTACGCCTGCCACTTTATACTGGTCTATAATTTCATGGAAATCTTCTTCGCAGTCTCTGTAATGGAATATATACGGCATGTTGTATCTGTGCGTTTTATCCAGAATTTCCTTAAATATCTCTTTCTGTTTTTCCTTTGGGGAGTAGTCCCTGCAGTAATCTAAGCCTATTTCACCTATGCCAATTATGCAGTCCAAATGGGAGAGAGATGCATCTACAACCAAACCAGAAATATCTTCATGTAAAAAAGACCTTTTATCCTTTATATTTCCACTGTCTAGAACCTTAATAAGACCATTTACATCTTCCTTACTGGATGTTTCAGTGCTCCCTGGGTGTATGCCAATTGTGCAATATTCTTTGTACTCATTTGCTAATGCAATGGACTCAAAAGAGCTCTTTAAAGAAATCCCCAGAAATACCATTTTCACACCATGCAATTTAGCCCTATTAATTACCCCAGGAATATCACATATATGCTTCTTTCTGCTGTTGTATATTCCCATGTACTGTGGATCAGTTATGTTTACTGCTATGTCGTACGGCATTCTTTTAAAATATGGATTTTTTAATAACAACATCCATATGGAGACTGGACAGCAAAACATTGAAGAAGAATTAAAGAATATTCTGACCCAAGGATGCACAGACAATGTGGAAATACAAAGGGATGCATATAATAATATAACGATAATTAAAAGGCCAGAAGTATCTGGGGATTTATATAAAGTAGGCATTGATGAAGCAGGAAGAGGGCCGTTAGCAGGGCCACTTGTGTATAGCATGGCTTACTGGGTTAGTGACCCAGATACAAAAGTGTATAATGACTCAAAAAAAGTAGGAAAGCAGAAAAGAGTCATGCAACACAAAGACTTATACAAGGATAAGTCTGTTGGATTTATAATACGCTGTTTATCTCCACTATTCATAAGCATAAATATGCTTTGCACCATACGCGATAAAGAGAATAAAAGTCTGAAAAAGATTCCTGCAAAAAAAACTGCCAAGAGACAGAAATTAGAACCTGAAATTGCAGAAGAGGCAGGGAAAAATAAAGAACCATCATACAGCACTATTCTGCATATGATGGGGAAAACAGATTTAGGACCTCCTATTTTTGTAAGTCGCATCAGGCAGAACCTAAATGATCTATCAATTGGGTGCATACTAGAGCTACTAAACACGTCGATTAAGTCGGGAGTGCAGATGCAGGAAGTGTTCATTGATACTGTAGGGAATAAGCAAACACTAAGGGCAAAAGTAGTCGATCTATTAAAAGACTCCAAGGGAATAAAAAATGTGACAGTTGAGGAAAAGGCAGATTCAAAGTATCAGGTAGTAGGGGCTGCAAGTATTCTTGCAAAGGTCACAAGAGACATGTTCTTTGAGAATTCCGATCTATCAAAACTGATTTATAAAGGGGCTTCTCTGCCAAAAATAGCAGTCAGTGGGTACCCATCTGATGTGAATACAAAGAACTGGATGAAAAAGTCATTTTTAAGTGGCCTTGGGTTTCCGTCCATATTTCGGATTGCATGGAAGCCTATACTGGAAGTACTGCAAGAAGAAAAAACAAAAAAACATCTGAAAAATGAGACAGTAAGAGGAACAATGACTTGCTACTTAAAGAAGGCACAAATACAATAATAACCTGATATGTAGTACATACACGACTTAATACGACATAATATGCAATTATTTCTGGTTATGCAGGATCTGTCTATTTTATATTTGGAAGGCAGTCGCTGAAAAGTTCAGATTATTTCATAGTGCAGTTTTTCTTGTAGAAAGACATATTTTCATGCACTTTAAAGAACTTCTAGAGAAGCTAGTGTATGTGAATCGATCGAATAAAATGTGAAAGTACATGGATGCCATATAATTCACATCTTAGAATACAGAATAATACCTAGAAATAACTCCTGCAATTAGTACTTAGTGTAGTCTGCTGTAACAGCTTCAGAATTAAAGGAAATCTGTGCATCAGCAGGCATAAAATAAATGTAATTTTAACTAGGCTAGTCTCCTGTGGTAATACAATCCATAAAATACACATAATATAATAGGTGCAATTCAGATATTAGTATATTCGGGTTTATAATTATCTTATGTACTTGGAAATATACTTTCCAATAAATTTACATTAGAAATGTATCTATAAGAAATTCACTTCTAAAAATATATTTATGTGCACAGAAGGAGAACTATTTCACAGGAAATAGAAGTATAGAATAGAAAGAGTATTTGCCAAGGGACTTTATTTTGTACAATTACATCTGTACTAGAACTAGTTATATTCCTATGTACTTACAAAGTATTTAAATGTAATATAATATTTACAGTTGAAATTAAACATCTGTATATATCTATGCTAATATCCATATATTAATGCAGTAGATCAAACTGATGAATATTAGTAATATTTACTACAGAAATTAAATGAAAAGATTCAATGAATAAATATAGTACTGAGACAGTAAGAGATAATGAATTAGAAAGAGATGAATTAATGGAAGAAATAATATATAATTATAGTGAGCTAGATAGTCAGGATATGGATATTGAGTCATACGTGCATACGAAGCAAATGACTATACTATTAGAAGGATCTGAGATAAGAAAAAGCATAGACAAGAAGAAGTGTTTTATCTCAGATAAAGAAAAGAACAACCTTCCTTTGGGCTTAAAAATACTTGCATTTACTATATACCAGCAGATAAATAGAATAATCAAAGCCATTCTATCTCATAGAATGGAGATGCCTAGTACCAGCAATCCTTCAGAGAAAAGCACGAAAATCCTCAAGAAAACTGACTTTCTACTAAAACAGCTAGATCTACAGAAGACATGCATCTTCTCACAGGAAATAATGCAAGACTTGAAGTATTTATACTGCAAGGACCCATATACAGTAGAATCCTGCATACTCAGAATAGAAGATGAACTAAACAGTCCATGGTGCAAGACAGAAATACTTAGTAGACTTGAAAGAATAATGGCAGAGCCAACTAAAAAGGACATGAAATATATTCGAATAGCAATTAATAAGCTAGATATTTTGAGTGCCCAAGACTATATAGCCCAGCAAGTTAATAGGCAGATTTTCATTAGAAATGACACAAAGGCAATCCTGCAAGAAATCATCAAAGGCTCCTATACGATAAAAAGTGAGTTGCAAAGTGCATTTACAGTGGATATAAATGAAGATCCAGATGAAAACATACAGATCCTTATAAAAACTATTGCACATATATTGCATGGAACAGAAAGACCAGAAGAATTATTGTACGGAAGGTATGTGCCATGTCTAAAAGACTTTAGGGAAAAAGCAGCAAAAAAGAATCTCTCAAAGGAATATGCAGAGACTGTCTGCTATTACAGCCATGAAAGAATAATCTCAGAGGTTGAAAAAAATGACAAGTTAATTGGTCAAATAAATATCCAGAATAGTGAATGCTGCCTCTTACAGCAGACTATGATGGTGTTTAATAGTATCTCAGAGAAAAGTGAAGTAAAAGAGCAAACTAAGAGTGTAGAGCATGATGTACAAGGCAATATACCAGAACATCTTGAGATAAAGGATAATGAGTATTATTTATCACATCAAACAAGTGGTGATCTAGACAAAGATATAATATCCCACATAAAATCACATCCTATAAGACACGACAAAGAGTTAAATGAAATATCTGCAAGCAAAGCAATAGAAACCCTAAAGACAATAGGAAGCCTTTTGGTTAAGTGCCTGGTAGAAGACGACAAGGAGAAAGCCCTTAAAGATCTGAAGGCAGCATATAAAAGGATTAATTCTGTTCCACTCAAGATAATTGAGGAGTATATGCCAAGAATATGGATGGATTTACTTCTCAAAAATGATTTATATATTTCCATCACCAAGGAAAGGAATACATATATGGGCATAAAAATAGTTCAAGCAGTGCAACAATACCGCACGGATATGCTACATATATTACTAAGTGTCTTTATGGAGGCATCAGTCGTTTATTCTCTTTCTATGGGAAAAGCCTTATTAAAAACCATTATGCCTGTTTATATACAGGCCTTCCAGCCAAATACAATTGCAAGGAAACAGAGCCTTTTAAGGAACAATAGGAGCAGATTTGCAGGGTGGTTGGCCGTGCAATACTACAGACTAAAATGCAGCATATTCAAAGACCATGATATAACCACTGTCAAAGAGGATATCTTTGGTGATGTATCGCAGTTTTTGCCTATGAAGAATATTCTATCAATGATACTGGATATAATTAATGAAAAACAACAAAGGGATCTTTCCATTATAAATGAAGAACTGGTTAAGCACGGATGCATTGGTATTAGGCTCCTGAATAAGATGAATATGGCAGCAAAAGTAGAATATATACGAAATTCAGAATTAGGCAAGGAGACACATGAAGGACTAGATACTACAGAAATAAGAGAGAAGCTAAAGACCATTATCCATACGGAAGAGTCTCCAAAAATAAATATGAAGCTATACTATCACGACTGCATCACGAAATCAGAAATTAAAAAAGCTGCAAAAAGTCTTCATAATTTTCCTTCCTTTCCTTTGCAGCCAAGAAAGAGAGGAGAAATAATTGAAATTACCCCAAGACCACTAAGAGTAACAGGGCACCAAGGTGATATCTATAGAAAGTTAAACAACTATCTTCAGTTACCAGACATTGAAAAAGACCCAAAAGTCATAAAGAAATTTCTTTGTGAAATCTCACAGTATTTAAGAATAGGAATACACTCCATTATTAAGAACCAGCAAACAGATTGCACCCCAAGAAACGCTATAAGATTTAAGAATCCTGTGCTAAAACCAAAATACAATTTTGTGACTAAATCACTTGAAGTACTAGGCAGTGCACTGTATGATGACTTTATGCGTTTAGTAGAAGTAGTAAAGAATTCAATTATTTCTTGTGCTACAAGAATAGACAGTTATATTACGACTAGATATTCTTCTCAGAATAATTCTTTGCCTCTTAGGGCATGGTCTGCTTGCAAAAGGAAGTATTTCTACTGGTTTTTTGATCCACCCCATAATATGCTGTATACATATATAGACAGATCCATCATTCTTAATAATAGAATTACCCAAATAAATCACCCTGCTGCCACCTGCATCTATAATATTCCTGAAATTCTGCCAGTGACAAAGGAAAAAAAGCTTATTAGACAGTTAAAAAGGAAAAACACAGAAACAAAGCAGGAAATACTTCTGAAAAGAGCAATAAACTCCTTCTACATGATCTCCCAAAGGGATCCAAACCGCATAAATATAAAAAATGCAGATTTATCCCAGGTATATGACTATATGCAAATACTAGCCCAAAACATTCAAGTAAAAATAGCACTACTTAGTCAGAAAGACAGTGCTCTTTTTAGATTTAGTGAGTCACATGCAGATTGTGATACTGATATTCATGATATTCAGTTTAATCCCAGCAGCAATTTACAAAAGAGTCTACATAAACTTAAAACCCCCATATTATCATGCCTAGCCTTTGTACTAGATATAATTATTGCATATTTTATTTGGGTCTCCATGGAGTTCATAATGAAAAATATTATATCCTATGTGTAGCACCTGATTACATGCATATTTTGGAAGACCAATAATAGTATTTATTGGCACAATACAGTATAAATTAGTTTATTTCTGTGATAAATACGTTACAGTTAAATTAAACCATTTAAACAGTTGAGTTTTCTAATAAATACTAAGGTTCAAAAATATCTTCTAAAATAAGTTTTTCTCTACTGTTCTATAGTACAGTGCCTTTTAATTATGAAATTTCACTTTTTATTAAAACCCAGTAGTTATACGATAAATCTAATTATCACACTGTATTTAAGACTAAGTGCAGGGCCAGAATGAGCATATTGCTGCATCTCTTTGTGCTCTGAGTACTTATCTGGTGAAATATATAATATTTAGTGTAATTTCCATATTACTGGTTTATTTGCATACTAAGCCATGCAATTAGATAAATCCATTAATAATAACCTGTGAGTGTAGCACATATAAGCAGTCATATGTGTGAGTACAAAATAGTTGAAATATTTTGCATTTTAGGGAGAAATTCCTTTACAAGCGCATGAGAACATGAGAAATCATGAGATGTAGTCAAAGGTTTTCAGAAGCAGAATAGCACACTCTGTGCTTATTTCAGCATATACCATGGGCTCTGGGTTGTACGTAAATAGGCTTGCATATTTGTGCTCTGCATGATTATAGTGCACATATCGAATAACTGCCTTAACGGCCGTTGGCTCTGCGTTGATTTTATTTCGAATGTAATCTGCAGCCACTCTGACAGTAAATCTAGTGTAGAATGCAAGAATTGCATTTCCTATTGACTGAAAGAACGGGTCCTCCAGGCCCTTTACTTCATATGGATATGGAGGTCCCATCCAGGCCCATATTTTGCTGTTCCCTGGGCCTATTTCATCTTCCATAACGTAGGACCAATACCGCCCTAGACCAAGCACATTCGAACTATTCGAGTACACAGGGAACGAGAACAAAGAAGATGCGACATTCTGCTTGATTGTCAAAAGATACTCATTTATCTTATATCTTAGTGCACATTCCTGGAAGTGTGCTGGGTCTTTTTCCTTTTCAAATTTCACCATAGACCTTTCCCTTATTCTTTTGACTTTACTGAAGTTCCATAGGTTATCCTCAAGTGTCCTTATGGTCAAAATATCATATGCATCTGCTTTTGTAATTGGTGCAGATAGTATATCCAGGGTGCTATTTGAAAGAAGAACCTTCCTGTTGAACAGCCAGAATAACTCTCTGAAACCAATTTCATCAAGCATATTTCCATATTCCTGGAGATAAGGATTTTCCCTTAGATCTAAATAGTTGAATCCTTGGCTTCTTAGCAAATAGTCTGCTAGTCTATCAACTGTTTCTATTTGATTGTGCGAAAAGTCAAGATTCTTAATGTAGTCGGATACAAAGAATATGCATGGAATGTATTCAAGCTTATTATGTGAAAGATTTGCAACCTCCAGCCTAGGCAGAGGGATAGACTCTTTGATGATCTTTTCCCTGCCTTGTGAGTGCAAGTAGTACTCCTTTGGGATTACTTCAAGTATTGCACTGAATATTTTGTTATCTTTTTTTGTAAAGGCGATCTTGTTGTGCGACAAGTCAATCACCCTTAGGGAAATTAAGTCAGGCAGATTATTCGGCAGATATGTAAGCTGGTTCCCGGAAGCATTAAGTGTTACTAGTTTGGCTAGGCTGGATATTGTATCTGGGAGTGCTGTTATTTTGTTGTTGCTTACGTTTAAGTGAATTAGCTCTGCCACTCCTATATGGTCTGGAAGGGATGTTAGGCTGCATCCTGTTACCGACAGGTCAGTTAGCTGGGGACACTCAAAGAGAAGAGGCGGTAAGGCCTTTAGGTCAATGCAATTCGTAACCTGGACCTTTGATAGATTTGGAAATCTGTGCATTTCTTCTGGAAGCTTTTTAATTGCGCACCCTACAAATGTAAGGGAATATAACTCAGTGAATGTATATATTATTTCTGGTATTTCTGTGAACTTGCAATTATGGAAGACAAGAACCTTAACAGGTGCCTTTGACTCTATGACGGGAAACTCGCTTTCCCCTACGAACATAAGCACATTTTTATGTTCACTCAGAAGACTTCTTTTTTTCAATAAACTCTCCAAGGAATCTATATTAGTCTGCTCTTTCTCTGGGGCATCATCAAAATTCACATGTCTACTTCTCTTGTCTACTTCAGTGTCATCATCTGAAACATCTGGACTATCCAGGATAATAGAGTTATGGACCTTTCTGGGGCGAGGTGCAGGGGTAGGTTTAATTTCTGATTTAACTGCATTATTTGTCTCCTCTTTTCTTGCCTCTTTTGTTTCTTTTTCTTCTGCATTATTCGTCTCTTTTTCTTCTCTGACTATTTCTTCTTTAATTGACTTTTCTTCTGGAAGTGGTTCTTCTTCTGAAAGTGATCCTTCTTCAGGAATAGTTTGGCACAGTCTACCAGATGGTACAATACTAGTATCTAGTGCTACTTTTAGGAGTTCTGGGTTTATGGAATAATCTGATTCATTTTCACTACTGGAGCTAGAAGTTAATGGAGACCTGCCTGGATGCAAGTCATAACTATCTACTATATCACTATCATCACTGCTTGCAGTTTGGTGTATCTCTGCAGTAGCAGATACCATGCATATGTACACTGTACAGAATATCTTCAATACTGTAAGACTTGCTTTCATATTCTTTTCAATATACGTGCTATTTATGTGTGTTTATTAAAAATCATATTTACTCATTTTGGCATTTATATTAATATAGCCTAATGAAGAATAATTTCGAAATTGTTTCCTACTGCCTTTCTTTCTCCTTATAATTTAGTCTATATACACTGCCTTCTTACATTAGTATGAAATATTTTGTAGAGTTTAGTATGGGGTAAATTGTATTTAGCTTAGCACTTTCATGCACCATGTTATATTTCAGGTTATATCATGGAGTGGTTATATTCAGGTTATTTCATAAAAACAGTGCTTTTTTGGCAGTTAATTCTAAATTTGTATCTTTATTAAACTCTTTGGGTTTTTATGTCTATGCACTCAACAACTGATTATTTATACTCTGTTAGAAAGCACAGACTGGCTGTGTGCACTGCGTGTTAATAAAGTGTTTTTCATATGGCATGATATTTTCTCTTCTAGGCACTTGCACTGCGCCCTAGCATATGAATGTATCTGAAAGGACTTTCTGTACTGCAGCCATGTGCACTCTTTGATAATACCTGGGTTTATTAAACGTGCATAATTTGCAGTTATTTTGCAAGGAATGGGAGACTGCGCAGGGAAAGTGCTCCAAGATACCTTCCTTCATGGGTATTTGCAAATATTAGAAGAAGCAGGAAGGAGAGAACTACATCTCCTTGCGTATCGTATAGTTTGTTCTTGTTTATAAAGTACACGTTGAATGTTTTCTTCCCTTCTATCAGAGACTCTGTATCTTCAACCAGCAGGCCAAACCGACTTATCTTTATCTTGCTGATATCATCGAAAATAAACTCATCCATTGGGTTTGTGTAATACGAACTGTCTCCTGGGATCTTTTCATTGAAGTGGTTGTAGAGAATCTTGAAGAGTGCCTTCCCATGCATTTCATTGCTTTTATCGTAGCACAAGAATCCATTTCCGCACATCATTTTCAGATCATTTATCTCCATTCTTGAAAGAATCTTTGGTGTTTTCATGTTGTTTAGCATCTGCGATGGTTCATTCAGGGCAGAGAGAAGCACATTTTTGTGCATCCATGTTTTGAAGTCTTTTTCCAGCTGCTTGCTGAGACCAAATTCCTGCTCGTACTCTTCATACTTCTTAATGACTATCTGCTTGGGTGGAGTAATTGCCTTGTTCTTCCTTCTGAAGGACAGCTGGAAATTAATTTCGGATTTTCTATATGGCTCCTTATCAGCTGGCTTTTCCTCAGGCTTTACAGCCTCCTGTGGCTTTGCAACTATCTTCACTGCCTCTTTATTTTTCTTGGAAGACGATGCCATTACCAGAATTACAAGAAGCATAAAACACGCATTCGCGAACAAATATGTCAAAACTGCAAATAGACACTTTCCTCCTATTTTTATATACGCAGCAAGTGCACACCCAGTAAGAACAACCTGCACAAGAAGAGATTTTATCTTCTTCTCCATGCCAACTGCATGTGAAATAGAAGGGTCTGTCTTTTCTAAAGATATTTTCATTAGCGCAAATGCAAAAAGTAAATTATATATATCCGAATACTTTTCAAAGAGATCATGAGATGATCAACACAAATAAACACAGCGCCAGTCATGCAATAAAGAACAGCCTGAATTTAGAGAGTGCAATTATTGGGTGAATTCGGGTATTTTGTTTTAGACTTCTTTGAAGTTTCATACGTTGCTATGGCGTGTTCTTTTATAGCACATTGTAAAGGATAAACAATGTCCACGAACGAAAAAATAGACTTAAATGCACCATCTAGTTACCTGGGTGGCATAGACCCAGAATGGATTGCAAGCGGGGATAGCATAAAGGGCCTGCTCCTTGGAATGGCTTCTGCTCCCTTATTGTTGGTTTCTGTGTACTTTTTCAAGGCCAGCCCACGGTTTTTCTCTAAGGAACACGGAATATCTTTGCTTGCGTATATGGCATGCTCGTTCTTAGTCTCTCTTGGCGTACTATTCTATGGTCTTCCAGCCGTGATAACCTCCTTTCAGATACTTCCCATTCTGAACCAAATCTTTGTTAGCTCCTTCTCGCTCTCTATTGAGTCTATATCCTCTATTATGCTTACTACACTTAGTGTATACTTCTCTCTTATAGGATACAGTGGAATTGAAAAAACCTCGTCTTTCAGCTGGATTGCTTTGGTTCTTTTCCTTGTTGTGCTAAGTCTCTCCATCATGCGCCTTACTTCGCATAGTGACTACATCAGAAGAAGATTTGAAATTGAGAAATACTCAGATCTGCTTTGCATGCTTGTCCTTTCCTTTGAAGGCGCCATTGGATTTGTGTCACTTTGCTCTTTCGCATACCTATTCAACATACTCCTGCCTATTGTTGCCTTGCTCACAAGCATGTCATTTTTGCTTGCCATGGAGAAAGCCCTTTACTACTACCCAGCCACTGCAGTTATCCCAATTTTCACGATTCTTGTTAGAGTAATTGGTGCAATATTCTCTCTGCAAATATATTCAAACGCGTACAATGGTGCCGTGGGTTTATCTCTAATTCTTGGAGTAGTGTCCTCTATTTTTCCTTTAATATTAGCATAGGTTAAGTTAAATAAATATTTCAATATTTATCTATTACTGGTGTTCTTCCAATCTATTGATATAAATCTCTTCATATTTACTTTTTTGCAAATCGTCTGTACGCTTTCCATTTTTCCATCGTAAAATATTTCAGCCCAAAATATAAACAGAAGAGAAAATATAAAAGAAGAAGCACTTTGCATCTGTAAGGCAGTATTATTAGTACCCGGAGTGTAGATGTATTCAGTAAAGATACTATCTACTGGCATCTCTATTATTAAATCAGCTGAATTCAATATTCAAAAATGAGCTTGCTAGTGCATTAAGAGGCCCTCTGCTGGTATATAGAAGTAGTTATAGTCCGCATATGCCTGCTGCTTAAAATGCTAGTTATTTCTCTTTTCTGGTAGATGTTGCAATGTGCTAGATTTTCTTGGTGTACTGAAATGTACTTCAAGTGAAGAAGGAGTGGTAGTGTGTGGTAGAATTAATAATGGAGTTTATTCGTGCGTGATTGGCTAGCCCTGGGGCCTACTTTATCTGCACAGTCAGTGCAGGTGTAAGCACAACTAGAAGTAAAGCAGTGCAAAAGGGGCATGTTTACTATTCACTTGGTGCAAACGAGTTTTTCTCAACTATGTCAATGAATGTGAGCGGCACAATCTTTGTCCCAGCTCCAGATCCAACTAAAAAATGGTTCTTTTTTATAGGAATCTCTTCTAGCACCATCCAGGTGCCAGGCTTATACTTAGCACTCTCTTCCGGTGCTTTTTCCTTTTTCTTGATTAGAACAATATCCCCAAACTTTGGAGCCTTTTTCTCTTTTACGATGGGCATACTTAGCTTTCTGTTTCTCTCTCTTTCCTCCATCTCATAGAACATTCTCTGCTCAGTGATTCTTCTCTGGTTCTTCTTGCTGTGGTACTTCTTCAGCGTGCTTAGCTCTTTAATATTCACTAGGGACTTGTTCGCTTGGTTTTTAAAGAGCATATTTGGGGTTATGTTAGTGTACATCTGCTTCTTCATATTAAACCCTTTTATAATCCAGTCAATCGTGCCCAGCCAGGTCTTCTGGTTCTCTGACTTTAGAATGTATCTTTTTAGCTTTGTCTTGAAGGCCATGAAGATTCTTTCTGCCTCACAGCAGCTGTCATATATCGTGTTTTTTGCATATCCTTGGATGTACTCTATTGTTCTCTTTGTGGATATTTGTATTGTGCTTATTGGAATATTTGTCAGGCCTTTCCCCATGTATATGCAGTAAGGCTCTCCTTCTGCCCTGAACAGTCTGTTCAAGGCCATTATCACTTGATTGCTGATGCTTATGCAGTTTGTCAGTGGGTATATCAGCTGGTACTCTGAATATGCATCTACAATGTGCAGAATATGCGTATATCCTTTGTTGTAATCCTTGTATCCAACGAGGTCAATTATTGAAAGATTAAGCCTTTCCATGCGCCTGGCTGCCTCTGGTATTGGTTTTTTAAAAATGACAGGGGGTACTTCTAGCTTTTTCTTTTTCATTTTTGTTTTTGGCATTCGCTGCTTCTTTTCCATCATTTTCATCCTTTGCCTTAGTATTATGTCCCTGCACCCTGGGCAGCTTTCCACTAGCTTCGCAATGCGTACCTTTTTAAAGCCAAACCATTCTTTCTTTATCAGCTTCCAGATTTTATAGAGCTTTAAGTGCCCGTGCTTGGCTTCTATCTGTGTGAATGCCTTTAGAATTCCCTCGTCATCGTCGTCACCAATTGCGAATACTTTTTCTCCACTCTCTCCTATTTGTATAGAAAGACCCTCGTTTTTTTCGATCTGGAACATTTGTGATCTCTTTATAAAGGTCTCCTTCGCTGATTTCGATAAATATTCGGGCACAATGCCAAAATCTAAATAGTTTTTAGTGTCCCCGATTAACTGAATTGACATTTTGATTGATAGAGCGTTCTTCTTCATTTCCATGCTAAAGCTTCAAAAATATTTTATTATGATATTTTATAACCCAAAAATAACCAGAGTACCCTAGAACAATTCTTTTTGTGCTTTTTAATGGGCCGCATTCTGAATAAAGCTACAGGGAGTGCGTATGCATTGAGTGTAAAGTACATGCAGGTTCTTGCTCATTTAATGCACTTTTCATTTCTGGCTGAGTCTCTGATTTTTTCCTGTCTACTATAATATATCCCGAACAACAAATATTTGAGCATAAAAGCTTTTCATATAGAAGAAGCTTTCTTGGCTGGCTGGCTCTAGTAAATGTGCCTAGATATTAGGTATATCAAGTAGGGTTCTCCTTACACTTAGTCTACCACGGATGTAAATGCACTTTAATTAGTGTCTTACCCTGGGGTGATTATTTTAATGAAAACAAAAATCGGCATAGTCTTACTCTTCATACAGAGAATATAATTATTACTAGTAGAAAAAGTAGACTAAAATTAACTACCATAAAGAGACAGAACTATTGTCCCTGCAAGAAGCAGAAATTAATAATGTACTAGACTAGCCTGAGTATTAGTTTAAATTAGGCTAGATGTATTCTTGCATATTTACAGTCTTCATGAATATTAAAAGAATACTAGTGCAGCTGTCTCAATGGTAAAACAATTATATTCATTGGGTTAAATAATGAAATATATCTTAGTGTATATGTAACTTGTAAATATATAAAGAGACGGGTAGATGGCATTGTATGTGTACTGCAGATGCCTAATATAAGAACTATTATTTTTTGACTTTATTATTTTCAAAAAGCCCTTTGTGACTGTGGGCTTCTGTATATTTGGATAGTAGGATTTGGTTATACTTTTGCAGGTAGGCAGATGTTTGGCTTAATCACGTGCTTTATGGATTGCATGAATTCTTCTACGGTTGCGTTCTTTATATCTTTACTTGAACCTCCACTTGGGCATGAAAGCGGCTGTTTAAATATCTTTTTCACGGATGGAAATAGTCTACTCAAAGCCATTGCTACGATGTCATTGCAGTTGTGGTTTGATGTGTATAAAAGAGGGCTGTTTATCTTGATGTTTATCATATTACGAAGCTGCTCTTCTGTGTGATTAGTTCCCTTGCACTTAAGAAGAAACAGAAGGTCCTGAATTAGTGAAGCTGCCTCTACTTTGTCATTCATGATTGTCACATCCATTCGTTCCAGGCTTGGAAAAGCATTAAAAATCCTTTGCATAGTTGTTTGCATACTGACAAACTCTTCACCGCCATTCTTAGCCACATCGTACCCTGGGTCAAAGAATGTAAATCCAAATACTTTTATGCTTTTTTTGACTAGGTTCTCTTTAGACTCAATCACGGAAAGAATTTCAGAATTCATGATGGCCACTTCTGTTATGTCTACGCTCTCCAGGCTGTTTATTTTCAAGACCTTTTTGAACATGTCAACATAAGAAGGCTCTTGCGAGTCACTGTCCCCAAATAGTCTGACTGTCTGGATGTCCATCCTTTCTCTGACAATAGTCGGCAGCTCTGAGTCCTTGTAAGGCTCTTCCATGTCATTCTCAGGCAGAGAGATCTTTAGCTCTATAAGGTTTGGAAGTCTTTCTAGATTTAGCTCTTCAAACACGTAGTGATACGGAGAGACAAGAGTCATTAATGTGGTTGTGTTTTTCAAAGGAATTGAGAACTTACCTAGGAAGTTCGGTCTTCTGTGGTTAAGCTTATAGAGGCACGGGTGCGTTTTATCTACACATATACGCTCTCTGTCTATTTCCTTCATAAACCCAATTTCAGTAATATTCAGGGCCAGCAGCTGCTTCTTTGCAAGCTCATTCAGAGATAAGTAGTCATAGATAACGAACCCTTGCATGATCTGCTTCATTTGTCTCTCAGATCTCTTCTTCTCAAAGTCCAAAACAATATTAACAAGCGTCAGGTTATTCTGGATTCTTCGCAGATTTCCAAGTGACCGCATGTACACAACCTCCACAAGCTGGAACACCTCCATGACAGAACTGAAGTGCATTTCAGGAATTTCCAGGTCCTCCTGTATGACCACCTCTATACTCTTAACTGTCAGCTGGTTGTTAGTGGCAAGATAGTACGCAAGCCCAATGTAGTTTGTGTTTGGTGCCCTTTTATTACTCATAAAGAGCTCAATGCCTTTTTTGCCTAGAACTGCAGTTTCCCTGACATACGTAAGGATGCTCTTCATGTCGTTGTCCTTTACTGTATTGCAGAGTGTGGCATAGAGGTACCAGATGAGGTCTAGGTTAACTTCTCTGCTTAGTATCCATCTGACCCAGCTTCTATCATCAATGCGCCTGGAAGGCACTTCAGTCATTAAAGCAGGCCTTCCATTATACCTTATTTCCCGGAGTATTTTCATATAGTAGGAGCCAGCTCCCACATTGTTCTGCAGGAGTATGCGCATGTTCTCCTTGAAGCAATCTCTTTTTGTCATGTCCATTCCATACTTCTCTTTGATCTCAGTAGGAATTCGTATATACTTGTCCATTGAGAATATTTCGTACAGTGCAAGAATTGTGTTTATGTCCTTTGTGGATAGATAAAGACCTTCCTCCTTTGAAAAGTACGGAACATTTGCCATGTTCACCATTGTTACAAAGTTCTCTACGTACACATCGTATATATGTATTTTCTCTTTCTCTTCCCAGTCTAGCTCGAGCCTCTTAAAGTACTCTTTTGTGTAGAAAACGGATATTATCGTTCGTTTATATAGTTCATCATTGACATTCTGGGTTGCAGGCGGGTTTTTCTGCTGATCTCTCTTGATCAGGAACTTACGCGCTTGTTTATACTTCTCAATTGGCTCAAACCCTGCAAGGAATGACTTCTTGAGAATAGGCGCTGCTTTCTTACGCAGTTGGTTCTTTTCAAAGAATGATGACCAGTTTACAATATTCACACTTCCCTCTTCGTCTGCATTGAGAGACTTGGATAAGGATAGCACAGAGGAAAAAGAGCACAGAAGTGCCTTTATAATCAGAGTGTATTGAAAAAGTGATTTTCGCTGTAACTTCATAACTATCAAAGTATCAAAAGTATAAAAAGATAAGTCTGAAACACTGTATCAAAAAGACCATTGCAGATTGAGTGATTGATTGGAAATAATTTGTTGTTTTGGAATAATGATGGCGCCTGAAACACAAAGTGCATAAACCATAGAAACCGCATGCACAATCTGCCAACCAAGTACCTGAAAACTTAAAGAGCATCTGGTTAGTGCACATTTGCAGCCACCCAGAAGGATTTAATCCATATGCTTACTACAAGAAAAGACACTACACCATGGATTGAAATATATTTCATTGAGGCACCTGTCTGTGTAGCAGCAGACAAAGAAATTCTTAAACAGACAGGATATGTAATAGTAAGAAGAATTTAATAGAACATTTTATTATTAAGGAGTGAAAACAAATATCTACTGCAGTTATCTCTACATGGCAGATATATCTAATAGAAGAATATTCTGCTGTATCTGCAATGGAAAATTATATCTGCATCTATTAGTGTTGTGTGATCTAATATATCGCCATATAAAATATGCCTATACATTACTATTCTTAGTATAATGCACAGTGGTATTATAGAAGTACTGCATATGCATATATCTATGTAAATATACAGTAGATCAACCACTGCCACTGCCATAATACAGGCAAGTATAACTGAAATATCTCTATATACTACTGCACAGCGCCAAGAATATGTATGCTTGCAATGTACTTGTAAATTATTCTGTAAGCATACACTTTCCTTCCTGTGCTGTAAATTAGTAGCTTCATTTGGGCGTCCATAAATGCATTTACTTAAAACCTTCATGCATAGTCCTTCCAGAAAATAAGCATTCCCTGCAACGCACAAGTGCTCTATATACATAATTATCCTGGTAAGAGGCTCTAAAAGAGAAGGCTCTTTAAAGATCTCGCAAACAACAGGTCTTTCCATACTAAAATTCCTCTGTATAGCAATCTACTCCATGCATGCGCATAGCCATAACTGCCTAATGCAAGGACATTCAGAGACTAGTCCCGTCCATATTCTGTTATAGACTATCCTTTGATGTAAATCACTAAGAAGCATACAAATACATTAACCAAAACGAAAAGAGCTGCAAATATCATAATTGCAAACATCACCATCATTATCTTATTGACAGATGATTCCAGGTAATCCTGCAGTATCTTTGACTTTCCATGCTGCTCCTGCAATATTTCCGCGGGAAGCATTGTTTCATTCATGCACTGAAACAGCACTCTGGCTTTATACTGCTGCTGCCCTATTGGCTGTCTGCTTTACTCGGTGGATCTGGACTATTTAAAGAGAAGGCCAATAAACAGAAGAAGAGACAGCCCACCCACTGTCACGATTAAAATAAGCATAAAACTGTCCTTTCTGGCTGCATCTATCTTATTCATGATATTTTTAATGGCCAGCCGATCTACAGCACTGCTCTTCATTACTTTATCGATATAAGATATGTCTTCATTTACTGCATCATTGCATCTTACAGAGAGGTCCTTTAGGTCCAGCACAGCCCTCCTGAGGGTTTTCATTTTCTCATTTTCCTCCAGGATAACCTGTGCTCTTTTTCCCTTTTCCTCCTGGTCAGCCATAAATATTCAAAATTTGCAAAGAATAAATAGAAGAAGTTTATTCAAATCTCTTTGTCTTTGCTCTTCCGGTACCAGTTCTCTTGGCAGCAATCTGTCCAACCTTCTGTCCAGGTGGTGCAGTTCTACCGACACAAGATGACTTTCCTATGTGCTGGTGGTTACCTCCTCCGTGGACGTGGTCAACTGGGTTCATGGCCACACCTCTAACTCTTGGCCAGGCTCCTAGCTTGCCTCTTGCCTTCTGTTTGTAGTATGCTCTTCCGGCCTTAAGCAGAGGCTTCTCGTGCACACCACCGGATGCAATGATTCCAATCATGGCACGGCTGTCTCCACTGAGGATCTTCTTAACACCAGATGGAAGCTTTATTCTGGACTCGTTCTTGTCTGGGTTGTATCCAACAACAGTGGCGTATGAACCACTTGTCTTTGCAATACTTCCTCCATCTCTAACTACTCTCTCAACTGAGCAGATAACTGTACCGTCTGGGATGTTCTTCAGGCACATTGTGTTTCCAAGGGAAAGTGGAGTCTTTTCTCCAAAGTATATTGTCTTTCCAGTGTACATGCCCTCCAAGGCCACTAAGACTACTTTTTCCTTCTTAGCGTGCTTGTCTTCGTTTACCATTGTAATCATGGCAAGAGGTGCATTTCTACCTCTCTCGTGGACTATCTCTGATACTATTCCTTCACGCATCTCTGCAGATGGCTTTGGGAACTTAGTTGCGCCCTTTTTGTACATTTTGTTAGTTCTGTTGTGGGGCTTTGATAACCTCTGCTTCCTTAGTACTTTAGACATTCTATTATCTGGGGTATTAAAAAATAAAATTAAATACGCATGGGAATATATTCCGCATATGGCATTAGTGCAAAAATATGCAGTCTTCCAGGATGAAAAAGAAAACAAAGTGTTCTTCAATGGATGTGCAGATTGGGTGCCTGGAAGGTGCTGCTGTCTTTAAGCTGCACGGCACTTTGTGCTTTTATGCAAAGAATATTTTCTTTTTATGGATTACAAAAAGCAGTTGCAAGCAGAGTACAACGAATGGAATGATAAAAAAGTAAAGAGGCACTAGAGACAAATACAAGTAAAGGGGTACACACCAGAGCAGATATACAACCAGATAGAAAATATCACCAATATAGCCATAAAGGATGTGGAGGAGTACTTAGTGGACTACATGAATAAAGACTCACTGGTGAGTGAAGAGAGTGCATCCGAGGCAGAAGATGAAGCTGAAAGCAAAGAAGCATCAGAAGGCACAGAAGAGGAAGATGTCTCCAGTGCATCAGATGAAACAAGTGAGAGCACTGAGGGAGAGCAGGAAGAGAGTGGTGCAGATGTCAGTTGCAGCGAGGAAGAAAATAAGCTAGAGGCAGCAGATGAGGAAGAAGAACTCTCTGAGGTGGAAAGCATAGATCCAGAAGAATCTGGGGAAAAGGAAAGCACTGAGCACAGCTACTCCTCTGGGGAGCTGAATGATATTTACGACTACTTGGAGAGAGACTGCAACGAGTCTGGCGAGCTAATGGAAGAGACTGCTTTGGAGACTTTGAAGAAACTTGGAAAATAGAAGAACTTTTTATGCAGAAAATATTTTCAGTTGCAAATGGACAGACAAAGACAAATTGAAAGGATTGAAAGTGAGCTGGTCAGCCAAAAGCCATGGTATGAAAAAGGAGAGGTCTCTGTGAAGGAAAGACCAAAGAATTCGCTTCTATTTGATGAGGACTGCGACTCAGACGAGTTTGTGCGGAATATTGAGTTCATCCGGAACAAAACCACTCTGAAGATAGAAAACACTGTTGACGTGCTAATAGAGAGAATTGTAAAGGACCGGATAAAAAGAAAGACGTACGATAACCCGCGTAAGGCCCAGCCAAAAAAGAAAGACCTCACAATTGTAGTGCCAGACAAGGATGAGAAGGTGGTACTGCACGATATTCTGGATGGAAGGCGCAGTGAGAATGACAAGTTCATGGATCCCAACGAGATGATCAAGCTTTTCAACGAGATAGACAGTGCACTAGTGGAGATATCAGACAAATCATACACTGGAAGCAGGCCTATGCAAACAATAAGCAAAAAAGAAGCACAGCCAGATGACGCAAATCAGAAGGTACGCTTATAAGCACAGCAGATGCAGCACATGAATTCCTGGATATATGTAGTATGGAACTGTCTGCTGAATATTAAGCATCAGCATGCAGTACTGTATCACTAGCAATACGCAAAGCACAATAAATATATACTACAGTATCTGACTATTTTTCGTTTGTGTGAAATATGCTGCAAATTTGTGCACGGGGCTAAGTTTAGTCTAGAAGAGTGCAAGGAGAAAGCTGCTGGGAATGAATGTGATTTATTCTGTCCTGCACTTGTAGAAAAGGACAAAAAGTGCAGCACTCTGTGTTCCCACGCGGTCTCCCATCGCAGTACTATCAAAGCTGTCACGCGCTTAACTTCAGAGATCGAACGGGTTCTGGTGTGTACGCAGGCATATGGCCGCACGAGTATTAGTTACCTGCTGGGTCCTTGTAGGCCTATATTAGTCTTAGACGAGCTTTGTCTTCTGCTTGTGTGGTTTTCTGAAGTTTCTTTTTGCAACTTTTGGCTTGTCTGTGTATAGGCATGGAAATACATTTTACTTGCTGAATATTCTAGAGGATGAATTTGGCAGAAGATGCAAAGACAGATTTATGATTCTCTTTGTTCTTAGTATGTGCACTAATTCTTTAACTATTTAATTAGAAGCATACTTTACTTGGCTTCTAAGATGATCTATATTAATTTTGTATTTGGCATTCAAAGAGCCTTTAGAGTTAACAGAGTATATTGTAACTATGCTAAAATAGATATACTTTTCATTAAGCCCATTTATTTAAAATATCAGATATTTCGGTCTTTGGTCTTAATAATATGCCTTCCTGTGCTGGAGGCATACTGCTCTTGCTATGCCGCAATGAGAAAAGGCTTTGTCACGTTCCATGCAAACTAAAACCACCTAATTGTAGGATTTGTTGTAGAAAAAGGCAGCTGTATGTAATCTAGTGATCAATTACATTTAAATTTCCGGTCACCACCTTGTCATCCAGCACAGTTCCATCTGCAATATGGATGGACTTGCCTTCATCTGCAATTATAATCACTGTTCCTTTTAGCTCTACATTTTTCCCCAGTGTTACATTTCCACTGATTGTTAGGTGGTCTAGATCATCAATAGTCACTGGCCCATGGACGTGGGCTCTGTAGTTTGAAACAGTTTTGAAACAGTCTCCCACTAGCCGAATGATAGGAATGCTGTCCGTAATTCTGTTGGGGGAAATTGTTAGAGTTCCGTGCGCTATTTTAAACAGCGTGCTTTGGAGCAGGAACAGATCGCTGCATGTTTTAACAGGAAGGAATCTGCTCCTAGGAACAACCAATCCCTTTGCATTTGAGAAGTATCGAATGGAGGCTCCAATTGCTGTTTCTAGCTGGATTACACTCTCGCCATTTGGAAGCTTCTTCTTGTTTTCGATTATCTCCAGCTCCATGATGTTCTGGTCTAGAACTTTCTTTAGAGATGGAAGATGTATCCAGATGGAGTTTGTATTGAATATCTTGAATTTCCGAATGCTCGTGAAATCTGTTTTGTTCTCTGCTGGCACTTGTGCTATTTCCAGAAGCTGCAAAGCGTTATTATATTCAATGAGAGTGCCGCCTTTAACATCTGCTCTTGTCTTCTTTGTCACCTCCATTAAGAAATCAACTTCATCCTTTATTACATACTGCAGAATGGACAGGTCTATCCCTGCTTTTAAGTTGTCTATGTTGCTCACAAATAGATACTCCTTTCCTTCCTCCAAAAGCTTCTCCAGCATGCCTGAGTCGTACAAGGAGTCATACAAGTCCCCATGCCCAGGTGGATACCACCCGTCGGCCTCTTTAACAGACGGATCTGACAGCACCGGCATCAGTGTGTCCTCAAATATCCTTGGGAAAACACTCTGCTCGAAGGACCAAACCCCGCTGTACTTACTTGTTAGCTTTCTTGTTTGCTGGTGCGTATTGTAGCTGTTCATCAACACAAGAGGAACATTTGTGCCGTACTTTGTGTTGAAGTGCTCCAGCTGCCGAACAGTCAGATCGATGAAGTTCAAGTAGTTCTTCACCTCAATTGCACTCTTAGGCCCTGTGCAGCCCATTGATGTGCCAAGGCCGCCATTTAGCTTTAGCACAGCAAGCTTATTAAGCATTTCAGAAATATTCTCTGCTGGCGGTGCCTGAATTGACTCATACTCGACCATCATCTCTGCAGGTGGCGGTGCTATTTTAGACCAATCGATTTTGTCTGACCTAGTCTTTAAATATCTTGAGAATATCTTTAAGAACTTCTTTTGGTCCTCTGGTTTTGCCCTTTCATATTGAGAAGATAGCGCACTTAGCTCCTCCTCCATTAGAGGCAAAAGACATTCTGCACCCCTCTGCATAAACTCATATGCAGTGTCCATGCGAGTCAGCTCTTCTGTGCTTGTTCCTTCTAACAAGGAAGGCCCTATATCTTGCGAATTGTTCTCATCCATTGTAAATAAAAAAGTACTTCTATTTATATCCTTTTCATTTTTACTTATCCATTCTGAAACCATATTTGCCATATTTTTAGTTTTCTTTTTGTCCATTCTCTATGTTTTCAATCTTCCTTATTTTTGCTATGCTTGCTTCTGGCATTGCTGCCAGTGTTCTAAACAAGTACATTGTCTCTCATCTGCACATTTCTGGTAAGTTCTTCATCCTTCTGGTCCAAACAGTTTTCCTCCTTCTTCTTCTTTCCATTATAATGGCATTTGTCTACTCCCCTAGCGATTCCTTCAAGGCTGCCTCCATTTCTACTGTTTCCCCGTGGATATTCTCTGCTGTTTCTCTCTCTATTATGATTTACTCGGGGCTTGAGGCAAATGCACGCCTGTCGATTTCTCTTTTTACTGTTCTCAAAAATCTTACAATTCCCATAATCGCAGTGCACGATGCACTTTTCAACAGCTATAAGATATCAATGCTTACTCTTCTGTCGTTTATTTTGATAGTTGTAAGCTCATTCCTAGGGGCTTACTCTACTGACAAAAAGAAGAAAGACTCCATCTCAGTGCTTGGAATTACCTGGATGGCACTAAACTGCTTCTCCTCTGCTGCATATGTTATACGCTTCAACCAGCTAATTCGAACAACACAAACAAGTAGTATAGTTGCTGCGTGGGCAGTAAACATACTTGCCTTTCCTCTTATTCTTTTTTGCTTCGCGTTTGAGGGCATGCGGGACCTTAAAACAGTCGGGGTAAAGGAGATGCTTATTATTGCGCTGTCTGGCATAGCCACCTGCTGCATAGCTGTGTCCAACGCGCACGCTGCATACACATTCTCCACAACCACAATTGCTGTTATAAACGCACTGAACAAGCTTCCAATAGCCGCAAGCGGAGTGGTTTTTGGATTTGAAACTGCTGGCCGCTCGTCCAAATGGATATCTATTCTTCTGGGCGTGGCCTCCTCAATTCTTTATGCAGCTTCCAGAATGCCCTCCAGCAATGCATAGCCAGCTATGTATATTATTCCACCTCCTAGCATATTTATCCCCTAAACTGGCTGAAAACTGTAAATTCATATGTTTGGAAGCTTGAGTGCTGCGCTGCCAGGTGTGTGGCTGGTAAATATTTATCAATACATGCTTCTTACTTTGCAGTTGTTTTTATATTAGTTACTTGATTAAATTATGGCATTTATATTTTGGAAAGCAAGAAGTTGTTTCTGTGCAGTGCATAAGTAGATGTGCAAGATATGATGGAAAACCAACCGGATGGAAGCTTGCTAAGCGCACCAATACCTACTCATTTCATAAAAATTACTGTGTGGGTGTGCACATTTATTTTGGAACATCCTAAGGCGTGCCATTTATCATATATACATCTATTCTATGGTTCAGCGCTGAATTTTGGTGTATGCTTTGCTTGGTGTATGGCCCATCAGGCGACTCTATTCCTGCTATGTATACTCTTTTCACGCGCCCATGAACCAAGGCCATCCCACACACAAGGCATGGCTCGCTTGATAGTATCACGGTGCGCCCTGTGCATAGGTAGTCTGATGTACTCCTTGAGATTGTCTTAACCATTCGTATTACTGAGTGCTGGAAAAAGCTATCCGGCGTGTCTGTATTTGCAAATATTGTGTGTGCATGCGAGCCACTGAACTCAGTATCCTCCAAAATGGTTGCTGAAACTGCGCATGCCTCCTGTTTTTTGCTTTGTGTGGTAACTAGCCTCTGAATATAGTGAGGCACCTCTGTTGTTTCAGGCGCTCCTACTTTTACCGAGCAGGGCCATTGCTTAATTGCTGCATTTATTTCAACTTCTGTTTTAGGTTCTTTTATTGGAATGTACGCTGGGAATAGAGTTTCTGTATCAACCCCAAGCGACTCTATAAATTGTTTGTGCGAGTTTGCACTGTCTAAATAGTCAGCTTCCTTACATAGGAGAACACACAAGCTGTCATTCTCTGGCTTTATTCTTTTAAGAAACCCTGGCTTGTTTTGGAAGTATTTAGATATCTCTCGGATTAGACTGCTGCTGTTCTTTTTTGGGACTGACACTGCCAGCCATTTCTCCAGATCCAGCTGAGGATGCGGATTTATTCTGGTGCACAGCATAATAAAAAAGTTTTGTAAAACCGACATTAAGCAAGCACCCCTCTGGCCAACAACGAAGTAGATTCTGATTTTGGATTATATATACTTGCCTGTCACTGTATAAAAATACCCATATTTGCATTACTATTGTTGGGTTTATTTGTGTTAGAGCGTGAAATACTTTCCTTGGGCCAAAAATGTGGATGAATTTAGCAGCCATAGTATTTTTTGGTGTGCATATATATTACTGCCTACAGCTGTCTAGAGGCGTATAAATAGTCTACATGAAATAAATCAGATGAAGGGTCTTAAAAACAAGTCTATTGTTTGGAGAAAGCCCATATAGGTCAACTAGCCAATTATTAAACACAGCATAGTATAGTGGGGTAGGTTTTGTGCTATGTGGTTTACATACGGTTGGTTTTTGGTGTGAATAGACACTGCACATGGTTTATTGTTTGTGGTGTGCCTTCCAGTCCTTTTTATTGTCTTTCTATATTAATATCTTTTCTTCTGTTTTATTTCTATGTTTATTGAAAAAACAAAGTATACTCAGCTCTATTATACTAGTTTGTTTTAGAAAGGCTTGCGGAAATAAAAAAAGATAGAAGACCGCGAAAATCTGATAAAGAGCAAAAACGAAAGACCCATAATAATCGGACTGTAAGAAGCGAGCTAAGAAGTAAACAGTAATGGCAGTCTGTTATAATCACAATGAAAACGAAAGCGGCCTCTCAAGGCCAACAAAGTCATAATATTCAGTGTTTTAAATGTAGAGACAAAAAGAGATTTTTCTAGAACAGAAAGTCAACTAGACACCAAGCCAGAGTATAAAACAAGTTTTATATTTCTTTCTTTACAATCCAGTGAATAAGATGGGCTGCTTTCAAATATATAACCTGATATTATAAATACTGTATTCATTTACTCCAAGCATAATTATATTTCTGGTCTCTCACTTAGACTATTAGTTTCTTTGCCACATTAAGCAGCTGCGTCTATAAAAAATATACATGCGCAAATAAACACCAGATGACTTTTGCACAGGAAAAAATCAAGACCATTTATTAAGCCTGTGAATAGAAAAAAATATACATTATTATACAGATGATTATGGATAAAAGAGGTTGAAAAAGGCCATGTAAATTTTAACTTTTAATAGACAAAGAGTTTCTAATCCTATATTTTAAGAAAACAGATTTGGGTTATATGGGGTTTGCTTGCCCACTAAATTCACTTTTGCACAAGGGCGTATTTTCTCCCTTCTTTTCATACATACTAACAGCCGCATAATACAATATATACATATCCATCCTCTGAATTGCCTTCAGTATAAGATCCTGCTGGAGTGTGCATGCGTCATCTAGCAAAGCAATGGATGCATCCATGTATTTTATGTGCTGTAAATGCACCCCTATTACCATTTGCAGCGCCTCTAGCTCATTTGATGTGGCTTGCGCGTGCGCTGTCTCGGCTTTTCTCATTGAATATAATAGCTTTTCTTTAGCAGCTACACATTTTATAAGACTCAACTCTTTTTTCATTAGAACAATAAATTTCTTCTGAAGCTCTGCCACATTGAATAGATAGTCAATATGGTGCCTTCTTGAGATATTATTCAATTCTTTGGTTTGAAGCACCAGAGCTCTTTGAGACCTACACTCATGAATAGAAACTTCATTAGATTTAGTCAGTTCTTTTATTTTGGAAGAAAAGACCTCTAACATATTTGCTTTTTCGCTATAATCTATGCACGCCTCAACAGGCAAATATGCTCTATTAGAATATGTTAAATAGTAATCATTAGCAATCTTCTCCATATTGCTTGCTTTTTTGAAATTTTCGTGGTATTCTTTTAGTAACTCAAATCTTTTCAAGCATGCGTCTGCTACTTCTCTATACAAGGAATTGTAGATAACATGTGCTGAATCTGCATACGCTTTTGCCTCCAAAAGCTTATAAAGATCCTTCTGGCGCCTTTTTACAGATACTATTGCTGGGTTTTCTACATTTTCTGTGGCATTTTCAGACTTAACTGCTTTTTCTGCTAAGCGTGAGAAGTTCTTGCTTTCTTTTACCACATTCATAGTAGGTAGTGTGAAGCTAGACTCTTTTGGCGGTGTATAAGTCTCTAGCATTTCTGATGCTATCGTATAGATTTCAGCCGCACTCAAGTCAATTAGTCCACTTGTAATGAGAAGAAAATGAAGTACAGCCCCCTTTTTTCGGTTCTTAGCCATGCTCATTTATATTCTTAAGACTAATATATCAACATTAAAATATCACTTAGATTTTGGCTTAATACTATACATACTTTTCAAGTAAAGAGTTTTTATTATTATAGTAAATATATTATTGACAGCTCTTCTTATTAGGGATTGGTCTTGAAAGCTCTTTCATCTTCAGCTTTTCGCACAGCAGAATGGTTTTATACTTGGATTTTGGGCGTGTGCTTTGAGCAGTCATATCGAAAACATTCTATTATAGCCCTTCTCTGCAGTAATAGAAGGGTTCTGAATAAATGCTAGTTTGGAAATTTTATCACAGCAAAGTATCTGGATAATAAACAAGAGAAGCAGTAAATGCCGACCACAGGCTTCGAAACACAATAGCACTATGCATTCACATATTTTAATAAAACTTTTCTAAGCACAGCGCACTCAACCACCCGCCGCTATATTCTTTCCAGAGTACAATCCTACCTTTGTGCACAGAAACTAAGTTATATAGCAGGCCCCGACTGCCAAATAAACAATCCTTCTGCTACCATTACATCTAAATCTGAGATTCTTTAGTTATTCTATTAAGTCTCTTTTTTACTTCAATCAATGTATGTTTGGCCGTAGATGCACATTTCTCCTGCTTTTTATGCGCAGAATTGTCAGCACTATATACTTTAAAAAGCTCTTTTCTTTCAAATAGAGCGGATAAATAATTTTTTTGGACAATTTGTAAGTCTTTTAATACACAAATGATCTCTTCTATGCATTTTGTGTATTTATCGTGCTGCTCACCTATTGGATTGTATCCAACCTCATTTGGCTCTGTATTTTGTAAATCCAAACCTTGTTTTTTTATTTCTAAATAAATCAGCTTTTCTCTGTCCTTTACATTTATATAGCTTTCTAAGTCAAGGTCTATTAAATTACAATATATTTCCTGAGATTTTATATGATTCTCTAGGATATACATAGGCAATTTTATTACGTCATTTATAGTCATTCTCGCTACTTGTATTGCAGAAATCAGGGCATTGTATTTGTTGCACACTTCTGTCTTTTTTATTCCTATCCTTTCTAGATCTGATTCTATTCTCCTGATTTCTTTTATTTTATCGCTAGATCCTGATGCTAGGGCAGTTGGAGTATCTGTATGGTTGGAGCTATAATAATCGAATATTTTTTTCCGGATTTTCTTTAATTCTTTCGATTTTTCGCTGAATGCTTCTATAGTCTTTTTACGACTTGAATAAATACTTTCTACTTCATTATCCTTTTCAACATATATATTGTAAGACGAATCTAAGGTACTCTTTGTAACTAATAGCTTGGCTAGCACCTCTTGGTATTCTTTCTTCGCTGCATCCACGGCTTGATTAGCATCATGCATATTTTCTACTGCACTGCTTTCCTCTAAATCCACTTTTTCAACCAATAAAGAAAGCACATTCGTACTTTCATCTAGTGAATAAAGAGCCTGGTCCTGTAAGCCAACAGCCTCCGCCATGTGCATGTCTGGTCTCTGTGTAGTCTGTGGTTTTTCAGTTACCTCTTCTGTAGAAACACTTTTTTCCTCTAATTTCTTCTTGAATTCTTTTACTAATTTGTGTGCATTATCACGATCATTGGCCATTGTAACATACACACATGAGCTCATGCATACTTTATTTTCAGCTGAACTTTCTTCCTCAACACTGCTACTACTGTTTTTCTTAGTCGTCTGCTTTTCTATTTCTTGTATGCCCTGCTTTTCTTTGCTTATATTTATTTCTTCTTCTTTCTTCTCTAACAAGGGACTTATCCTGTCTTCCTGCTGGCTTATAGCCATGCATTTCTCTAGGGGCTCTGTGGATGGTAATTTAGATGCTAATGTATAGATTTCTATTTTAGAAAGTGCAATTGCTACTATAGCTGTTGTAGTTATAACCAGACTTTTCTTGCAAACGCTGTACTTAAACTTCATTCTAGCTTTTATTGATTCACAGCCAAATATATAAAGAATCCAAAGATCATTTTTATTTTTAGTTTAATATTAGCAAAGTATGCTTCTTTCATCTATACTCTATTTAGAGAAACTTCACATTGGCCTGCAAAAACATTTCGCATTTCTCAAAGCATATCTTCGTACTTGCTTTCTTTAGCTAGAAAGAGGCACCCAGTACACAAGTACTTCAAATTTATAGCGCCTTAGTGTTTATATATTGGTGTAAATATGCTTCTGCTGCTTTTTGCATGCCTATAATTTTCTTCTGTTCTTTTGGCTAAGCTCATTTGACGTCCATGGATTCTAGTGTTTCTAGATATAAAACCATATGATTTAAAACTTGAAATACACTCTATAAAAGTATGTGTTTATTTTTCTGTGTGCATGCTGTATAGTGTAGCATATTTGAGCATTTCATGTTCTTGTGAGAGAAAAATCCAATCTCCATTCATGGATGTACTCCACAATTAGCTCATTTTTTATTATAGTGGCATCTTCTATTTTATTGCTATGGCTGTCGGAAAATAAGTGTACATTACATATATTAGAGCAATTATATTAATAACAAGTGTACAGAAAATAAAAAGATGTGGTAGAAATAATAAAAAAAAGAGACATGTATGGGAGTGCATAAGAAAGAAATATGATATTAGTGTAGAAATAGACAGTTCGGGCGTGCCATGCTGTTGAGATATATTACTATAAAATTTATTATTTTTAATAGCAGCTCATTTGCAGAGCAGTTAACTTTGCCATCTCACCTGCAGTTTCTTTCATGCAGGGTCCGCCTGCATTAAATGGCACTCTTGGGCAGGAGGAGAGATCAATGTCAAGCCCAGGAGATAGCCCTAGGTTTGTATTAAAAAGGGATGGGTTCATGCCTGACTGGCATTTGTCCTCGCAAGGGCATCCCATTGTGACTTGTGTTGTTGGTAGCGTGTTTGATATAGCCTTCTGGCAGTCTTTTAGGCTTCTTTGGTAGGCATTTCCTATTTGAGTTGCTCCTATCATTCCCATCATTATAGGTGGGCTTAAGGGGCATTCTTTTGGTCTTTCAAACATTTGCTCTTGCTGCTGTTGGATTGACCTTATCATCATTGCATTTAGATCAGGACCACAGCAGTTGCCGATTCTTACATTGGTTGGTCCAGGAGCATTTGGGTCAGTTTCTTCTAAGCATTTTTTATAAGAAGGTGGAGGGCAGACACTGTTTTCCTTTAACTGTGTAATTACATCAATTATTCCTGATGGCATCCCAAGGGATGAAAATTCTCCCATGCCACTCATGCCGCCTGCACATGAATTTTGCTGTGGCATACCGCCCATACCACAGGGGCATGGACTGCCCATGCCGCCCAGTCCACCCAAACTTCCTAGTCCGCCCATGCCACCGGAGCACATACTTGGTTGTGGCATACTAGGCATGCCACCGGAGCACATACTTGGTTGTGGAATACCACCCATGCCGCCTAGACCGCCAGAACACATACTTGGTTGTGGCATACCACCAGAGCACATGCTTGGTTGTGACATACCGCCCATGCCACCTAGTAAAGAGCTACCGCATCCACAGGCTCCAAAATCTCCAGACGGGTTACCAAACCCAATAAAAGAGCTGTTTCCGCATGCATTTGGCATATTTTTCATAGACATGTAGTCATTCATTGCAGCATATCCACCTGTAAGGCGTAGGTTTAGCATGCCAAGAAGGGATTTATGGAATTCAGTACATGAATTGTATGAAGAGGCAAGCTTTGGAGTGTTTTCAGCTGAAAGTATCTGGAAAGGATTTATGGATTTGATCAAGATATCTAAACACTCAGTTCCTGTGTTTGGTGGAATGACACCCATGCTCATTAGCATTTCTGGTTCTAAGCATTGCGAAGGATTTCCCATTTTCATCACGGTCTTTCGGATAGAACGAATTGCAGCTGCTAGTTTCTCAAGATTATTGTTCTGGCATGATGCATTTGGGAAACAATTGCACAGTCCTAGAACACCACCTTGTGGGAGGCCTGTCATGGATTCTACACCAGCTTCAAATGATCCAGCTTTTGCAATCTGCCCGCACAGTAATAGTGCAAGTGTAGCTATACTTATGATGCTTTTGATATTTATCATCTATCATGTAGAACGTCATTTGATTAAATACTAAGATTTCACACTCTGTTTTAGAGCTCTCCAATTAGAAAAATGTTTTATGCTATGACTTGCAAACAAATTTAAAACAAAACAGGTTTTAGCTTTTATTCTCTTCCGTGAAAACCCTAGGTTTTATATACCGCATAGTAGAATTGATTGAAGCCGGATCTTTCTTTAGTGGATTAGATCGATCAATAAAGACTTTATTTCCTCTGACTTGCAGAACACTTTGATAGTGGCCTTTGCTGCAGATCCCTTCTCTTTTACAACGGCCTTCACTAGCACGGGCTCCTTGGTATACATAAAAATACCGCCCCACTCCAGAGTATTGTCACTTTCAGCCACCTCCATTTTAAATATATTCTTCAGCTCTTTGATTACCTCATCCTTATCCATTCCAAATCTATATTCTTTCACCAGCGGAGAAGTATCTATCTCTTCTTCTGGAATGTCCAGCCCTGGTGCAATAAAGTCTGTCACAGATATCTCAAAGGGGTTTAGTCTAACCTCACCCACTTCATAGTCTCTACTGTCATACACAGAATACCCAAATGTGCTGGCTATTTCTGCACCGCACAGATCCTTATAGTCGTCGATTGGGATCTTTATATCAATTTCTGTTGATTCCCTTCCTCGGAGGTATATCATCTCTTCGTTGATGCACTTGTTCTCTAGGAACACCCTTAGCCGCCCTTCCTCTAAAACTAGGTCAATTTTGCTTGCTATTCTGTATTGGAGAACAATAAACTCTGGGAATATATTTTTAACAACAGATATTCCAAACTCGCTTTCGCTTCTATTAAGCTCTATGCGGTTGGATGCCTGCAGCTGCACAGAGTTAAATTTAGACTCCAGCTGGCTTTCTTCCCGCTTTTTAATGAATATCTCTGCATCGCCTTCTAATTTGTCAATTACCATCTGGGTAAGCTCGCTTTTCTCTTTTAGGACTTCAGTGCTGCAGCCTTCTGAGAACAGAATGTGCATGGGGTTGCTTTTATCTGCCACTGCAAGAGATAGATTCACAGCAGGCTGTACATTCTCCCCATCCAGTATGGTTCGGTTCAGTAGAGACACCATGTGGTCTGAGGTTTTTGTTTCAACCAGAGACCCAAGTATTTCCACAGTTACCCTTGGATGCACTGAGTCTTCAATGTAGCTTGAAAGTATCTGCTCAAGAGACCTTTTAAGCTCTTTGTCTTCTGTCATCTTCTGCACTTTTGAGATGTTATGGATAATCTTGACTTTGTAGTTGCAGGAGCCTGATGCATTCAGCGCCTTCTTAAAAAGCTCGTCCCAAGAGGTGCCTTTAAACCTGTCGCACATTCCTGTAACAGACTCAACAATGGATATCTTCTGAACCTCTCCCAGCTCAGACAGCAGCGTAGGCAGCGACTTGGCAATCTTATTCGCAGTTTTCTCGCTTCCTATTTTGAGAAGAATTCCCATGGCAAGAAGTGCAATAGTGCCATTGTCAGTGAGCATCCCTTCTATAATCTCTGTCAAAGGAAGAAGCTTCTGTTTATATTGCACGCACATCATATCTATTGTTCTCAAGGCTGCAATCTTCACTACGACTCTGTTTGACTGCAGTAGCTTCTTAAGCCCTTTTACACATCGGTCTAGAAGACTAACAGCACTGGGGAGCATATGGATGTGCCTCATGGCTTCAATGAAGGAAGACGGGTCTGTCTCATCCAAAGACAGATACTGCACAAATATCTTGGCGGCTGTTGGGTTTTCTAGATGCTTGGAAAGATATCTAATAATTTGCACAGACGTAATGCCCTTGGCAGAGACGTTCTTCAAAATATTAATTACCTCTCTGCTATCCTGCGGCCGTATTCTATTAATAAATACAACTGCATTCCCAAGTGGCCCTGTTGTTTTCAGCCCCTGCAGCCACCCGCACCCGCTGAACCACTCAGCAAGCGATGGGTTGGAAAGAAATAGAAGAACTGGAACAATCATGTTTAGAGTGTCATATTCTGTTTCAATAAGGGACTGCTGCACGTACTTAGAGCAGTCTTCTAGCATCTGCTCTGGGGTTATCTGCAGAAGCAGTTTCAGAGCCTCTGCGCGCAGACCATCTTTCTTTGCTATGTTGTTAATCAAGGCATTTATGGCCACAAAAGCACCCGAGGAAAGATCTGCAACGCTCCTAATAAAAGCATATGAGATGGTCTTTAGATAGAGGTCTTTGTTGTGGAAAGAGTGCAGCAGCCTAGATATAACTGCGTCTATTTCAAGCTCTGTAAATTCGCTTCGGCCTATTTCCTTCAGAACATTCACCAAAGCGCTAGTGCATTTTCTTGTGATGATGACACGTTCCGTGAATGCACTCATTTCACTTATTGCCTTTTCCTTACTTTGTCTGTCAATTCGCATCCTGTAATTACAATAAATAATTATAATAATAAAAATAGCAATTTATATATCTAGGCACTGTCAATATAAACGAACTTAGTACAAATATAATTACTGGAATTTATCTGGGAGTGGCTGTTACAGCTTGTTTTAGCACAAAAACATGTGCAGTTTTGCAGTTGGTGATTAGTTTGCATATGCACATTCACTGTGTAAGGTGCAATTTAGAGTAATCGAGTGGCGACAATAAGCAAAACTGACATATCTGTCATTGTATAATGCTATGGCATGCGTTGCCCGTGCACTGTCAAATATAAATCAGATTAACAATATAGATTTATTACAAATCAAGAGAAGGAGTCTTGTCTGATAGGTCCTCCTGATCGTTCTTTATCTGCTGGTGGCGGATAAGTGCTTCTGCTCTGCGGAGAAGAACCTCCTCACTTACCCCCAGTGTTTCGCAAACCTCCTTGGTGAGGCCCTCTGCAAGCAGCGACTGGATCATTAGCGTGTCTTTCTCCTTGCCCCATCCCCTTGGAAGACCTGTTGTTTTTCGCAACACGGGGAGAGGCCCTGCACTGATAAGCTCAAGCCTGTCAAAAAGATTGATCTTATTGGTAAGCACCTTGGCTAGCTCTGCATCAAACCCACTGCGTCTGCTCTGCCGCCTTTTCATGTTTTCCTCTATCATGCCAATCATATTTGTCATTTCTGTTATGATATTCCTGCCTTTGTACATTTTCACAATGCTCTCTCGGTTTTTCTGGGTTGGTCTTCCGAAGAGCTCTATGGCAGCAGACACACTTTCTCTTTCCTCATCATTGTCTTCTTTTTTGTTAATAACAAGAAGTATCTTCCGTATTCGGGAGTTAAGCTCGTCCTTTGACCTTCCCTTGTACAGCGCGATCTCTTTCCCCTTTTCGCTCTTCACCAAGCCCACTCTTGTTTTTTCGTCAACCTGTATGTTGTACACCCCGTAGCCAAACGCGCGGACCTGGCCTACCAGCAGATTATCGTCTTCAATCGCCCAGTTCTTCCACTCGATCTCGGTTGCACCTTTAAAGTCCTCGTATGGCTCAAGAAGCTCAATCATCTGGCATCTGAAGAGAAGTCTTTGCGGATCTACTTCTTCTGGAAGTGCAATCGTCTTATCGTCATTGTCGCTGTCATCCTTCTGGAGCGCCCACTCTAAAGACATGCTCAGGTCGTCCTTAATTCCCTGCTCTGCAATTGCTCTAAGCGCGCGCCGGATGCTCTTTGCAACTTGCCCCTTTGTCAGCCCCTGGGCTTTTGTTCCCCGCAGCTCTACTAGCAGATCTGAGAATCTTTCTTTCTCCAGCACAGTGGCTTTGTCGTTTGCATCCGAAGCGTCAAGAGATTCCTTTAGTTGCTTAATTGCTTCCTCCCTCTTAGGCAGCTCCTCTTCTGAGAGAAGGCCTGCACGCGCCATCTTTCTGAGAATACGCCGGAGCCGGCTTTCAGCGTCTGCAGCTCGTCTCTTTATAAGAAGATTCTCCCAAAAGTCTGGGTCATCTATCTCTTCTGTCACCTGGAATGAAGCCTTGCTGAACACATTTCCTTTTTGGTCCTCGTGCCGGACTACGCTGGTACGCCCTTCAAGTATCTTGTCAATGTCTTCCTCACAGAATTTCTGATTGACATCATCTGCCTCCATAAGAACACCGTATGCACCCTTCTTAAGCAGAGACTCAACTCTTCCCTTCCTGTTGTGCGCAGACTCTCTGTCCTTGTCCTTGTGAAGAATTGCCCTGTCCAAACCAAGCTTCAAGCTAGCTCTGTCAAACATCTCTCTTTCGTATGTGTTGCGGGTCACCAGTCTGTATATCTTAACTTCAGCTGTTTGTCCTATTCTGTGACATCTGGCCTGCGCTTGCAGATCGTTCTGGGGGTTCCAGTCACTGTCAAATATGATAACTGTGTCTGCTGCGGTCAGGTTTATACCCACACCTCCTGCACGCGTGCACAGCAGGAAAACAAAGGAGTTCTCATCCGTGCTGAATCTGTCAATTGACGCCTGTCTTACATCTCCTCGCACTGTTCCATCAATTCGCTCGTATAAGTATCCCTTGTACTGCAGGTACTCAGCAATTAGATCCAGGCACTTTGTCATCTGCGAAAACACAAGCACCTTGTGGCTCTTATGCAGCTTTGCAAGCAGCTTGTCCAGGAAAACAAGCTTTCCACTGCTCTGTATAAGAATCCGGTAGTATTCATCGCGATCTCCAGATTCGTGGTTTATATCCTGTCCGTTTTCCATGAGAATCTGCTCCTCTGCGCCCGAGATTAGATAAGGATGAATGCAGCACTTTCTTAGCTCCATCATTATGTTTAGCAGGTTTGGTGTTGAAGACCCTGCTGCGCCCAGGAATTCCATATTTTTCTCAAGTATTGCTCTGTAGAACCTCTTCTGAATCATTGTGAGCTCCACCTCCACAATGGTCTCCTCCTTTACCGGAATAGTTTCCACATCGTCCTTCATACGACGCAGCATCAGCGGCTTCAGTAGCAGCTGGATCCTTTCCACATCGTCTGCCTCTTCCATCTTGTATGCGTCAAGGAAGTATTTTAGGGAAGGGAACTTCTCCTCATCAATGAAGTTCAGAAGTGACCAAAGCTCTGAAAGGTTGTTCTGCAGCGGCGTACCAGATAGAAGGACCTTGTGGTCCACCTCTATTGACCGGAGGGTCTGCGCTGCCTTGCTTCTGCTGTTCTTTAGTCTATGCGCCTCGTCCAGAACACTCACTCCAAAGGATACAGAAGAAAGATGGTCTACGCCTGCAATGGCCATCTCGTACGTTGTCAAAATAACATCAAACAGAAGTTGCCCTGTTGCAGTTCTGAACTCAAAGTCCTGCATTATTTCCCTTGCTGGCTGCGATCCGTGATACACTAGCACGCGCAGATCAGTCCAGGCAGCAAACTCTCTCTCCCAGTGTGGAATGGTAGAAAGAGGCGCAACCACAAGCGCTGGCCTTTTCATTCCGCACTTGCTCATAATTGTGTCCACAAATGCCACGCTCTGCACGGTCTTTCCCAATCCCATTTCATCGGCCAGTATGCAGCTCTGTCGGAACAGCCACTTATTGACCAGCCAGGACACTCCTTCCTTTTGGTATGCTCTTAGCTCTCTTCCGCCCTTAAAGACAAAGGATTCAGGAACTCGGTCCCTAGACGGCCTCCACCCAATTGGCGTGGTTCCTGTATAGATCTTTTCCCTTCTCCGAATAAAGTCGCCGTGGGCCTGCTCAAAGCCCTCGCAGTCAGATAGATGCTCGTAGTACTCAAAGGTTGAGGACTCATACGGGAACTTCCTCCACTTGGTCAGATATATTTTTCTTGACGTGTTCTCGTCAATATATTCCTCTTCCTCCGCAATAATTCTCTCTACTGTGACAAGCTCAGAGTCAAACAGGTCTGCGTCTTCCTCGTGCACCACAGGGGCCTTGAGAAATCTCCGCACTCGCATTTCCCCTGTCTTTGTCTCAACAAGCGTGTCGTACGGAACCCATTCGCAGTGCAGGTACGACTTTCCTCTGTACTTGACATAGAATGTGTTCTCAGGCTTGTTATATGAAAGTATCTTCTCCACGTTGTCCTCCTCAATCATTGTATCCTCAGCCATGTCATCGTCATCCTCATAGTCCTCATCGTTATCTTCCTCATCATTATCATTGACAGGGGTCGACTTGATAACAGCTGCAGATCTTCTTCTGGGCTTTCTAACTACATCGCCTCCAATGTCGCTGTACCTGCTGTCTGGGCTTTCATGCTTTTCAGCGCCTCTCTCCATGTGTTTCTCCGCATTCTTTGGCTTTCCTGCAATTTTGTTCATAAGCACAAGATTGTTCAAATACATCTGGTACTGTATGGTGCTTGCCAGGCCCTTGTTCACATACTGGTAGTTGTGTATCTTCTCCTGGAGGTTTGCACTCTCGCTGTCCTCTGCGTTCAGCAGAGTTAGTGGCACGTGTATCTTTGGGTTTAGAAAGGGGCTCAGAGGCAGCATAATTCTTCCTCCTTGTATTGGGTCCTGCAGCTCCACTTTTTCCTTCTGGGGATGCCTCTCAGATTGTGTCAAAGGCGTTTCCAAGCATGTGTCTACCTCCTCCTCCAGACCCTTGAGCACCTCCTGCACTGTTTCCAAGTGACCTGAGGCATTCAATCTTTTATTGTCAAACGTATCGATTGATGTCTTTCTGGGCCTGCCTCTACCTGTCTTTTGCTTTTTCACCAGGTCCTCGCTCTCTTCCAAGGTGTTATCCGTGTCAAATCCTGAGCTGTCAGATGTATCTAAAAAATCTGTAGAGTTATCGCTTCTGGAATCTTCTTCTTTATGCATGGTAATATGAAAATTAGCAAAAATAAATAATTGCGCGAATGGAGATTAAGTTCGACTTCGACAACTGGATAAGAAACACACTTGGTCTGGTGGAGATAGACAGAACGAAAAGACAGGAAAATGCGATAGTATGCAAGCACTGGCTGCGAGGCCTCTGCAAGAAGGGTGATGTGTGCGAGTTTCTCCATGTGTACGCGCTGGATAAAATGCCAGAGTGCTGGTTCTTCTCAAAGTATGGGGAGTGCAGCAATCAAGACTGCCTGTTCCTGCACATAGACCCAAATAGCAAGAGCAAGGAGTGCATCTGGTACACAAGGGGATTCTGCCGGCACGGGAATAGCTGCAGAAACAAGCACTACAAGAAAAGAATGTGTTTTAACTATGAAGCAGGATTCTGCCCGCTTGGAAAGAAGTGTCCATACGGCCATCCAAAGTTTGAAACAATTGGCGCAGACTATCAGAGAACAGAGCAGCAGTACTCTGTTATTTCAAAGCCATCGACCCTTCTTGGGAACTAATAAATTATTTCACTGTCAACTAAATACTTCTAGCGCTTTGGGTTCTCTAGCTATTTTTACAAATATACGCAGTTATTTTCATAGAGACTTTAGAAAGGCTTTTAAGTACACATATGCTGTACAAATGCACTTTCTGCAGATGTGCCATTTTTAGTTAAGCGTATAAATAGAAGTGTACTGGGTACAGCTTTACATACTGCATTCTTCTGTTTGGTATTGACATTTTGGCTGCAGCTGCCTAGCTAGAGCCATATGGGTATATGCTCTGGAATGAATGTGTTACTTGGGAAATATGAAAATTAGTTATTTATTCGTATTACTTTCTCTGAGTATTCTTCTGCAGAGAAGCATCTATTTTTAGCAGCTTCGCCTGGACGTCTCTCTTGTTGCGCGATGGGGCAAATCTGGATAGAGCAGAGAATATAATATCTATTCGGTTCTTTGTCCTAATAGGGGTTTTTGCTGCAATCTTTGTCAGGGCATCAACCTCGGTGTTCTTCCACCCATCAGAGTCAAATGTTATCTCCTGCTTTGGCTTGGCCTTGCTTTCTTTGTTTACCCTTGGGTCGTACTTTATTGCCAGAGCCACAAGGCTTCTAATTCTCTGGTTGTCTTTCATTTTTTTCTCGTCAAGCAGCTGCTTGTTCTCGGCTGCAGCCTGTCTTCGCATCTCTCTACTTTGGTAGTCTTCGTCCTTGCAAAGGAACTCAAACGCACGGATGGACTCAAAGTTCTGCCAGAATTTGTAGAATGTCACAATGTCGGCGTCCTTGGAGTCAATGTTTCCAAGTGACACAGTGTATGGCTTTGCGCTGAATACAGAATTTCTGGTAAACGCCTCGTCAAAGACGGAGAAAAATTCTTCTGTTGTGTACTCCTTGTCTGCAGGAATTGTTTCATCGAAGGCAATGAAATCATAGAGCTTCCTTTTGTGTGGGTTGCTGAGAACCTCGTGCGCCTTTGTGAGGGCAATGAAAGATGCGCCTCCATCTTCTATTTTGCATGAGAGAAGTTTGTCTGGGTGGAACAGTTTGGCCTGTTTTCTAAATGCCACTTTGAACTTTTCTTCTGTATACATCTTCGCATCCTCCTGCGAGAACCCCATCAAATAGTACAGATCAAGAGACTTCCAGTCCTTTATGTCCTCAATTGTGTATCTTGCGAATAAGTCTTTAGGGCTTTTCATTAACTCGACTTTCTGTGCGGGTTTTTCTTTTCGCTCGGTCAAACCAGTTGGTCCACTATAATGCGTTACTTCCATTAGCTTTTTATAAAATTTTTACTTTAATTATGCCTGGTGAGCCCGACATGCACTCGCTTAGCACAGACTCTGATGAAAGCAATGACCACGGAAACATCTACTACGAGCCGTACGACGAGAAGCTTGTTGAGTGGTTTGTGGATCTGCTGAAGACACATCAGATGCTGAAGGAAGCACGCCAAGTTATACTGGACAGGCACTTTGGGGAGCTGGGTATTTCAGCGAACTTGGAGGAGCAGGAGAAGCTTCTTCTAATACACGAGTACATAAACAAGGAGCTGGTCTATCCGCCTGTGTTTTTAGGGTCCACTCTTGGGTTCAACAAAAACAACTGGAACAAGAACATTGAAAGGATGCTGGAGCCGTATGGCATTCGGCAGAAGCCTGTTTTCTGTACAAAAGACACTTGCTATCTCTTTGAAAGAATGAAGTATCTCATGCTTAAGTATATGGAGAAGATCCGAAAATAGAGTGTAAGCCAGCATGTCCTAGGGTTTTCTGGCCTGCTAACTTTTCAATGTCTTTGCAAAGCAGACAGAACAGCAGACCGAAACTTTGCAGCTGTAGTATTTTGAGAAGATATATGCAAAGTAATCAGATATTTACATATAGCCCAGATCTTGTAAAGCGTGTTAAAGAGCTACTTGAGGCCAGCCATGGATTATGGCCAGATAAATATAGCACTAAATATATCTGTGCTGCTTTGCTCAAGTGCTTTGTATGGTAGACTTAAAGAATTGTATGCTCTAAATAAGGATAAGTAAAGAGACATATACTTGGCTTAATAGAAAAATATCCTTCAGTTTAATAAATATATAGCCAGCCTATAGGAAGATGTATACAACAATAGCTTTACTATTTTCACCACGCCTGCGTATACCAAATACCCCCTTATTTTACTATTGACTTTTACTAGATGAAGGCATTCTATTGCAAATGCATGTGCTAATTTAGAATGAATATGAAGCTATCTGATGGATTTTACTTAAATATCATGGGTCTAAATTACTTCTAAAAGTGGGAAGTACTGCAGCAATTCAATATATTTGCCTAGATGGATGAAAATCGAGTCTTAGTTTGATATCTTGGAAGCATCCGCATATTCACTTAATGCACTCAATAAGTAAGAATAAATTAGCTAAGGCAATATTTATTTAAATTCCAGACTTAGCCTGAATAATAAGATATTGTCGCTGCGCTTAGTAGTAAAGAAAAATAAAATACTTCTTTAAATAAAAGCGCGCATCTGCGGAATATGCAGACTCTGGCCATAAATCCACCCAGTGGAATATAGCCATTTCAGTGCATTTTTCAGATGCATTGCACTACTTTGATGTAGTATTGAAACAAAGATCATTTGATTCTGAGGTGTTCATTCAATAGTTGCTCTTCCTGCTTAGGCTACTAACTGATTCATTGCAGTGGGCTCAATTACCTTTCCAAAGAAAATACTCCATTTATTGCTGAGATTATTCATTTGACTAATGATGTGTAGCCTAAATATTCTATTTTTAAACTCCTTCGACTTATTTGGTGAAATATCTGGGAGAGTCCTGAATAGCTCCAGATACAAAAGGTGGCCTTCTAACTCACCTATTCTCTTTAGCATTTCATATCTCTCAATCTCTTCCTTTACTTTGTCAGTAGTAAGATGATTTACTGCTAAATGCAGATTTCTTATTGTTTCTAAATATTCAGCCCATGAGCTGTTTGATATATCCTGGGCCTCAAGTTTTCTAGTAATCAGGCTAATTGTTTTATTGACTTCCTCCAAATGCAAAAACTCCTTTGTCTGCTTTTTTCGTATAACATTCATCACAATGAACATGTACTCGTTCAGGTATGCATGTCTCATTAAATAGAACTGCTCTATCATGGCATGGTTTCTTTTTTCGTTGAGGATCCACTCCTCATACTCATTTATCTCGTGCACAAGCGTTTCTATATCCATATTCAATAAATCAGCTTCTCTCTGATGCAGCAGCTTTTCTTTTATTTTTGCAAATGATGCCATGAACAATTTATTACCTAGCAAAGAATCATTGTTTTCAGGGCTATTTTCGATTTTTATGCTCTGATAATATGACTCTGCACTCTTATATTCAAGAAGCACCCTGTGCCTTTTTGCATCCTTATAAATCTTCTCCAGCACATTCGGCTTATATATGAGGTAGTGAAGAACAACTGCAATAACTAAAAACCCAATAATCTTGAACGTTTCCATGCTTACCCCTTCAATGGAGATCCCATCCATTCTTCTAATATTTTTTATTAGCTTTCTATTTGTAAAATGCAGGATACAAAGGATCGCTACAGCTCCAGTGAGAGACACTCAGAAGAGAGAAGCACCGATGTAGAGGAAGATATTAAAAAGCTAATGGGCAAGAAAACAGATAATTTAGACAAAAAAATGAGTGTGTCTATTGATCAGGCCGATACAACCATTTCATTGCTCAGGCAGCTTGCCCTGCAGTATGATGAGCTGGAGGCATTCTTTAAGTCGCATGACCCGAAGGTGCGAGACGACTTCCCAGCGGAACTGCTGACAGAGCTAGTAAAGTCAAGCAAGATATCGCCTACACTATGCAAAATGGTTGAGAGTGTGACTGAGGAGGCAAAAAACCTTCGAAGGGAAAATGAGCTACTAAAGGTTTCAGAGAAATCCACAAGGGAACAGCTGGATAACAATACAGGATCCCATCGCAGTCTTAAGCTAGAAGTAAAATACCTAAACCAGGCGCTAAAAGAGGCAACTAAAGAGATAAAAAAGCAGAAGGATGAAGCAACCGCCCAAAGAAAAAGAATGCTTGAGATGGAAACATCTTTGGAAGCACAGAAGAAGATTGCAAAAAGTCTCCTCCAAGACAAAAAGGTGAGCAACAAAGAAACTGATATACATGAGGAGGAGAAGCAGATACTGCAGGACATGATAAAGCATAAGGACGCAGAAGTAGAGAGGGCAAAGCGGGAGAAGGAAGAAATGGCGTATGAAAAGCAGAAAATAAGAAGAGAGTACGAGGTACTTCATATACAATACAGCCGTCTAAAGAAAAGAGCTGAGCTGAAGGAGAAGGCATTGTATTCATGCACCGAGGAGATGGAGCTGTTAATCAAGCAAATGGACAAACTCTCAAAGTCTGACATGCAGAAAAAAGAGAGACTCGAATACATGGAAATAAATAAAAAGAAAAGGCTGTATGATAGTCATCTGGGAAATAGAGCAAAAGAGCAGCCTGCATATCCTGTAAAAGGGCATAAAGTACAGGCAGCACCCGCACGATATGCAAGAGCAGAGCAAAAACCGAAAGGAAAACCCATCATCCAACCAGAAGTCATCCCAGATGAAACAGATCATACCGAAACATCTGAGCCTGCAAATGAAAGCATAACAGATATTCCTATTTCCTTTTCGCAGGCAGTAGACAATGCATCAGTGCCAGATCTAGACTCTATTTCTTCGGATAGAACTGCAACCAGCTACAAGGATATGCAGCGCAAAACAGAAGAAATGTCTAAAAAGTTGAAAGATCTGGAAAACCTTCTAAGTGAAATCAAGCGATCAAACGACTCAGAGCTTGATAAAGTAGAAGAAAAGATCAATCATAAAACAAAGCGCACGTAGGAATAATCCTACATATAAGAACATGCCTGCATTTATGAATCCTATTCGTAAGTGTCTATTAAGTGCCCTTTCTATTGCCATAATGTATGCATATAGTAGTTTTATTTAAGCCTTTTAACTAATAAAGGTATGCTTGTCTGCTATACTTGCATTTTATGAACTACATATGGCAATGTGCTTATATGCAGACTGGGATTATATGGGTTTTTAGTATATTCTACTATAGAGCTGCATTAATAAAAAGGCTGGATAGTACTAAGCGCATGCTTGCATAAGCATATACTCTGCATGGTCCTGTATGGAACTTTTTTATTCTGAAATATAGGAGAAGCTTGAATTTGAATACTTTTAGCCTAATGTTGTTAAATAAATATACATTAACTTCATCTTAAACGAGACCTTGGACAACAGCTCCTTTTTCAAATTCTCTGCATATATTTAGACTATTACTGCACACACCTTCAGATCTTGAAGTAGAACAAGCATAAGAAATTAAGGAAGAATAAATATTTTCAATGTGCAATGTTAAGCCCATATGTCTTTTGACTGCGCATATAAAAGGTCTGGAAAAAACTGCACTCCTTCACTTCTTATTGACCACCAGGTAATTATACTTAAAATAGTAAATTATTTCTAGTCATGTAATTAATACAAGCCTATAGAGTGTAGCTACCTGTGATCTGGTAATTAAAATTATAGTGCTAGAACTCCAAGTAGTCTACTAAACTCTTTTCACCCCAGCCCATAGATTAATTTTAGCCATTTTAACTCATGCAGAATATTCTATGTGGTCAGGGCGTAGGCTAAAAGCAAGCTATCTCTATGGCGAATGCACTCTCTAGTATGAGATGCATTTCAAAAGTATGACTGGATCATCGCTAGGAAAAACAATTGGCTGTAGAATAAAAAATGGACTAATTATAATTTCATTACATATGCATATAAAAGGATTTTTCTTTAAGTAAATAATGGACTATGCAAAGCTTAAAACAAGATTAAAGGACAAGTTTACAAAGGAGTACAAAAAGACACAGCACACAGGCGCATACTTAGACGCAGAGAAAGAGTACAAAAAAACCAGAGAGTCCATAAAAATAATGGAAATCGAACTGCAGGCCCTGCAGCAAGCATTCACTACATCATCTATATACGACAATATAACTAGCAGTTTGGCATCCGGGCTAGAGCTCGTAAAAGAAAGCATAAAGAAACAAGGCAGAGCAAGAACAGAAGTATCAAAAGAAGAAGTAGACGTGTTTGGTCTCTTCGCAGGGTCTTCTCTGGTGCTGGCCAATAACACAGCAGGAGAAGCATCCAGGCAGTTTGAAGGCCTCTCATACTCGCTGAAGAAAGTGTCTGCGTCACGTGTGCAGCTTAAAGAAGGCATAAATCGGGTTATGGATCTACTTAAAGAGCTCAAGGACATGTCTCTTGAGATAGATGATAGCAGACTGAAGATACTAGATCTAAGACAATGTGTAGAGGCTGCGAGATCAGCAGAGGAAGAAGAGAAATACAAACAGGAGTACACAGAGCAAACATCTAAGGTGTATGAAGAAATGAAGAGATTTACTGAGTCACCTGAGCTATCAGAAATAGCACTAGGGCTTGCAGGGGCACTTCGAGGATTCTTTGGAGATGCGTATGATGCGATGGCAGAAAGCATAAGTGACAAGTAATTAAAATACACCTTTCATTTATTTATCAAAGCAAAAGCTTTAAAAAACTTTTTTGTTGTTGTTGAGTTGTGTGATCCTGATATTTCTATTTTTGTTTTATCTGATAGGTCTGCAAGTGTATTTGCAACTGTTATTTTGCAGACAGGTGTGCCGCCATTCATAGTTATATAGAAAACCAAATAGTAAAGGAAAGAGGCAGCCCTAGAGGTAAACTGGGGATATATCCACGTATTGAACAAATTAATGTTATATGATGTGCTTGGGGTGTATTTCAGGGATATAAAACCGTCTATTTCAGGAACATCTTCTATTTCCGTTGTATTTATGTATATCTCTCCATTTGTCATTCCGCCCCCCATTAGAAGAATAACAGTATTTTGAGACTGGACAGCTCTATGAATGTTTTCAATGCTAGTATATGTTTGCACATTGTATCTGTCTATCTTGAGTATCTTTCTATCTTGAACTGCATATATAGAAGGGCTTCCAAATATTCTATACAGGTTGTTTACATCAAAAATGGATGTGTATGTACATATGTATGTTCCTCCTGTTTTCTTTAGTTTCTTTGGAATCGGATTTGCCAGTGGTGTAAAGATGCCTGACCAGAAGTACTTGTATAGGAACACTGGCATGTACAAAACTGCATTTATAATAAGGTTGAAGAATAAAACTGGAAATAGCAATATCTTGTATTTAGTAATCCTGACGTATGGATTGATTCCTGTCACAGGGTCGCTAAATTCTGTGTACTTTTCCATTTAATGCAGCAAAAATATTTCTATTTATTTCTTCTAGTTTTATGCTGCTTAGTAGGAAATACTTACTAAGGTTGTTTCAAGTAAAACCAAGAGTACTATTTGAATTTCCTTAAATCTTGATGGTGTACATTATTTAAGAAGAAAGCCCTTAGTGTTTTCCCAAATAATACAAGCCTTCTTATTACCTATGAAAATCTACTGTATTTTCTTTGCATCACATGAAATGTGCATTTTCTAATTTCACTGATCTTTTTGGGTATTGTGTGGCTTTTTGGTATAGTAAAACTAGACTCTAGTTACTTAGCTATAACTATATGCATATATCTCTATTCTAGAGAGTTTTGTAAGTTACAGTGGATGGGCTGCAATTTACTTAAGATATTACTGCAAGACATATATGAAAATGGTGCAAGTGCTGGCAAAGCAGTAAGCCATAGCGCATAGAGTTATTGAGCATTCAAAAAAATTATCTTCTATAATTCTTAAGCACATTACTCCTCCATGCCAATTCAGTGCACTAAGGCCACAGAATAGTTATCAACACCGCTATGCAGATGGTTATCTACAGATGATACAATCTCTATGAGTAATATGTATATATTTGGTGGAAATGGAGAATTTAATAGTACATGCATATTTAGAGAAAAATAAATGAGCATACAGAAGAGTTCTTCATGAATAGACTAGTAGTCATCTACAGTATCTTGGAGATAAATGAAACAGTTCTTTTGTTCATTTCTATGCTAATTCTATTCTTATGCAATAAGCTAATCAAAGTCTCTGTGTAGTATTTGTTTATGTAGGGCAAGCCTGCTTGCTGGTTTTTGTCACTCGGCACCTCCTTATATGCTAATTTTAGTGAGAGATTGAAAACTGGTGAGTCAGTTGTTTCACCATGATATATATACGTTATGTCAAGAAGTCTAATATTGTATGTTCCGTGCTCCCCTACTACTTCTATCTCCTGTCTTGTCTGCAGGGCATCATATAGATAGTAGAACAGAAAGTATTCATCTGGCATGCCTGTTGTAATTTGGTTGTAGAATACTTTTGTATACATCTGCTGGTCATCCTTCTTGTCACACTCCATGCTACTGCGTATGCACTTTGGCACTCTTTCATTCTCTATAACTAGATATAGTGTAGAATATAGAACACCATTCTTTTTTGGCTTTATGTCTTGCTCTGCTAGGTGTGCAAACTCTCTACAGTGGCAGGACCACATATCAATCAACTCTTCCCACCCGTCTGCAGGAAGCCTCAAAACACTTTCATTCTCAACAGCTGTGCACCTGCACGGGCATACTACTGTCTTCAGCAGACGCACCATATTCTCTTCCAATTCACTGTTCAGCTGCATTTCCAGAGAGCTTGTCTCTGGTGTTTCAAAGATCTTATTTGCTCGAATTATTGTGTACTCATTCTCTTTGTATATTTTATGCGGGTTCTTGAGTATGTTTTGTATTGCTGCATTTTCTGGGGAGTACTCTGCGCTTTTTATGTATATAAGACATCCGTCTATTCCATCAAGTATCTCCACTAGCATTTCTGTGCTGAAGCACTTTTAGTTTAATAAATATAAATATAGACAAATGAGTCAGCTAAAATTTTTCAATGAACCACGCAGAGACTGTTGGAACTGAAAATATGATTGCAGAGGCATCAATAGCAAATGAGAACAGCAAGGAGATGTGCTGTCCAGAAGAAGTGGGCAGGCAAGTGCCAGAAGTGCAGTGTGCATCGACTAAAACTGTGACTTCCAGCCATACCCCAAAAAAGACTCTTCTTCTTCTTTCGCTAAAGTCACCGGGTGCATGCAGACAGCTAGTGAGCGATCTTACTTCATTGCTCCCAGAGAACACTGTAAGAGACTCAAAGCTAAAGGAAAGATTCTCAATCTATGACGTAGCAGATATTGCCGACATGCGAGATGCAGAAAACATACTGGTTATTGAGACGCGAAAGAAAAGCCCTGCACCAATTATGTGGGCAGTTGCAAAAACTGACTTAGCAGCAAGCAAGACAGGATACGATGTCATTAAGTTCATGCTAACTGGGGTATACACTATGAGTGAGCTAAAGTTCCTAGGAAACCCATTAGCAAACACACAAATGACTACACTTTTCACAGAAGACTTTGAGAAGAGTGCTGGTCTTAGAAAGGCAAAGAGCATTCTATTGCAGATATTCAATACAACAGTGGAGATAGAAGAAGAGCCATCAACCACAAAGGACTATGTCGATAAGATTGCATCTTTCTTTATTTTAGACAACTCTATACACGTCCGCTTCTACCACATACAGAAAAAGACACGAGAGGCTGAAAAAATCATTGCAAGCAGGCTAAGACAAGAGAAGAAGCTGAATGCAGAGAAGAAAGAGGAAGAGAAGATAGATGAAATTGAAGCAAACAACAAGCCCGACGAGGAAGCAGAGGTAGACCCAAATATAGAAGCAGTAATTGCATCAGCAGAAGATCAAGTTCCATGGTATGAAATCAAGGAGTGTGGGCCTAGATTTACTCTACACCCTAGAGACAGTGACTTAGATGATAACTACACAGAGCCACAGGAGAAGAACTAATGTCTCGTTGCAAAAATTCTATTATAATTTATATCCAGAGTTTTAAATAAATTTTACCCTTCAGATATATTTACTATTCACATTGTGCGCTAGCTCTGAAGACATTTTATAAAAAACATATTTTAAAGTTTATAAAACAAATATACCATACTTCTAGATGAAAGAAATATAATGCAAGATGCTGCACCTAATGCTTTCAGTTAATAGAAACACTAGAACATATTTTGGGGCGTGAAGATATACCAGATGGATCTTTCTAGCGCTGTAATATACTTTACATAAAACTAGCACAGACTGTGTACTCAGAAAATGTCAGCTGGTAGGAATTTTTAAGCATTCAATAGAGCAATATAAAGGCTCCCCAAAAGTGTGCATGAATCTAAAATATTTATTTGAATGCGCAGGCTGTGTTAAAGCTTTTTGCACTCCTCTAAGAGGGGATGCTGAGTGATTGAGTATAAAAGAGGTACTTTGCATTACTTCTATTAGGATAAATAATATAGAAATCTTAAAATAAGCAAACTGTCTTGTGAGTTTTCCAGCACCCTACACAACTCTCATAACGGAGTGTGTTTATTTCTTGCACGTGCTAATAACAAATTCTAAATATTTATTCAACTCTTTCTTTACATCCTTGTATTTGATGGCCCCGTAAATTAATATACCGCATTCCTGTCAGAAGAAGTGATGCTCCAACAATCATATCCAGAGAATCCATTTCATCCACACTAACATGAATTACTCCTGAGCGGCAGAAGTACGGAATGCACCCCATGCTATGGAGAATTTTGCTAATATGCACTTCGTCTGCTGCTTTGTTAGAGCTACCTCCAAGCGCACTGGAGTAGTGGGATACCTCCTCGTACCCTTTCATCTGCGTTGGGCTGAGAGAGAACGATATGTCCTGCACGCTTGGGATAAACATTTCCTTAAAGGAGGAAGATATTTCGTGTGTGCTGGTAACCCCTGGGATGCTTTCCATAATTAGAAGAGCCTTTTTAAATACCTGGTTGATCTTGTTGAACATTCTCTCATTTGGCAGGTTAATTGTATAGACACCATCTCTATGCGTTACCTCTATATTTCCTGTGCTTTTGGCACGAATTTTGTTTTTTCCTGGGCGAATATCAAGCGTGTACCCATATGAGTACTGTGTAGAGAGCACTGCCCGCAAGCCGCCAGCTAGAGTATTTGCCTTGTATCCTGTTCGGTAGCATAGTATCTCCACGGCTTTGCTGCCTATGTAGTGCGGGTATATCCCATGCGCATGCAAAAGAGTCTTAACTAGAGCGCAAAGCTTTGGGAACACCTTCTGGGCAAGCGCAATTTCCATGAAGAATCTTTCGTACTGAATCCTAAAGTTCATTAGATAGTATTTATCTTGGTGCCATACCATTTCCATTGGAACATCAAAGATAAACTCGAAGCTTTCCCCAAACACACTGGAAAACAGAGTATTGTCGGGTGTTATTCCCTCTATCTTATTTCGCCTCTCCAGTGCCTTTCCAAGAATTCCATTTAGAGCAGTTATTGAGGCATCAGAGAGGCACTCATCCTTTTCTGGCCATAGGTGCCCTCTTCCCACCCTTAGGTATATCTGAGATCGGTCTTCTGCTATTGCACGCGTTCCTCTATTATAACTTCCGGTGTATATTGAATCCAAGAGACTCACAGGAAAGGACTCCCGAATAATATCAAGCGACTTAATAATTGAGTCATGGCTTTTCTTTTTGTTGAGCTCAATATATTTTATTGTCACTGAGTCTAGCGCAACAGTTGGGGTAAGAATTCTTCCACGCCGCTTTCCATCTTCTGCCTTTGCTGGGTTTTCTGGAAGTGTCTTAATATGAAATATCATACTAAGCATTTTATGCCTAACTGTATCCTGTGCAGTTGTGTTTAGAGAAGAACACAGGCGAATCTCTCCACTCTGGAACTTCCTGTACTCTACCTTATTGTTCCATATTTCTCTGAATCTTTCAATTTCTTCACTACTCCCAGGCTGTTTTTTTGTGATCGCTGGGGGGCCTATCACCAAGGAGGATGGCTCTTCGTTGTATTTAATGTGAAGGTAGTATTTATCGTCTTTCTTTGCCAGATAGAATGAGTTGAGAACATCTCTAAATATGGCCTTTAGCTCTCTTTCCATGTATTTTATCTCTTCTTCATGCGAAGTAGCATCTATATTCTGCGATGTAGGCATGGAGTACTCCACTAGCTCATCATAGCACAGGTAAATTCCTTTGGCCTCGCACTCCTCTATGTCCTTGAAGAATGGGTTTTCCTTTAGCTTTGCGTAAACACTCTCGTTTGTTTCGTTCTCTATTGCAATTTCTCTTAGCGGGCTTCCCACCAATTTGTGCTTTCTAAGTAGCTTCTCAAGCAAAGGCGACGGTTTCATTCTGAGCTAAAATTTTTATGCTTCTTTGAAGCCTCTGTGTACTGCTAGATGACCAAGCACATAAACACGCAGAAAAAGCTGCTGTTTAAGATATAGCCTAAATATGCACGCAGCAAGACATAATAGTGTACACAGTAGATGCTATGAGTCATATAGGGTGCATTCTGCTAGAGAAGAATTACCATGACTAAGGGTATACTAGGTGTTATAATGCAGCTAGATATATTTAATTAGTGTTTATACTTAAGAAATATTATTTAGAATGACATAATATTTACATATATACAGTTAGTTAAAAGTTGCTTATTGCTGCTTTTTTATACCATGCTAAGCACGGATGTGGCTCTCTAATAAAATGCTACAAAGAGAATAGCTAAAAGATAATTGGCGGAAGGCATCTGAATAACATGAAAATGCAAGTGGTCTATATTTTAGAGGGCAAATATTGGTTGCATACTACCCATACAGATATTCAGTGTATAAACTACGCCTTCAAATAGAGAGAAGATGTATGATTGTGTGAAAATACAGGGTTAGATGAATCTTTATTATGCATTTAACAGAGTGTCTAATAGGTACTATTCAGTCCAGATGATGGCGTAGCAGTCTCTTTAAAAGATGATCTGTTGTTTATGTCACCGCTAGATGAATGCCCTGCAGACTGTGGGCGGTTTGCGAATAATGTGCTATAGGCATGTATCATCATAGCATATCCGAGTATCATGCCTACTACTATAATTATTATTGTCACTATACCGATTAGTCGCATAGCTGTTGATTTTCTCAAGTATTTTGTCTAAATAAAATCAACTAAGGAGAAGTTCCTTTAATGGATCAATAGAATTCATTCGAGTAAACATGCAATAAAATTGTCTATTTAAACTGCTGCAGATGACTATATATAAAGAAAGTGTGTTTATCAACTCAAAATAGGTTTTCACCACACTTAGTATACTGCAAAAGAAAGCAGTGCTACTAAATATTACTTTGCTTTACCAAATACAAATATTTATATACTCTTTAATTGCTTTGCATATAGTGGTTATGTACGCTTATCTGGACTAATTTCTACATGAGGACTATGAATTGAGTGTAAAATGCAACGATATATGCACTCTCATATCATACAAAACTCACATAAATCAGCATTTCTATATACAATGCACCATATTGTAATGGTTAAGCTGTGTATATAAGAGTATAAAAGAAAATATAGGTTATTTTTCTTTCTTACCTTGAGGGCATGAAACCCTCCTTCGGATTAGCAATGTAGATTGATGCTGGTCATTGTCTTCTGGGATTTTGGTTGTAGGCCAACACACTACAAAGAGGCTTGCTTTGGATTAAGAACAGCTTATACTTTGTGATACAACGGGTTATATCCAAGAAAGTATAGAACATATTGTATTCTCTAGCTAGCATTCAGCAAGATACATGCTATTGGATACTTTTTTATCTGCAAGAGCGTTATTGTGCCTGTCTCTTTTAAGAGCTAGCAAGAATAATATCCTGGCTTTTTTAAAAAAATAGGCTTCATTATAATGAGCTTTCTCTCTTCTAAACTATGTAAAGAGGTAAATTTAGATTTATTTTTAAAATCTCATACCAAAATAGCCTGAACAAATTAATTAAGTCATTACTGTGTTAAAGAATATTACCATTACGTTTTTATCAGCAATAGCATTTATATTAGCATATGCCAGAAAAGCCTACAATAATACGAGCTTGTTTTGCCTCTTCGAAATATTAGACTCACTCATAATAAACTGGATATGATTTATTTCTCATCGTCTATTTATAGACCTCGCCAACATCATAATGATGCCATATTTCCTGAATAGGCAAATAGCAATATATGTCATTTATAATCATTTGATTGTAGGCGTAATAATACAAGCAGAGTCCATATACTGTGTTATCTTCCAATCAAAACCTCGAAAGCAATAACCAACATCAACTATATTAATAATGCGGAATAAGGTTTCATGCTAAAGGCAAGGAAACCCAATAATACGCACGCAGATCAAAGAAAATAGTCTTCTATTTCGGTTCTACCATTTCAAACTTGTCAGTCTTAGATTTTCTTTCAAATAAATAGTCTTTGGTAGAATCATTGACTTTTTCATAAGATGTGCCTGTTTGTTTATCTAAGCCAGTTTCAGTATTTTCTTTGAACTTCTCTGATACAGTTAGAGATATGTTCTTTAATTCTAATCTCAAAACTTCTTTAAACTTCTCGCTAAACATTTCAAAAGAATCTTTACTCATTTCGTATAACTTATTTGATTCAATACATATATTCTTCACAGTGTTTGTATCCCCAGAGTACTCAAATATTTTACTTAAAAACATATCTGCAAAGCCAGCTTTGACTTTTCCACTACTCCTCATACGCATACATATAGTTTCTACATCTGAACACTCTGTGAATGGATAAGGTATGCCCTGAAGTGCATTAGTAATTGCCTCGCAAGCTTCTATGTCTGAACCTGGTTTTATCTCGACTATTTTAGTTTTCTTATCAATGCTGAACATTATATTATATGGAAAAAACCTATATCCATCTTGTATAAGAATGTAAAAAATTATGTCTATATTAGCATGCTCTTTAACCTTTAGTTTGCTTAGTCCTAAGTCATTGTATAACTTTCCATCAACACAAATACGCGATGCAGTTAGTTGTGCTCCTATTTTCATGTTGTTTTCTGCCAAGAGTGATACTCCATTATTCGGTAAATCATTTTTCTCATCTAGTTGTTGCAAAGTAGGATTTAAAAGGTCTACTTTTTCTTGTATTTCGTTTATGTTTTCTTCATTTAGTTCTTCTGTAGATGAGTACATAATTTTGTATAGTTTAAGAGTATGTAGGCTCTTCATTTTTTCTAAGAATCCGAAATCCGGCTCCTTTTCAATGGTAGTATTACTAAGGTCAAATATTTTAATCTTGTCTAGACACTTTATGTTATTAATAATAGAGCTTGGAATAAAATTAATGCTTCTTATATAAAGCTCTAAATATTTATCTCTTGGGCCCAATGATTGAAGAATTTTCTGTGCACTCGTGCTGTCTATATCATGCATGTATAGTTTCTGAATATTTGACAAATTTAGTTCAGGCGTACTGTCTTCTAGTATTTTAGTTTGTTTTCCAAGCTCTAAAACTTGAAGATTCTTCATCTCAGAAATAGCCCTTAGTAAATCGATAGAAACCACTGTATTCTCAAGACAGAGATTATTTATACTGCGTAGCAATTCACTGAAGGAAAAAACCCCAGAATCCTTATCTGTTAGAGAAAAGCCTTCTATTTTTAATTTATCTAGAGAGCCATTTTTCCTGTTATAGTAGCCCAATAACAAGCGATGCATATACTTATCTTCTTTAAATAAAGGTGGACATTTAAAAGTCACATAGCTCAAATCTATATGTAAAATATCATTACTTTCCTCTTGTATCTCACTTAATTCTATTAAAAGATTATTCAAAGTCACGTGCTTAGGCTTGCTATTTTCATAAACCTCCTCTATTATAACTTCATTAAAGCACTTTAAAATATTTTTTTGAGTTTCTTGGTCACTAATATAGTCATTTGGTATATAATCATTATCATATGTCGTATATATCTTTCCAAACATATCTTTAAGTTCCTCTTCTTTAGTCATAACACTTTTTTCATCTACTTTTGAAGGCACCTTCTGTGTTTCGGGATTTTCTTCTGAAGGAATCTGCTGTGTTTTAGGATTTTCTTTTGAAGGAATCTCTGTATTCATAATAGTTTTTGGACTAGCATCTTTTGCAATGTCTTTAGTACTAGATTCACTACCAAACAAATTTGAGACAGGTTTAAAAATAGTACTAAAAAACCCTGATTTCTGTTCTTGCTTTTGTTCTTCTATAGATTTAGGCGTAGAGTTGTTTTCACTAGATTTCATTTGTTTAGCACCCTCTTTTATTGTAGCAGAAGTATTTTTACTACAGTCCACATATACATTATTTGAGCTTTGTTCCTCATATGAATTATTTGCATCATGTCCCTCATATGAACTGTTTGCTGCATGTTCCTTATATGAACTATTTAAATCATCTACAGAAGCACTATTAATAGCTACATCTGTAGGGTTTCCCCTATTTTTATTAACAGTTGAAGGGCTTTCTAATGGTTTATGAGTAGAGCCACTATCCTGCAGATTATTTTTCTTTAAATGGATTTTTTTGTTATATATATACACGCCAATAGCTACACCTATGGTGAGCAATGCCATAGCAGAAATAAAAAACTTAACTATTGCTTTCATTACTCTACTCTATGCATGTGTTGAGGTATATATACACTACTTTATTAAAAACCAATGATATAAATAAAAAATACATACCAATCAAAAGTGATGTTCCCAAAAGGGGTGATTTTCCAGCCAGAAAATAGTAGTCTAAAATAGATATTGTAGCTGTCAAGAAAGGTTTACTATCACCCCACTGCAAATGCCTTTGGTGCCTATATTCCTTTGTATTTCTATTCGATATATTTCTTACTGTTTATATGTGTCATTTTTTAAAACATTTTCTTATAGTTTAATGGAGTGGTCTTTTGATATGTGGAATTCTTTCTGAAGAGAATTTCTTTTTATCATTAATATTTTCTTGTTCCCTTGAAACAATGATGTGAGATTTTCACCATAATTATCCAAGCACTAATAGGCATACTGTCTGATTATAATAGAAAGGCCTACTTAATAGAAAAATAAATACTAGTAGTTGAACATAGAACACTAACTCTGTGAATTTAAACCATATAATAGGTTTAGAATAAAATATAAATAGCAGAAAATTAAAGTAATTACTTTATTGCTTTTCATATGATCAGATCCATTCAGATAAACTATTCCTGCTTGGCTTTCTCGGCCCACTCCTTTAGCACATTAAGATTCTGTTCATAGAACCGGTTTGTGTTTTCGGCTGCATCAAGCCCTTTCTTGATGGCGGATACCCATGCATCGTCAATGTTTTCTTCTTTACTGAAGAATTCTCGGCATATTTCAATGTTTTCTCTTGTGTACTGCACTGCAATAAAGACCTCGACAAATCTTGCCACATTATCCTTGGTTGTCTGGAAGAGCTCTTTGATTCTGTTAAACTGCGAAAGGAACATGTCAAGAGTTTTTCTTTGGTTGGGGTGTCTGGCCAGACCATCAGCCATTCGGAACTTGTCCTGGCTCTTGATATATTGGTTTCTCTCAGAGAAAAGCTTGAATGCATCTTCTAGCTTCTCTTCGCTAAATGAGATGGCCCTTATTGCCCGCAGCTTTTCATTTTCATCTGCAGTTCGGTTTTGTATTATTCCATTCAAGAAATCATATGCCTTCTCGCCTCCAAACTTGGCATATGAGATGTACATACTCATCTTATAATCCTTGTGCACCTTTGAAAGCTCGTTTGCCTCTGCAAGCCGCATTACTTCTTTCTGGATAGGTGAGTCTGGAATCTGCGAGAGAATACACACTGCAATAATCCTTAGCTTCTTGGTTTCTGAGTCCTCTGGAGTACTCTCAAAACTTGACACTCCATCAATGTACTTTTGCAAAAGATTTGAGATCTCTGTTGAAACTGCCAGATCAATGTCCTTTTCGTTTCTAAATCGATTTCTAACCATCTCTAGGTATTCAGACACAAGAGACACAATAAATGCCCTCTCTGTCTCCTTCACATACTGAAGAGCGTTCAAAGAGTATATTGCATCCTTGTGCCCATCCTTAGACAGACGCATCATGTCTCGGAAAATGCCAAATCGATCAAACTGGGTAAGGCTGTCTGATGCAAGCAGTGGAAGTATGTGCTTCTCCAGAACCTCGTCTGAATACTCCATTAGGTAGAATCCAGTGGAATCCGCATTGAACATGATATATCCATTTTCTTCCTGCATCTTTCTCTCTTTCTCTGTAAACATCAAAGAGTGCTCCTCAGGGGCTGAGTTCTCTGCAAAGACCTTCTTTGTTAAGAAGACCATCCACTGCTCGGGCCTCTCCTGTCCTGCGCCCTCCAGGTCCTTTGCAGGCAGATATCTTGACTGCTTCAAAACAAAACTTCCATTATCCATTGACACCTGGATGCGTGGGAAGCCCGGGGTGTCTATCCAGTTTGACATTGACTTTATGATTTCGTTGTCTCCTCCATCAATCTCTGCCCACAGGTCTTTAGTCTCTGTATTTCCATACTTGTACTTCTGTATGTACTTTCGCAGCCCCTTCATGAAATACTCCTCGTGCACATACTTTGACAGCATGTGAATCATAGACGCACCTTTTGAGTACGAGATGGCATCAAAGATTGAGGATATTTCTCCAACAGAGTCCACCTTTACATTTATTGGATGCGTAGACATCTTTCCATCCATGATCATTCCGCGAGTGATGTCCCCTTCCAAAAACAGCTCCCATGGGTTGTACACCAGCTTTATGTCCTCTGCCATGTATGCTGTAGCAAGTGTTCCGGCCCATGTGGCAAATCCCTCATTCAGCCACAGGTCGTTCCACCACTTCATTGTTACAAGATTTCCAAACCACTGGTGTGCCAGCTCGTGGCAGACTGTCTCTGCAATGTACACCTTCTGAATCTCACTTGTGCTTTCCTCTCTGTATAACAGAGAAGATGACCTATATGTGACCAGCCCCCAGTTCTCCATGGCGCCTGCCGAGAAGTTTGGAATTGCCACCATATCCAGCTTTTCCATCTGGTACTCAATTCCAAAGAATTCCTCAAAGAACTTCAAACACCGCACGGCTACATCCAGCGAAAACTCTCCTGTGTGCTTTTGGTTGGGTGGAGTGTACACCTTAATCCGCTCCTTCTCAACATAGTCCAGCTCTCCAATCACCCAGGCCACTAAGTACGTGGACATTATTGGTGTTGGCTTGAAGACGTGCTTCGTATACGATATGCTGTCTTCTTCTCCTGGCGCATCCAAGACTATTTTTTCTTTTCTGTCAGAAACCTCTGAGTTTGACAGAACTGTGAACTTTGAGGGCGCTGTAATTGAAATGTTAAACATTGCCTTGAATATTGGCTCGTCCCAGCAGGGGAATGCAAGTCGGGCAGACGTTGCCTCAAACTGTGTAGAGTATATATACCTGGTCACGCCTCCCTCCTTATCCTCGCTTTTGTAGAACCCAGCCATGTCATCTGATACATTTCCTATGTATTTTATGTTTATCAGAATCTCGCTGCCCTTCTGCAGCTTTTTTGTTGTCCTTACTGTTGCAATTGAGTTTGGCACCTCCTCTGGTATGTTCTGTACACTATCCAGCAAATGCACTAGAGTTTCTCCTGAATCCTCCAGTATAACAACCTGCATACTCTCGATCTTTAGCTCTTTCATGTGGAATGATATCTTATCTGTGTCCTCCATAACATCGGCCCTAATAGATACAGCTCCTGCGAATTTGCTGTTGTTCTCTTTTAGAACTATGTCTAAGTCGTACGATATTGGCTTTATATCTGCTGGCAGTCTAAAGTCGACCTTGCCACCATCTGGAACAGTACTGTTTCTTGTTGCCATACACATAAGGCAGAAAAAAAAATGTCCTATATATAGGATTAGTATAGGATTAATTAAAAAAGAAATGTATCCCATTCCAAGAAATGCATGCGAATACAAATAGGAGCTGTGTTTATTTGTTGTGGCCAAAGAACATATCTTTGTTTGCAACATGCATGTCGCGCATTTTATGCATGCATTAAACAATGTTACCTGCCACGCACACCTTTAGCTATGGGTTGGGTATATTATGCAGCACAGGTAGCTAAGTGCCGGCTCAAGCCATAGCATAGCAAATGAAGCACTCTGTGGTAGGTACAAATTGCTGGATGATGCACTTTTCTCTGTCTGTATTTCCTAGAGTATACCTAGCACTAAAGCACACTAGAAAATGGTGCTGTACTTATATAATAAACAAATCTGAGATATTCTGAATGGGCCTAGAATTCCTTCAAATACAAATACTCTTCTTGGCCTGAAAATATATATACAACAGTAAGCACAATACGTATACAATATACGCAATGCAGTAAATTCAACCCAACAAACTTCGGATCTTTTATAAAATATAGAACACTAGAGTAGCACTTAATTAGCATATTTATTATACTCCAAAAACATCATCAATTCGTATGATGGACTTAGCAGTTTGTGTGGCTAGTATTAGCTGGTGCTTCTTGGAGTATGCGCCCTCCCATATATTGTCTGCAATGCCCTCTGATATTTTTGCAATAGGGTCCTCGCCCATATTACGCGCCAAGGCCATGGGTAGCTCCTGCAAAGCCTTTGAGTATCCATTTCCTATCGATCCTGGCATTCCTTCTACTATTGCCTTTGCGCAAAGCAGATCAATTGTGCCTGCTCCCTTCACTACCTTTGGATCTCTTATAAGGTTTCTTACTACGCAGAGCACGTCCTGCATGCTTCTTTTTGTCTCTTCAATTATAGCAGCTGTTGCTCCTCGTACAAGTATGGTCACCGCGCAGGTTTTTTCTGGGTTTCTTATTCTTATACTCCCGCTCTCTTCAACCACGCACCCGCTTCCCAGAGACTCCTCTGTTAGATCTTCAAATCTTGAGACAATGTGTGCTCCTGTGTGGATTGCTGCCATCTCTAGCTCCTGTGCGCCAACCCATCTTACTGCAGAGATGCCTGCCTGCATAAGAAGAGAGTTTGCTTCGTCATCGAACCCCCACTGGCACAGTACCACTGTGGCACCTGAGTCCTTTATGGTCTGTATCATCTCTGCAAAAACCTTCTTTTCGTAGTTTGAGAGCTCCTGGAACTCCTCCACTGTGGTAATGTTCAGGTCGTGTTTTATCTTTACCTTAGGTGGCTCGAACGGGCACGCAAGGATTGCTATTTTTGCATCTTCTATTTCCTTTTGCATCTGGAAATGGCTAAATTCCTTTGAAATATATACCCCTTTAATTAGCTCACTCATTCCCATCTGGGTTTCTCCTTCAATCTTAATCAGCTCCAGGTTGGCCTCTCCCCGCGCATCCTGCACAGCCTCCACTGCTTCAATTGCTATTTTTATGTAGTTGTCAATGTCTCTGCTCACTACCTTGCTGCACAGAGTGCTTTGCGCAACCTTCTCCATCATGGCATGGAGCTCTTCTTTTGCTGGCTGCACTGACTCCTTCTCAATAACGCCAAGTGCTATTTCTAGCGCTTCTTCGTATCCTCTAATTATTTTTAGCGGATGCATTCCCTTTGCTGCAAGTTTTTTGGCCTCTTTCAGAAGAGATGCCGCTATTATTACTATGCTTGTGGTTCCATCTCCCACTTCATCATCCTGCGCTGAGCTGAGCTGCGTAATTAGCCTTCCCATTGGAGTTCCCTCAAGATCCATCTCTTTTAGAATGGTCGCGCCGTCATTTGTTATGGTTACTTCTCCATCTGCGCTTATTATTGCTTTATCTGCTCCAAACGGCCCCACCGAAGTGCTTAGCGTGTCCACAATGCCACAGAAGTTGTCAATGTTCTCTGCCAGAATGTTCTTTTCTTCGGTTTTCTGCCGCGTCTCCTGCTCCCGTATTAAAACATACGGCCTGCCATACTCGTCGCAAAAGTTGTATGTCATAGTAGGGTAGCAAAAAGAAAAAGTATTTCTCGAATAAAAATTTATTAGCTTAAAGGTCTTTCTTTAGATCTTCCTCAGTAGGCTGCCCTCGCTCTCCGCTTGTTGAATCTCTTGCAGTTTCGTTTTCTAGCTCCCCATCTAAATCAGAATTGTAGTCGTTTTCAAAGTCACCATGATTTCCTTCTTTTTCTTTGATGCTTTTTAGAAGCTCATGCAGGAACTTTTCAAGTTCGTCTATTTTGGTCTTCTCATTTTCTGAATTTTCAACATGCGCCTCCTCACCCATGGGCGCTGTTTCTGCAACTTGCTTGTTCTTTTCAGCTTCAGACTTTGCCAGCTGCATTTCTTTCTCCTCTTTGCCCTTTGATATGCTTTGTTTTATATTTTCATAGATTCTCTTGGCGTGCGGAACTGCCTGGTTCTTTCCAAAATCATTTGCTTTTGCAACAAGAGCCTTTGAGTGGTCCTTTATTTTCTGTCCCACGGGCACCACGTGCTTGTGAAATTTGTCTTTGACTCCTTCTACGCCTCCGATTTTTTCACATAGCTCCTTGGCCTTTCGCTTAATGCTATTTAAATAGCAATTGATCTGCTCGGTTGCCGCCATGCATCCCATAATAGATAGAAGTAGTACTATGAAAAGGCCTTTTCTCATTATTTTTTAAGAAATTTTAAAAATAAATAGTTAATTACATTGCAGATATTAATATATCTGGTTGCTTCAAAAGCTGCAAGCGTTGCATGCTCTTCTTTGCACTTTCCGAATTACATGACAAATAGACCCCTTCTGAGCCGTTCTATTCACTCAGCGCTACATAAAATTGTCCAAGCATTTCTATGATATTTAAAAATTAATAGCACCAGAGAAGCTATATTCACGCGCTCATGCTCTGCTGTCTTTTCATCGCACATGCACCAAATACAAAGGCATAACACCAGTAACCCACAAATATATTTTTAATAACAGGACTAGAACATAGTAAACTTAGATATTTTGTGATTTGGTCGTTTATTTAAAGCTCTCAGGGAGTATCAGAAAACATTAGAACTTCTTTTCTAAATTCTGTCTGCTTGCAAAGAGATTATGCAGCTCCCTATGCGCTGGCTCAGCACTACTCCTGAGATAGGCGCTTAGTAGTGCACTATATTGAGAAGCTCACACTATTCTGCTATTTTGTAGAGCCTGACTATCCCGTTTGATGACTCGTGCACTAGCTTAAGGTTATGAAGAGTAACTGAATTTGTATGCTGGTAGAAGCATAGCTTAAAAAGAAGAGAATCTCTCATTGCAGGAGAAATGTACAGAGGTGCATCTTCGATCTTCTCATTCGCCATGTCTACATCAGACAGACCGTGGAGTGAGTAGTGCACAGCCCCGTTTGCCTTAAAGTAGTATGCAGCAGGGTCAACCGAGCCATCTGCCTCCTTTGCTATTTTGGCTATCCACTGCAGCTTGTTCAGATCAGAAAGCGCGTATTGGGAAGTATACCCACACACCGTATATATATACAGATCAGTGTCCAAATCTGGAACTATTTTCTTTAGGAATGCATGCTCTCTTGACACTTTTTCTTCCGAAGACACTAGAATGCTTGCTACCTCTGAGATTCTTGCATAGTTGTTTGTGTTATTGTCTATCACTGTTGAAAGCCCACTCATTCCTGTTATTTGGTATCCATAATCCCACCAGCTTAGAATAACAGAGTCTGGACGCAAGTTATACTTCATGTACATTGCGCTCTCTCTGAAGTCGTCTGCAATTACTGGCTCCCCATTTACATGCCCATCCATGACCACAATTACCTGCTTATACTTAGTGTGCATTGTACCAAAACAGGAGAGGACATGGAACAGCATAAACACACCTACCAGGATCTTGGCTTGCCTATGAACAAAAAGCAGCCCCATACCACGGAACTTTGTATGTATGGGCTGTGCAAACATAACCTTGCAAAATGCATCTGCAGAAAAGATCGCCAAAAAGGGCGCTACAAGAAAGGCAAACCTCTCCATGTGCAGAAACATTAGTGTGGACAACGCAAATCCCCCCAGCATAACCAGAAGAAGACTGTTCTTCTTTTTATAGCCAAGCTGTGCAGTGCCCCACACCATTAAAATAGGCGCTACCACCATTAAAGGCCCGCACATGTCTATTATTTGTTCTTTTGTTGCATGCCTGTGCTCTACTATTGAAGAGACCAACGGATGCGCTCGCTTTTTATATAAAACATTGTATATTTTGTCTTTCTGTTTAATTTTTTCCAGAAGCAGAGCGCCTGACTTAGTTGTCTTAAATATTCCTAGTCCCACTAAAAGAAGCACAAGAATAGCTGACCCTACCATAGCATAAAAATGCTTGATCTGCGCTTTGCGAGATACATGTAATAGCACATTTGCGCTTTCTAAAAGACAAAACGACAGCAGTTTTCCTATGTTAACAGGCTTGGCAACCCATAAAAAGGGGGCCGCCCAATCCACTCCCATTGTAACCAGCCCACTGCAGGCTAGAATTCTCCAATTACTAAAACTCACAAAAGAATGCGCATATAGAAGCAAGTCCATAAAAATGCTTCCGCCCCAGGACAGATTGAAAATACCCTGTGCTACTCCTATGCAAACACCAATGATTCCTCTGCCCCACACAGACTTTATTTTGTTCTTTATCTGCAAAATGTACATGTACAGTATCAAGAGCGACATAAAAAGGGATAGCCCCTCGTAGTCATATGCGCCAGCCATAGTTTTCTCAAAGACACTGCCTGACATACTGAAGATTGCAATGGAAATCCACACACCTAAATGCTTTTCAGAGCTAGAGGAGAAGAATTCTGCAGCCACCTGGCGTACAAGAAATAGGCATCCAACAAATATGATGGGCGGCGTAAGACAGCAGACAGTGTAATGATCAACCCGGACAAAAGTGTTCAATACACAGTGGATCATATTTGACACAACGAATAGCATGGGATATGCAGTTTTATATATCTCCCTTCCATCAGGTACCCAGGTCTTACTATCCACCCACGTAAAGTACTGCAGTATCCCGTGGTTCCAGATATACTCAGAGCACCTAAAATTAAACCAAGGGTCAAACTCATTGATCAGCACCCCGTAGCGCATAATGGGAGCGAGCCTAAGCATAGATGCGTATGCAACCGAGATAAGGCAGAGCGCAGCCACGCCCTGTGTAGCACAGTATGAAAGCAAGGAGTGCTTGTACTTTTCATCACCCATTCAAGAAATTAATCCCCCAAACTTTTTACTGTAAAATATCCATAATGCAATAAGAGCAAAAGAAACTAAATTAATACAACACAGAATAAAATGCCCAGCGCCAATGCATATATGCATGGCTACCCTAAGAATAATAATCTCCCGTTGCTAAAGAATTAAAAAACAGTCTGTTTATAGACTTCTTAATAAATATATAAATATATGCAACTAATTCCATACACCTAATTACAATGTGTGCTCTAAGATAAAAACTAAAAATTAGTGCTAGCTAAATAAAAATACATAAACCTTCAGGCATTTATTAATCTAAATAATAGATGGTTTATTTTGCCTCTTCAATGATTGGCTCGCCAGAGTTAGCTCCTGCATTTCCTCCCTGAAGTTTAGACATGTATGGGGCAAAGGCTGCCTCAAGTGCCTTCTTCTTCTCTGCATACTCTTCTGCAGTTCTGCTGAGTGCAGATGGCACTGCCTTGAGCCATGCTTCTCCCTCTGCAAGCTTAGCGTTTGCCTCGGTCTGGACAGATGCGTCAAGCTTCTTGAAAAGCTCTTTGACTGTGTAAAGGTAGCTGTCTAGCTCGGTGTATGCTGCAATAATAACCTTGTTCTTCTCATCCTGCTCCTGGAACTTAACAGCCTCCTCCTGCATTCTCTTGATCTCCTCTGGGCTGCTGACAGTCTTGTCCTTGGTTATGGTGATTTCCTGCTCGCTTCCGGAAGAAGACTCGCTTGCTGTTACTGAAAGAATACCGTTGGAGTCAATGCTGCACTTCACAACAATCTTTGGCTCTCCTCTTGGTGCGGGTGGGATTCCGTTCAGATGGAACTCTCCAAGCTTGTGGTTGTCTGCAACCATAGCTCTCTCTCCTTCGAAGATCACAATGGACACTGCGGTCTGGTTGTCTGAGTAGGTACTGAATGTCTGTGTCTTGGTGGTTGGGATTGTGGTGTTCTTTGGAACAATTGGAGTGAAAACTCCTCCAGCGGTCTCAATACCAATGGACAGTGGAATGACATCAAGAAGAAGAAGGTCGTTGTCGCCCTCAAGTGCTTCTCCGTTCAGAACTGCGGCCTGGATGGCTGCACCCTGTGCTACAGCTTCATCTGGGTGGACACTCTTGTTAAGTGCCTTTCCGTTGAAGAAGTCAGAAAGCATCTTCTGGACCTTTGGGATTCTTGTGGATCCTCCAACCAAAATGATTTCGTCAATGTTGTTCTTTGAAAGCTTGGCATCTCCAAGAGTCTTCTCAACGCATGGGATAAGCTTGTCAAAGAAGACCTTGCAGAGTACCTCGAACTTTGCTCTTGTAAGGGTGTAGCACAGGTCTAATCCCTTGTGGAATGAGTCTACAATGATCTGGACAGACAGAGAGGAAGAAAGTGTTCTCTTTGCGTTTTCAATCTGGGCTCTTAATCTGGCAAGAGATCTTGCAGTGAGTCCTGAAACGTCCATGTTGTTCTCCTTGGCAAAGGTCTCTGCAATCTGCTTGGCAAGAGTGTGGTCTAAGTCGGATCCTCCCAAGTGGGTGTCTCCTCCTGTGGCCTTGACTTCAAAGAATCCCTTCTCAACTGCGAGAATGGACACATCGAATGTACCACCTCCAAAGTCGAAAACAAGAATCTTCTTTTCGCTGTCTCCAGATGCCTGGTCCATACCGTATGCAACTGCGGCGGCAGTTGGCTCGTTGATGATTCTGAGCACCTCAAGTCCTGCCATGGTACCTGCCTCCTTGGTAAGCTCTCTCTGGTTGTTCTTGAAGTATGCTGGGACGGTTACTACAGCCTTGTTTACTGGTGCACCAAGGTACTCCTCTGCGCAGTCCTTTAGGTACTTAAGCACCATAGAGCTGATCTGCTCTGGGTAGTACTTAACCTGCTGTCCTCCCTTGGTTACCTCAATCATTGGCTTGTTTGCTGGGCCCTTTACCACGCTGAATGGCCAGTGCTTAATGTCCTTCTGTACGTTTTCATCGTCGTATGTCAGACCAATAAGTCTTTTTGCGTCATAGATGGTGTTCACTGGGTCGTTTCTTGCATTATTTGCAGCGGTTTCTCCAATTAATAATTCATTCTCGGTGAATGCAACAATAGAGGGAGTGGTTCTTCCTCCAGACTTGTTGATGATTATTTCTGGTTTTCCGTTTTGCATAACTGACATGCATGAGTTAGTTGTTCCTAGATCAATTCCTATTGCGTATTCTTTTGCTTTCGCCATGGACTATAAAAAGTTTTATTTTTTTATAGTTTTATATTTCTGGAATTTTCCGGTTTTTTCCAGCTGTCTTTGTTTTTTTGCCTTTTAGCTAATAAGAAAAATGATTTATTTCTTTGTAAAAGCTGCACTCTCCTAGTAGAAATCTCTGAGTATACCACAGAAATGCATATATTCATCTCTAAAGCGCAATCCAAGTATTATTTTGTGCAGAAAGCCAGTGAGATTCAATATTGTTGTGTTTATGCCCAAAGATTTCTAGAATTTTCCTCGTATTTCCAGATAAAAATGAACATATGAAACTTAGATGGCGTATAGTATTTATGTGCCAAAGATTTTTTGTTTATAGTGTATTGCGTTTCTATATTCTTCTTTAAGTAAATTTTTCTATTTAAATTACTAGCATGCCATGCATGAATAAAATGTATTGTACTTTAGAAGTAAGAGAAAAAGAGACGTATCTTCTATGGCAGAATATGCCAAATATAATCACATACTAATCCCTTCTTTCGGACTAGCTAACAACTAAAGCACGCATGTAGCGTGCTCTGGGCTTATTTATGCGCCTCCTTATATGCGAATGCAAATTGCCCGAGCTTTATATAACCCGAAGTAATAAAGATTCAAATAATAGCGTGTCTATGGAATATATATTGTAAGTTAACTATGAAAAGGTGCTTTCTCTAAATATCTTTCACCGAATTTCTAAATAAGATGGTTCTAATAGGAATCCCAACGGCATAATGCTAAGTGTTCACTATGCGTCAGCATGATAAAATATGCGTTGTTTTCAAGATGTAAGAGTGTACTCAGATGATTTTACAAAAGGTGTCATTTATAAACGCTGTCTTTATTTAAAACTCAATTTATTTAAATATTTTTAATTGAAATACTTGCTCCTTCTTGAACTGGCCTAAACAAATTGGGTAATTGTTCTAGTAATTCCTTTTAGAGGATAGTTAAACAACCTGTACGCTGTTTATGGGAATATAACCCGAAACCAATAATATATATCCCATCAAATGTTAGACATAGCATATAACGAACCATTTAATAAATAATATTACTCTATATTTGCCAATATATTCCTTTATGAATGTGATTTATGCTTTTGATATCTGGAATATCAGCAGCTAATCTTGGCATGTGCTATCTATTCGTTATTTTCTTATTTATTTATTTTCTTTTTAATGGGATACCTTTGCTTTTTCCTTAGCAAGACATATTTTTTAAGGCTATTTTTGTATTTATAAAATATTAAAGTCTAACTTTTTAGCTGTCTCACCCACCATACAAAGACTTTGCAAATTTAATTCTTTAAGAAAATTGGAAGAATCAAACTGATTAATCCCACATAAAAGAGAAAGAGAGCATATACGATTAAACTCAATGGAGACAAGAAGAATCATAGCTCTTATATTGATTGCATTCTCACAGTACATCTTTCCTACAGCCATACCCCTAGTGGATCCAGATGAAATAGAAAAAGACATCAAAGTACTGAAAAGTACCTCAGTTTCCATAGAGTGGTGCAGCCTTCTCACAATTCCAATAGAAGAGGCGCTGTACCATCTGGATGAGTACAAAAAAAGAATTCACATTGTGCATACAATATTGAACCGGTATCGAAATAGACTGGTGCATGGAATATCTGTGTTTAATGGAGTTGTCTGGCTAAAAACCACAACAGATAAATATCTAGAAATATTTGGCGAGATACATAGGTATATGGTGAGAGATGCTGGTGTCACTAAGAAGAAGGAGAGGCTATGTATATATCTGAAGAAACATTTGGCCATGCTGACCGGTACATGCAGTGACTGTACACACCAGGATTGGATAGAGGGATTTATGGAAGAGCTACTAACAGATCGCGATCTACTCTACGAGAATTACTACTATAGCTGCATCTCAATCCATTTACTGAATAGGTTTTCTTTGGAGGAAAGAGAGCTAATAGACCTATACAACGAGTGCTGCCAAAGAATAGTGAATGTAAAAGCACTCAGACTAGACACAATACGAGGATTAGAGTGGCTATATCCAGGAAAAAATAGAGAAGAGCAGTGGGCATCGCTTTTTATAGATAAAGAGCTCTTTGCTCTTTTTTACATGCTGTATAGCGAGGCATCCACTTACATATGGGAGTACTTTCCCATTAATTTTCATAAGATACTTCTTTTCCACAATGAGCTGTTTGCAAATGCAGAAATATATAACAATGTAATATGCCGTTCTTACATCTTTTCTATGCTGAAGAGTGAGAGTACAGACTCATTAAATGCAGATGCGTATTCATCATACATTTACAAGGCAATATCCAGTTGGAGCGAACCACTCAGCTCAAAGATAGATGTGTTAGAAGAGAAATATTTAAAGCCCCACAACCAAGTGCCTTGGGGCAAAGAATGCTGGGATAGTTTTGTGCACAGCTGCTTTGTTAGAGAGAAAATGCCACAATTAATAAAGGACATATGGGCTCATTTAGACCGCAGCTTGGAGAGACTCAATAAAGTGATAGACACATCCCAGTATAACGTGGAGAGTATGTTTACAGAACACAGAAAAATATACACACAGAGCATGGTTACAGAGCTTGAAAACGTCTGCAAGAACGATGAATTTGGATTTTACACACCGCTAACTGTTGAGCATGTTCTTAGAAAGCTGCATAAAAACAGCATAGATTGTGCACCAAGTATATTGCAGATAATAAAACTGGTGGGACACCGCACATTTGCTGATACTTATACAGATTCAAAGCATCTTCCGCTAATTATGAATGAGCAGAAGAAAGCAAGTGAAGAAAACATCTTTCCGTATGACAGTCAGAGTATGGATGGAAAGTATATACCTCTAATCAAGACAGACACGAACTGTGCAGAGGACACAGACTTTCTTGGCATTGTGCTAACATACCACAATATTCTGGTTGGGAATCTCTTCACTGCTCTGTGTGCTATCCTCTATGAAAAATGGGCAGGATGCTTTGGAATCCATTCCATATACGTGATCGACTCAATTATAGAGACAGAAATGAAGCCGCATTATCTTATTTCTCTGGCATATATCTACAAAAACGTTGTAGACCGAACTATGGGAATTGAAAGAATTTCTATGTGTTTAATGCAGGAAGTGCAAAATATTATAAAAGTGTGCCAACCAAAGAAAGTGTTCATGCCGGACTATGCTGAGATAAATCTTTTTAATATAAGTGAGTACATTGATCTCTCAAGCTTAACAACTGAAGAAAGAGTTGCATTGGGGCATCCTTTACCAAAATATTCCTCCGACAGTATGGAGGATCTTATTTGTCAGCTTAAAAACAGGCACACAACAGCAGTTGCCTATATTAGAACATATAAGCTGCTACTAAACATGCAGAGAGACATCTATACTCTGCTTGTTCCCAAGTATATTTTGGGAATAGACAAGCTGTACATAATTGACTCTGCATGTTTACCAAAGTGCCACTACTCGAATACAATAGATCTGTATAGGTATACACATGTATACACAGCATATCCACAGATTAATATGTTGAAGCAGTACTTAGAAGAAATGCAGATGCAGAAAGAGTGTCCAAATGTCTTGCAGATGAGCATAGAAGAGTATAAGAATTTTAAAACTGCGCAGAAAACGAGCAGCTACACACAGTTCACCAAAGACTGCGCCATACTAGAGATGTTCTATGCAGGAATGCATATGGAAAGAGTGTTTAGAAGCTATATAGTTACGTTAGTAATATGGTTTAGCAATTCATTTATTAGATTTTTCACCCCCAAAAGGCTCTCTGACAGTGTTGTTAACTTCTTAAGCTCTTTCATTATAGGATCTCCTCTGGACCACAAGACAAGCATGCCGGTAGGTCTCTCAGAGCTAAGAATAAACATACTGTTAGACAGAACCCTGTATGAGGAAAGGGACATAATATTTCTTCAGCCTGGGAAATGCACATCAGTTAGCATCTCAATCGCAATAAGTGAAGTTAAGTCCTTCCACTATTTGGTAACAAGGCTAAATAATTCAGATAGTGGGTTGGCGGTATCTGAAAATAACCAAATGGTAATAGACCAGATTGAAAAGATATACAATAGAGTGAAATTCACGGAATGTCCTATAAGCCCGGCCCCACTACAAGACGAAGAACATATGAAAATTAACGCAGAAAAAGTGAAGAACCAATGTAATATGCATATAAATGATGAAGCTTTGGTTTCCTCAGCACCAATTAGAACTCCAAAGAAAGTCTCTGCCTCTTATGAAAAGAAAAACATCTGGCACAGTAATAAAAAAAAGGCACAAAGGAAGAATACTTTAAACTCTAGCAATGGATGGGTATTATTAGCGTCCACTGTATGTATTCTTTCTGTGTTTGGCATTACTATCTTTGGAATATATTTGTGGTAAAATTTCTATAATTTATACAAGAGGTATTCAGACACTAGTAAATGGGAAAATTCTAGGAACCCAAAATTATAAATTAATTTAATATATGTTTATAAACGATACAGCCAAACCGAAATATAATGATGGGCACTAATATAATTGCCTGGCAGCAGCAAGAATAAAAGAATAAAAGCATCTTAGCCTGAACTCACTTTCTTCTAGACTATTTTCATGCGGGTGCTGTCTCTTTTAGGGAATGCTAATACCATATTCATAATATATATGCCTAGAATGTTTAATTGTTCTAAGCTGAAAACCTTCTACTATTATAGGTCAAATAAAGGTGATCTATCGATTATGAACATGAGTTATCACAAAAGCTTGTTAAAGAAAGCCTTCTAGTGATAGTGCATTCTTAGTCTCTATTTTTAGGATTAAGTTGGTTGTTTTAGTGAAATTAGTGTGCTTTTTTGCATGTGCAGTTATATTTTTATATTATTAAGCTTTCTATGTGCACTAGCATATCCACAATAAAAAGTTCTGCTAGACTGTTTTTAGCTTAGTTTAAATTTCTTTTAGAGTTTTATTTCCCAAGAGCCTTGTGTATAGCATAAGATGGGCTATCCCAATAAACAGTTCAGAATAAATATTAGTTTCTTTGCATGTATAGAATAATTTATTTATGTGTTAGTTTATTCAATAATATCCAACCATGCACTATAATCTTCATGCGCATTGTCTATTCATTAAACTGCATATGCGCATGCTTTCTATATTTATCCTGTACTCTCTATCTCTAATCTGCCTCTTCTGTACAATGTCTCCATTCTTCTGTCTATGTGTTCTTATTATCCTTTCTTCTACATCTTTGCAAAAATAAACTCTACAATATTCGCACTACCGTCATTGTTCAGAAGGGTTTGTTTCTTCTAAAAAAAAGATAAAGACACACGAAAATCAGAAAACTGCACTTTTTGAAGAACCACTCTCAGCAAACACTCAGCACAATGTAGAAAGCTGAACAAACTCCGCATCACACGCCAGCCACATAAAGAACAAAAAGGCTCTGTCCAGACATGAAAACCTATGCGCACACCAGCACAGAACTATACACACATACCACACATGATATACATACACGTATATACATACTATACACAGACTACACATATGCAATATGTATGCTGATAGAGACACATCAGAAGTAGACAAGAGTGCATTCCTCAAGCATGCTATGCAAGTTTCAAGACACCAGCTGTCTACCTCACCTACCCATCTGCACACACCTCCCTACATCAGCAGGTCTTTCTCCAATGCCTGCTGCACATGCCTTGTACACACTCTCCCACTATATTAATTTTTCGTCATATGGTCCTCTGAGGTGCGTAATTTGCACATAGACCGGGCAACAGACCGCAATTAAGTAAACAAACAGCAGAACGCGGTCTAGAGTGCACTTAGAAGGGCCCAATGCACATATTTCCAAATTTGATCATTTTTTGGGGGTATTTAAGGGCCACGCACTCTGCATTTCAGAACACCAGGAGAGCTGCATCTGTCTCACGGCGCAGTGCAGAGAAGAGGGCTGGCTAGGAGGTGGCAGGAGCAAGCCGGCACTAACCCTGCCGGTGGGTCGTCCACTATTATCATTCCCTTCGGGGTAGCCTATATGGCCATATGGAGTAGCTTGGATGCCAACTTTGTCATTAGGAAATTCCGCGCATGTTCTTTTTACCTTGATGCTTGTACATTTAATATTTAGAGCCGCTGCGTTGTCTAAGCCGAAGTGGCACTGAACTATGCGTGCACTGGACTTCCCTGCTCCTGTCCTCAGCACCGACTGGCCCTCTCCTCTGCGCCGCGCGCGCGATGGCCTGCCGTGCTGTCTGCAGCGCTCCGGCAAACAGCAGCATGCGCGGGCCGCTGGGTTCTCAGGCCAGTCGCAAGACGCCGCTCTCCCTGCATATGCAGCAGCTAACCACTGCATGTGTATGCAGCGAGCGAAGATGTGCTGTGTGCAGGCAGTACATGGCGCCCGTACATGGCCGGTACACACTATTATTAATAAACAGCCGCTCCCGATCTGCCTGCTGTCTTGCTGTACTGTGTCCGTCCTTTGTGTGCTCAACTAATATTCCTTGTCCGCAAGCCTCGAATGGCTTTTTATCTTAAACTCTTTTACTGTGCTGCTAATTTTCCTTGGAGTAGTAGTGGGAATAAAATGTTTCTTTTGGTAAGCAATGACCAAGCAAGCGCTGTTTGCGAATAGCTATGTGGTTACATAGGTGTATAGCACTTACATGTACTGTACTAGTTGCTAATAAGTGTGCATTGGGCTGAGAAGAACTCTAGTAGTTGAAGTGTGAAAACTAAAAATAGTAAGTTAAAGAAAGTTCAAATTCTCTTTATTCAAGATATTTTCTACTTATAAATAGTGTAATGCTAAAGCTTATTTTTTGCAAGCTTGGCTTAGAGTTAATAATATTTATGCAGTTTTTTGCATATAGAAAATAGTGCCTATAGAGCCATCTTCAAATGTTTTCATCCCATAAATAGTTTAGAATTTAAACAAATGGCTATAGGCTTATGAATAAAGAGTTGGAAAACAATAAGTCGCCTAATTCCACAACAAGTCGCAATATGCACTGTAAAAAGCAGTATAAATTAATCAAATAACTGAAATGCGTTAATGTAAAGAGTAACTAAAGCAGAAGCATCGATATTCATATCTTTATCCTTCTCTTTTCAGAGATTATAAAATCAAGTACTATTAAAGCAACTGTGATTATACAAAATAGACCATTGTGGTGGTCTAAAGAAGACACAAAAGGCACTGGAGACAGATAAGTCTATCTAATATTATTCTGCATATTTCGGGTTATATCCTAAATATAAAGATATTTTATGATCTGTCTAGATTATTGACTTCTTTAGGCACGGCTAGTAAATGAAGCATATGATACATACTATTCCTGCAAAATACTTATTAAAGCATTAATGCGGTTTATATCCTCTTTGCTTGCATTCATGTCAAGACAGTCTTTCATAGAAATAAGGGCTTTTGCAATTAGAGAACTTCTTTGATTGCACAAGAAATTTCTGATGGTAGAATCAATGCTGTTCGGATTAACATATCCAAGTATAAGCTTTATCATCTCTTCTGTTCCCTCTTTTTGCGTGCAGGAGAGGTAAAGCCACACTATATTCACAAACTCGTACACTGACGGATTTTTGTTCTTCCAGTGGAGCTCCAGCAACTTATGAATCTCTTCAATGCCTTCTAAGCCCTTTAACTCACAGATCAGATTAAATAATGTGCACCCTGCCATAATATCGTTTAGAATGTTCGCATAGAAATCGGCAGATTCAGGTAGCTGAATATACAATTTAAGACAGTTATATCTAGTTTCATCTGAAACATGTGCCATTCTATAGTAAAATATATCGTATAGAGAATTGTAATCAATTTCATCTATGTTATGCGATGTGATCGTATAGTCAATATTTGGATAGAGCTTGGGATAGTTCTCTATAATTGAAAAAATAGTCATCATACTTTCTCGCGCAGATAGTCTATTAAGCGGAGCACTTGCAAGGAGGTTTGATGTGAATCGCACACTATCATGGGACGCAGTCAGATTATGCCCAATAAAATAGAGCATAGTTTCAAACACATACATTCCCTTTTGCTCTATGCTGTCTATTTTTGCCAATAGCATAACTTGGTAGAGCTTTTTTTTTGTGTCATTATGCGCCCGGTAGAGTATATCTGTGAGAGCGTTTTTTAGATATACCTGTATATATCGTTCCTTCATATTGATGCATGCGGTTTCGTTCGTTATGCAGTTTGAAATTGCATAGGCTATAAAATTATTTGCAGATTTGTATTGTTCGTGTAATTCAAGCTGTTTGTTCGCAATATTTACAGGCATATCCCCTAGTATATACGAAATTAGCATATTGGCGTTTGCTTGGGTTATATCAATAGAGATCACATTAAATGCTGATTTGAAGGCATACTTGAGCTCAATAGTTCCAAAGATTTCATACCTACCGCTAGAGCATTGTGCTGTAGAAAGATCTTTCACTGCAATTTCTATTGATTGGTTCTTTGAAAGACATAGAATAACATCAGATACAATTTTGGTTATGGCATCGATATTTTTGCTAGTTAGTTTGACATTATAGCTTATCTTCTCCAAAGATTGAATCTTTTTCTCAATGTCTTTATATCGTCCTGTAACTTCTGAAATAACTCGGAGAATATTGATCAGCCCACTTTTGATCTTGTTCTTATCCTTCATGTATATTATTCTGTTATTGTCTAGACACGCCACAACTTTGCACCAGGCTTCATGAATGGGGTATGTAGTAGCAGCAAAAGGAATACTATACCTAGAGAAGAAGTCTTGTAAATCCACAGATGCTTTTTCTATGTGTTTCGTTGTATATTGGTTTGTGCCTAAATCATATGCAAGGCAGCAGAATAGCCCAAGAAGAGCTGTTTCTGTATAGTTGCTGTAGTACAGTAGCTGATTCTCCACAAATTTTTTTTGACTTCGGTCGTATTGCGGTACTCGTGTATATGTGGGCTTTTCAATGTCATGGTAGAAGGGAAATTTCCGATTATCATCCAAAAAATGCATGAATTTATAGAAGCCCTCAAGGCATGCAGCATCTTTATCAAGCGTAGCAACACTGGAAAAGCACTTTTTGAATACTGCATTGGCTGTGGCAAGGGTATTCTCAGACAATTCATTTTCCAGCTGGTCGCAGAGAAGCTCGTGCACCTTTTCTACAATTTGCATGTAGTCTTCGGAAGTTTCAATAAACTCAAAGATATACGACTCAATAAGAAATATAGGATTGCATAAAAACAGCCCTTTCTTGAACTGATCTTTAGTAGTTGCCTGGGCAAATATCCCCTCCTTGTCTATTACTCGATTTTCTTTGCATTCTATGAAGAACGTAATAACTTCTACGGCTTCAATTAAATAGACCTTCTCTTTCTCAGATGTCTTTAGATTGGTATATAACATATGCATAGGCATATTCACGTATTCTTTGGACCCAGTCTTATCTCTGATGATAAGTGACATATCAATGCTGCAATCTATTTCAATGTTAATGTCTACTTGCTCTGCAAGAAGCAAAAGAGCTGCAAGGACATACTGAACAGAGCCGTTTCTCTTGCTAAGTCTCAAAAACTCGATAAATGAATTAGACTTAGATGTTTGAATGGATAGCTCACCTGAACAGGAGGGAAACATTTTGATAATCGTCTCGTAGTATTTGATTGTATAAATATCTCTTTCTATAGTAGAAGAAGAAGGATGCGTGCAGTCCCTACAAGGAGTTCTTGTATAGTTATACACGTCTGTGGTTTTTGTTGATTGGGAGGATTTTTCCAGACTAAAGTAGGCCTTTATATTATGTGAGAAAAATCGCATGTTGTGCATCCATCCATTTCTGTGGTAGATGTATCCGCGCAGTGGGTTAATAGGGCCAAGTGGATTAACCACCAAGCTCGAGTCTCTCTGGAGTGTAGTATTTTGCACAGTATTTATATCCACTATCTCTATCCGCGCGTTCGCGAATAGCATCATAATCAGTATAGGGATAATATTCATGTATAGGAGATACATTGATGAAAATAAAATATTTTAAATACTATTTAGCAAGGATTTCTAAATATAATATTTCATTAGCAATAAAGGTGTTTAGAGCAAATTAGCTTTTTTATGATTAGTGACAGTTCTATCAATATAAAAACAAAAGGCCACAGTTAGCACCTTTGAGCCGGAACATTAACAAACAGCAGGTTAGCTGAGCAAACACTGCTCTATCTTAACAAATACACATGATTATTGTGGTAAGATTTCTACCTCTCAAATAAAAGGCCACAAGGTTGCTAATATAAAGAAAAATAACTCTGGAACAGACACTAATAAAAAGAACAATATATAATCAAAAGAGAATATTTAAAGAGCATAATGAGTCAATTACCAAAGAAAACTCAAGTACAGCAAGAAAAAGCCATAGTACATTCAGACATCCGCGGCAAAACACAAATAAAACACCCTTTACAACAACTCTATTATAGACTGCTATTCCCTTGCTGGGCTGCTGCCTCCTTTTGGGCATGTCACTGTTATATGTTATTTAATAAATAAAGTTACAGACCCATTTTAAAAAGTGAATATTCAAAGGGAACTTCAGTACATAATCCCATAGTTAATATAATAATTTTATAAAACCAAAATAATGGCACAGCAGGTAGGTCACGAGCAAAAGAGCCCTGAAGAAAAGCAATTAGAGATTAAAAAGAGAGAGGAAAGAGAAGAAAAGGAAAGGAAGGAAAAGCAAGAATACGAGGAGCACCTCCAAAGGCTAAGAAATCTGATTAAAGAAGACCAGAAAACCAATATGGAAAAGGCAAAAGTAGAAATAGATGGCATACGGGCAATGCAGACAGTGTCATTAAGAGAGGCCCAGATAAAGCCACTCACCACCTGCGGGGAAAGACAAATAGAAGGCTCAAATGGCGAAGAGATCAGACTTAAGATAATACATGAGACAAAAAAGCAACTGCATACACTAAAAGCAGATGCAACAGTTGATATGTTTAGAAAAATTCTTATTCAAAACTTTGGGATAAAGAACCCCAAGGCGTTTATTTCTACAGTGGGAGAAATTGACTTTAGCGTGCCCTCAACTACTCTTAAATCAATTGGGGTGTCGGATATGGATACAATTTATGTGCATAAGCTATAGCTTGGCACAAAATAATTCGAAAATGTAGCAAAGAGGAAACAGCTACAGAGAGCGCAGAATAATAAAGAATTTAAACTGTATTTGGATTTTATAGTTAAATTACTTGAGTTAGGCCGTGCTAATAAGCAGAAGCATTAGAATCCGAGTATAGCTCTAATAAGCACACCATCTTGCTAAGTGGGGGATATTTTACTTCTACAGTAAAGATATCTTTGCCAAGTGCTGTTGTTCTGAGTTTGCATTAACCTTGAATACTCTTCGATTTGCAGAAGTATACTTGGTCTATACTTATGGCCTTGTCTTGGGACGAAAATTTGGAATCCTGTGAAGTAGAAAGAAAGTTCTGAGGAAATGGTAGTTTTTCTACAATTCTCGTTTTCGTTTGCAGCTGGAAAAGGTCATTGTTATATATATGGTGTTTCCCATGCATGCCTTTGCGAATATAGCATCTTATTAAGCAGAGAAACCTTCTATTTTTGGAATTCTTTGCAGAAGTATAAATATGTAATAAAATGTTTTCGAGCCCATGGAGACAAGCTGCGTACAGAAATGCATAGACTTTTTGGAAGCACTAGACGAGAACAAAAACAGGAAATACATACAGGAAATCAAAAAAGCAATCGAAGAGAACAGAAGGTCCATACCCATAGAATATTCTGACATGTTTAACCACGATCAAGCACTAGCAATAGAAGCAAAGAGAAATTTTCCCATCATAGAAAAGCATCTTTCAAAAGCCATAGAAATACTTACAGCAAAGTATTGTCCAGAGTTCAAAAGAAAGGGGGTTTCAACACGAGAGGAGGAGTTTATCCCATGTGTTTACGGCTTGGATGTAATTTACTCTGTGAGAGATCTGAAAACAGGTCTTCTTGGACAGCTGGTTTCATTCTCAGGCATAGTAACCCGATCCTCGCAGTCTAAGCCAGAGCTGCTGGAGGGGACATTTGAGTGCTTGGAGTGCAAGGCCATGGTGCGGGGGGTTCTTCAAGAAAGAATGTACAGACAGCCTCTTTCATGCATAAATCCAATGTGTCTAAACAGAAGTAAGTTCAAACTATGCCTGGATGAGTCTAAGTTTAGCGACTACCAGAGAATAAGGGTTCAAGAGCCAGTGGGGGAAACGGGAGACTCGCAGGCCATGCCCCGGACTATTGAGGTTCTTCTAAGAAATGACCTAGTGGAAATTGCAAAGCCAGGGGATTGCGTGATTATAACGGGATACTTAACAGCTATTGCATGCCAGCGAGATGCACTGGGGCATAGCAACACTACAAAGGTAGGGCTATCTAAGGCGCCAGAGGCAGATGCAGTGCGAGGAAAGAGTGCACAAGGAAAAAGCATCAACCACGAGCTAATTTTTTCGGGCATTTCTGTATCAAAGAGGCAGAATGATCCATTTACCACTCTCTTAGAGAAAAAACATAAAGAAAGCCATGTATCCGAGCTGGACAGAATGAAGGTTGAAACAATGGCGCAGGCCCCGAGCCTTCTTTCAAAGCTGGCAAGCAGTCTGTTTCCCTCTATCTGCGGGCATGATAATATTAAAATGGCCATTCTTCTTATGCTTGTGGGAGGAACGTCTAAAAAGACTCCTGAAGGAATTTCTCTTCGTGGAGATATAAATATCCTGCTTGTGGGCGACCCAGGGACTGCGAAGTCTCAATTTCTAAAGCAAACAAGTACTTTGGTGGAGCGAGGAGTGTACACCTCAGGAAAGGGATCAAGTGCAGCAGGTTTAACTGCAAGTGTAATAAAGGATGACACGGGTGAGTTTAGCATTGAGGCCGGCGCTCTTATGCTTAGTGACAGCGGTGTGTGCTGCATTGATGAGTTCGATAAAATGGACGAAAGAGACAGAGTAGCAATCCACGAGGCAATGGAGCAGCAGTCTATAACAATAGCTAAGGGTGGTATACACGCCACGCTCAGTGCAAGAACAAAAATCTTGGCAGCAGCAAATCCTGTGAAAGGAAGATATGACATGCGGAAAACGCTCAGGCAGAACGTAAGGCTCTCTCCTCCAATTATGTCCAGATTCGATCTGTTCTTTATTCTGGTGGATAGCATTAGCATTGAGCATGACCAAGTTATCTCCAGCCACATTCTTAAAAGCCACATGGCGCATGGAAAGAGCACCATTATGCAAGAAAGCTTCTTTTCTGTGGAGGATGTTAAGACATTTATACGCGTAGTAAAGACAAGAGAGCCAATTCTTTCAAAGGAAGCAGGTGCTGTGATAGTAGAGAAATACTTAGAAATCAGAAAAAACAACTCAGTACATGCATTCAACGCAACCCCTAGACAGCTAGAGAGTATTATTCGGCTGAGTGAGGCAGTAGCAAAGGTGTACGGGTATAACGAAGTGTCTACAGAGTGCGTTGAACAGGCATATCTGCTTCTTTCTGGATCTATAATGAATGTTATAACGGATGACATAAAACTTTCTGTTGCAGACGTTGTTGGGGAACGAACTTACACAATTTCATTTGATGAGTATATGAAAATGACATCTGCTTTGGTAAAGATTGTTCAAATGAAGGCAGGTAGCGATGGAATAGAGAGAGAAAACTTGCAAAAGGCATACATTGAGGAGAACGAGAACGAGATTACCACAGAGGAGGAGTACTTTAACATGCAGGAGAAGTTAACAGGACTGATTGATCAGCTACTATACAAGGAAGGGGTGTTCTATGAACAAGGTGAGAATAAGAGAATCCTTCTTCACCCAAACTACAACCTATTCTAGTGGCTTTATCCAACTCACACAGGAGATTAAGTTTAAATGGCCTTCAGCAAAAAAGCATTCATCAAGTTTCAGTGAGATTCCCGCTTTGTGTAACATCATAAGACAAGGGCTAATAAAAATAATTTTTATATACGAGACAGCATTTTATTATTTCTCTAGCTAGTTATAAATTAATAATAAGGCAGCATGTGTAGATATTTATTTTTTGGCTTAGAGCTATTTGTATGCGGGCTGTCATGTGTATTTTCTTTATAGTTGTTGGTTTTCCTTGCCTTGAGGGCATGAAACCTTCTCTCCTGGTCAGCAATATGGATTGGTGCTGGTCATTGTCTTCAGGGTTTTGGTTGTAGGCCAACATGCTACAAGGGGCTTTACTTATTACGCATCGGATTATAGTGGTTCGATAAATGGCATATATTGTCATTTTCCTTAACTTCTAGAATACTTCATGGCAGCCCTTTGATTGTCTTTTTCTGGTGGTCTATAAATAGACAATATGAAATAAGTTATATCTAAATTAGTATGAGTGAGACTAATGCCTTGAAGAAAAAAATCGGCTATAGTAGTTCTATATCATTACTCACTTTGTGTTTTGTGCAATGGAAGATTTCTATATATAGGTACTTGATCTCTTAAAAGGTGTTATTCTTAAGCTTTATTATTTATTCGAAAACTCAACTCTTTAATAGCTTAATTTTAGCAGTTTACGCCAAAATAAACAGGCAAACCACTTAATGTTTCATTGTATCAATCAAGACATTATGTTGTTGTCAATAGCATGTATGCTGTTAGATGCTAGCCACAAAGTATAGTGTAGATTGTTTTTCTATCTGTACTGCTATACAAAATTCAAGAAAAGAAATAGTATTCTATTTAATGTACACACAAGCATATGGCATTAATTAAAGCGCATAGAGATTATAGTATAACTATAAGACACCTACAGTATATTATAAAGCACTTAGCTAACTCTTTAATACAGAATGCATATTCAGTTAGATCTTATGATTTTATGAGTCCACAATGTTATGTGCAAAAGAAAGTTCTGAGGAAATAGCAATTTTGCCTCACTATGTATTTTTTTGTTTTTTTTGAAAAGTGCATAGTTATATCTTAGAAAGTAGGCAGATTTCCATAATATAAAAAATACATGCCTGTTCTCTCTCTTGAGAGTGCTAAACTTCTTCCCCAAATCAGCAATATAGATGAGTGTTGGTGTCTTTCTTCAGATTTTCCAGAAGTAGGCTAGTGTTTATGAAAACAAGTGGCTTTATTTGTTTAAATTAAAACTAATTAACTATTTATATTCCATTACAGCTTATAATATGTTTATTAGTAGCTTGTCTTGCTGATAAATGAATAGCTTGTAGTTTATAAATAAACAGCAAAAAACAAATATAGCATGGATAACGCGGATGCAGATTATAGTCTTATAGAAACCAGCGATCCCAATGCGCAAAATAGTAGCAGTATGAATAATATGGATAGCGCTATTGTAAAATCACGCTATAGTGAGCTAATGTCAATTTTGAGTTTTAGAAAAAATAAAAATTCTAATCCAACCATTTGGCCTATCTATAAACTCATAATTTATGCTCATGTAGCTACGATTATGAGTACTGTTTTTTTAGTTGGGCAGATGATTTACATCAAGACTACATCATCTGATGGGCATCTGTATACAGGCCATCTACAAATGCGGATTAATGGAGTTGCTATTATAATATCCCAGCTCATTAAATACTATATAGTCCGACATTTTATCCACAATGGGATAATTGGTTTAAGTTTTAAAAAAATCTACTTGAGAACACTTTATTTTACAATTAGTGTTAGTGTTATATGTCTCGTGTTTTTTATACCACTTGGATATTATTATGAATGCAAAAAAACACAAAATGCAGAAAAATTTATAGCTCTAATCTCGCCATCATATCTAGGGTGGGCTAGCTTCGGTATGGAGCGATTGGAATTATTATTTATTTTCTTCTTTATATATATTGGTCAAATAGTAGCACGTCTAAAAAAATTTCTTACTGTATTTAGAACATTTTTGTATTTCATTATAAACATAGCTTTATCTATAGCATTCTCTGTGCTGTGGTATAAATATTATGAAGCAATAAGGCCTATTCATCTCTTGTTACTTAAAGAGGCTCTATTTAAAAATGCCACTGCAGTAACAGAACAGCCTTAGCAAGAGTTAAATTAAGAAACCCAATCTTTGAGAGTGCTTGAACTCTTGTTTTCTCTGTTTTGAGGAAGCCAAATCCTTTTTCAAAGTCAGCGGTTTATATGAATATTCGGTATTGCTTTTTGAGGATTTTGGCTGTTGAACAAGGTGCTAAAGAGGGCTCTTGCTTTTTTATGCATAAGCCATCTTAGGTCGCTTAGACTCTGGAATTTTTATTTGTTGTTAGGCAAATAAGTAGCTGTCACCAGATAAGATCATAAAAGACACTCTTCTAGTGGGTTTTGGAAGATTTATGTCTAGATCTAATATTCCCTTGAAGGAGATCTATATAATAGAGGACGAGAAATAAATTTTATTCAATTTACTATGGCAGAATTCAATATTTTAAAAAAGATAAATCAGCTTGCACTCTATAAATATAATATAGGACAGAAAACAAATAGTATGGAGGGTACAGCTGCTGATTCTAGTCTTATAAAACTCAGAGATCTCAATGCGCAGAATGTAATTGAAGATAGTTCAAATAACGACATTGTAAATTTAGATAATCATACGTCGACAAAGAGCTTGCATCATACTAAAATTAGAGAGAGTTATACTACATATCTTAGGAGCATTAATATAGGTGTATACTTTATCAACCTATCTGTGGTTATGGTATCTGGCTTTTTAATTGGGGATGTTTTTTGCATCGAGATGCTATTCCATAAAGAGTATCCGTATCCGAACTATCTATCATTGCTTGTTTGTGGCTTGTGTATTATGCTATTCCAGCTCACTAAGTACACTATAGATATAAATAATTTCTACAGATATATAATTGGTATAAAGCGCAAAAATGGATACACATGGGTACTTTACAGCGCTATATTGGGCTTTGTCTTATCACTAGTGATAGGCATAATTCTCAGGTCTATAAATATTTCCGATCCATGCAGTCATGCAAAAATGCTTAGAATTGCATCTTTGCAGATATTTCTAGGCTGTGCTAGCTTTACTTTTGAGCTACTAGAAGTACTTTATATTTTCACATATATAAGAGAATTAAAGACCCTTGTAGGGAACTTAGACCCAGCCAGAAATAAATGCATAGGCAGCTTCTTATCGGTATTTATGTTTGTATCCCTCTGCTCAGCGTGGTACATATACTGCACGCAGATAAACTCTGCTGTTTCCTATTTGCTTAAAGAAGACATATTTAAGATTACCATTCTATAAGTAAAATAAAGCTAGTACTCTAAGTATAGTATAAATCATTCAATATATACATTGAAAAGTCTCTTCTCTTCACTTTTCTCCATTGTAAATAGCCTACATTTTTTAGAGTGTCTATAAAGTTTACTTAGTTGCATGCCAATTGCAAGTACCATTCGCTTTAATTGTGGGCTTGCTAATTCTTAAGCCAGCACCTCTAAACTTAAGGAAAGTTGTTTAAAAAACCAAGTTATGTATAGTTTTCTTGTTATAGAGGATAATAAACTGTTTATATAAGACTAGCCATAAATTAGTTATTTCTCTCTTATTTTCTGTAGACTGATGATAATTTTTCAGATGAAGCTTAATATAAATTTATACTAAGTGCATAGTATGTAAAAAGCTTTTCTATAAATACCGAACACCCGAATGATGTATGGCCAGATTCAGCTCAAAAATTCTTTACACCTGCATATCTGAATGAAATTCAATCCACTACAACAAATCAAATACTAAGAATCATAAATTCAGTGCCACTGCCAATTTATATATGTATTTATTCTATGTCTACTACACAGTAAATTATTTGTTGAATATTTTTATATTTTTCTGAATTGGAAAAATGTGTACTCAAGTCAAATGAAATATATACCAAAATGCCTATTTCCATGCAGACATAAAAGCAATTAATATAAGTATTTGCAAAAACTAAAAAATAAGCATAGATCTATGCCTCTTTTTGCATAGAAAAGAGAAGATACTTAAAAAGATTTATTGCCTGCTTCATATTACTCAAATTTATCTTTTCTGTTTCTTTTTCTTTGGAATTTCTTCAGACTCATCCTTCTCATCTGACACAACAAAGCTATTTTCATTAGAATCACTTTCATCTGCATATGACTCGCTTTCTTCCTCGCTCTCATCCTCAGATGGGGCCAAGTCTTCGTCTGTAAGGAAGTCTTCGTCGTCATCGTCATCAGATTCTTCTGTGGTGTTTAGATCAACCACATCATCGCCTGTCTCTTCTTGCTCCTCCTCATTTCCGGTCTCTCTGCTTGGCTGCAGAATTGCCCAGGCGCCTCCTTCATAGAATGCAACAGGATCATTAAGAATGCTCTTTAGAACGTTATTCCACTGTATGTTCACCTTGGTCTCTGTGAAACATATGTTCTTTGAGTCGAAGAAGTCCATCAGCCAAGGAACAGACATAGCAGAGACTCCGTGTACATGAACTGGTGTTTTAGTCTTGTCCTTCAGCACAAAAACCAGATCAGAAGTGGTGACTCCAGATACTCTTCTCTCAAAGTTCAGGATTTCTATATCCTTAAAAGGAAGAACAAAGAACGGAAACTCAGTTAGGTTGATCAGACACTCAGACGTAGGCTGGATAAAAACGCTTTGTCTGTGGGGAACTCCAAAGAATCCCTTAGAGACTGGCTCCTCCAGAATAACCCGCGACTTTTCAGAAACACATACGGCAAAGTCATAGAAGGCATCGTTTATCTCTTCGCGGATTCTCTCCTCCTCTTCCTCTTCATAGATCTCTGCTTCCTCGCCGCCTGCTCTGCTTCCTGTCTTTCGCGTGTCATGCACTGCATTAGCAACACAGTCCCGGAAGAACTGCACATCTGTTGTTTTTTTGTCTGCAATGGTTATTGGCGTGTGCAGCCTGAAATGGAGAAGACTCGGGGACTCCGCTGCGCCGGGCTGCAAAAACATATGTTTTATCTTTGTGAACAGAATGTCTACATTCCCTGCCTGCTTAGAGTGATACCTTAGCCCGTTTTTGTGCAGCTCAACCGTGTTTGCCACGTTCTTTTTTGTTCCCATCCGGTGGTCGCACCGCATGAAAACATTCTGCAGGGTTTCCACCCGGCCCATAATTTCCTGCAAGTCTTCCTGCTCTCCTTCTTCAACCTCCTCTTCAGACTCTTCGTCCTTCTTGAGGTTGTTTATATCGCGCCACGCTGTCATTACGTTTTCCTGTGTGTCCTTTATAACAAGAGATAGAAGGTTATTCACACTAAGAGAAAGATCTCCCGACGGCTGGTAGAAAGATATTTTCAAATACCCTAGACCGTCCTCAATGGTTTTTGTGACGGTCTTTATCGTGTTAATATGGAAAGGTACCGCTGCCCCGAATACAGGTATAATCACACTGGACGCTCGCTGGTCTATCTTTATAACAGACGAGCCTCTTGGAATTAACGTCTCTTTTTCGTATGAGACTATCTTTTCTGCAGGCTCCTCAACTTCCTCCTCCTCTGGCTCATCGTGCATTTTGTAAAACTGCAGCTGCTCTTCAATCAGCTCGTCCATCAGTTGCTTCTGGTGCTCATTTATCTCGTTGGCGCGCTCTACCTCCTTGTCTTTGTTTCGGAGCCTTCTTCCAGAAAGCGTTCTCTTTGTCAGCTCTACGGGCTTTTCAAAGATGTAGTCCATCACATCCATGCTGAAAGGCGTAAGAAGCTTTGGTGCGCTCTGCTCCATCATCACAACATTGTCCATATGGATGGTTCCTGCTCTATCGTCCTCGTCAATCATCTTTATCAAATCATAGAACCCAACCGATACAGAGAATACAGAGTTCGCCTGAATGGGCGCTGTGCCCAGCAGCTCTGGAGCGACGCCTTCTTCTGGGCGGATTCCAATGTATGGCCCGATTTCTATTTTCATTTTGTGCCTTAGCTCTGTTTGGTATCTTGGGTCAACCACCTCGTTAAATCTTTTCATTGTTTCCTCCTTGATCTGCTCGGGTGTTTTCCCCTGCGCAATGTTTTTTATCACATACTTCATAAACCGCAGAGTGTATGCCAAAACATCCTTGCTCTTCTTGTTCGGAGCAATTAAAAGAGTTCTTCCAATGTGCGAGCAGTTGCCCTTGTATGCAACCCACAGATAGTAGCTAATAATATCAAAATACAGCAGCTGTTCATTGTATGGGTTAATAAACTCTCCCTTTTCCGTTTTTGTCTTTAAATACCGCCCTCCGCTCTGAATAATCGGCTTAAAGCATAGCTCAATATAGGACTGGTCAAGCTCACTAGGAAGCCTTTTCATCTCCACCTCAAGCGCCGCCTCTATTTGCTCGCTTAGCTCCTCATGTATCACTCTGTCATCTGTCTTCAGAATATGCTTAATCTTTCCCTCCAGCAGCAAAGACATCTGTGTTGCAGACATACCTGCCAGCCTCAAAAGATCCTGCTGCTTCCTGTCCTTTTTCACAAGCGCGCCCTCAATGCTCTTTGTTATGTCAAGTGTGTTAAAGTTGTTCTCCCACTCAACCACCGAAGGACCTCTATCTTCATTGAGAATCCCGAGCACTTTGTCGCTGCATATCTCTTTTATGCTTTTAATAATCTCCCCCTGGTTTGATATGTCCTTTAGCCTGCTAAATGTTCTAATATTGACGGTTTCTTTCAGGTTATCTAGTATTAAGCACTTTTTTGTGCTGGAAATTGCAAGCACTTCTGTTCTTCTGATAATTAGCGTGGTAAGCGGAAATTCATACCCTAAGAGATAGAAAAACATTGCAGAATTGATCCCATACGAGAATGTGGTATCCCTCTCCCCGAATGTTATCATCAGGGCATCCACTTCCTCTGGAATCACTTGAATAATATTTTCCATTCTCTCCTTAAATGTTTTGCAGTCAAGCTCTACCTTTGCCATTAAGAAATAAAAAGAAATGGTAAAAATAATTTAAATACATATGACCTAGGTGCAGAAGGTATAAATACATACTCTAGTGTTTATAGAGCGTATAGATACTTCAATGAATGAGGCTATAGAACACAGAGCAGAAGACATGCTTACTATTCCTCAAGAAAGTGATCGCTGTGCTTTATGACATAGAGTGTGCTGTTTCTAAGAGAGATATCTAGCAGCAAGAATAAAGAAAGTATTTATATATAAGAAAGCCACATTAAAGTAAGTGGAAATGTCTTTCTTGCCTGAAAGATTCAGATTATGGCACTTTATTACTGAGCGTCTCTGTCGGCGCAAAATAGAGAAATGCATACACACAAAAATGCTGTTTTTATCTATGAATATAATAGCATTGCTTATGCACATACTCTTGGAGTATTGAATATACACAAATACAACCCAAATTCCGAATGGTAGTACTATCTAAGTAAATAGCTAGCTCAGAGCTATATGGCACTTTAACTAAATATGCATTGCTTGCCTTCTGTCCTATTTTATATTTTAGAATGCTGAGTGAGTGCGCATAAAATGATTCCGGCTGTATTAAATCCTAAAGGCATGCTTTGCATGGCTACCAAGGCAGAAAATCTCTCATCACTCTTAGAGAAAGATAAAAGAGGATATATGCTGTAATAGAGCCAATCATATACAAATATGGAGGGTCGCTCTATCATGCGAGATGCATAGACTGTGCTCTATGCTCTATGGCATCTGTTTTTTGCTGCCTAGCCAGGAATATATTTTATGCACAAATAAAATGCGCCATGAAATCCGTTTATTAGTGGGGTGTTTCACTTTATTAATATTAGCACACATATACTCATTAATAATATTTTTACAAAATATTTTATGATTGAAAGCATTGCACTACGAAAGTTCGCAGTTTCATACTTTCTAGTACATCCAACAAAACCACTTTGTAACCTGGTTAACAGAATTACAACAACAATAAAAAATCGGTTCTTCGTAGGAGAGGTGGTTTTTCTTAAAAACAAAGAGCTCACAGGGCAGATAGTTCAGATTACCAAGAAGGGCTACATCGTGGAGATATACGATGATGAAACTGGAAGCACTCCGCAGCAAGAAGAGGTCACATCACAAGACCTATTGAGAAAGGACAGCGCAACGAAGAACGAGGTGCTTATGTTTATTCTAAGCATAACAAAGGATACCCCGCTGGGAAGAATTGTGGCAAACAACATTATACAGGACTTGGGAATATTTAAAGGCCAGAAGCCATCAGCCAAGCCTACAAAAAAGGCTATAGAGATGCCAAAGCAGGAAAAGCCGGTGTGGGTGAACCTATCAACGCAGGAGAAGGAGAAAGAGAAGCTAAAGGAGCTGTCTGAGTTGGAGCAGATACGACTTCAGAGCAAAGTGGACCAAGTTCTATCGATGCAGAATGAGAAGCTGACACACCCAATGATTACCACACACAAGCTGTATAAAAAAGTCATTTCTGTGTACAATGGTTTAAACATCTTCAGCGACTTCCTGAAGATAAAGGACATGACTTTATCCGAGTTTATATACGCGCTGTTTGCTGAAAAAGACACACCAAGGCTTGTGGACATATTTTCCAAGCTGCTAAAGGCTGTGTCTCATGAGAGAAGGAAGTCCGGAAAGGAGGGGCTTAAAGACATGCTGCATATTGCATCAAACGTAACATATGTAAGTGAGCCCATGCAGGAGATATTAAACATGGTTGCAGTCACGCCGGGGAAGGACACTGGCTTTACCCGAATACAGTGGTTTGCAGGCGATGCAACGCAGAAAAACTGGCAGATATACATTAAAAGCTTTGTATATGACATAATGAGTATCTATGATATAACTGTAAAGAGCAATGAGTTTATGCCGTACACAGCAGTAAATAATGAGCAGAGCATAAAATCAGTTGGTGTGGACAGACTGCTAATGATTATGTTTTTATTTGAAACAATAATACTTGGCATTAGATTTAGAACACACTATGATGCTCTTATGGAGGAGTACAAAGAGAAGGATCGAGAGAGAGTTTTGCTTGCGCAGGAGCTAAGAAGGCTAAAGGGCGAGGTGCTGGTGAATGAAGAGGCAGAGGAGGTAAAGAGATTAATAGAAGACGTAGAGAAAAAGCTTCTGAAGTTTAATGCAGACTGCAGACCCGAGATTGTTCGAAGCACAATCTCAAAGTATGGGCCCATTTGCTTTTTAGTGGTTGGTAGAGAGCTGCTCTACGAGTATAAGGAAGAATTCTTTGCTATAAAGAAGGATATGCTAAATTCATTTATATCGATTTTTGACTCGGATAAGAAAAAGGATGCCCAATTTATAGACACGATTAAAAAATACTTAAAAGTGATATAGCGAATGTAATTGGCTTAGTCTAAAAATAAACTCTATCGATTTAATATATATATTCAGTATAACCTTTGGCTTGCTGTCCTACAAGATAACTATGTAGCTAGGTATAGCCTGAATTGTGTCTGCATGCCAAGAGCTTTAATAAATAAGCAAGTATGCCATGAGTATGCCATCTGTTCATGAAGTATATAGCTAAAGAATCTTTTATTTAAAGCTGTATCCTTCTCTAGCTTTGAAATTGATTTTTAAATTACTCCTAGCTTGCTTCTACATCTACTTTAGCATTCGTATATATACTGAATATAGTAGCAGGCGATATGCTAGGCCTTATGTAGACAGATGGGCAGCAAGCAGAGAGAACACAACAAAAACAGTGTGCGCCTGCTTGTAGCCATAATAAATTTAAAAAAATGTGGGTTTAGGATATTCGAAAAGTTATATAAAGATATTCCTTATTTATAGAATGTAAAATAAACTTTGAATATTTTGTTTACTCTACAGAACTTTTAAAATATGCAGAGAGAAATGAGCGATATTTTAAATGCAATAACTAAAGAGCAAACGCAGAAGAGTAGCACAATAAAGAAGGAGGCGCAGACAGCACAGCAGCTAATTGAGCAATACAGTGGGAAGGAAAAGGAGTTCTATCAATACATAAAAGAGAAAAAATTGGCACAGCTACCATTTATAAAATCGCTGCAGGAGATACCTGTCAAAAACAGACTATTCTTCCAATCTCTTCAAGTATTGCATAAGCTAATCACGCGAAATAGCATATCACAAGACTTCATTCCATACATTCTGGAAGAGTTTGAGAAGAAAATACAGGCACATCCTGAAGTCCAGCTAAGGGTTTTACAGCTGCTGCAGCCTCTTACAGAAGATCCTCTCTTAGTAAAGGGGTCTAATTTGCAAAAGCTTTTCAAAATAGGCATTCAGCTAATAAAAGCATCTAAAGATGCAGGTGCTTGCAAAATAACTGTATTTTATGTGGTTGAATGTATATTTGAAAGGGTTGGTGCTTTTAATAAAGAAAGCAGCGAAGACTTAGCAAATAAGGAAAGCGCAGAGCAGGATTGCTTGGTAATAATGAAGATTTCACTGGAGGCAGCAAAGGGGCCGGAGATCCTTGGACTAGATCTGCTTCTCACATGTGTTTCCAACAAGTTTTCAAAGGACGCAATAAGCAGCCCTGGAGGCGCTGAGCTCCTTGAAAAAACCATAGATTTTATAATGAAAGAAATTACAGAGAAAGATGCGGCGCGGATAAAAACCGCATTTGCAATATGCATAAAGATACTTACAAATGTCATTATGGATAAGCACGCTGGCTTAAGCATTCTTCTAGAGATAAAGCAGGCAGAAATGCTGCAGGAGAATGAAGTGCTAAAAGAGGAGTTTATATACGCCCTTCCGCATCATATAGTAATGGAGTGCCTAAAAAGCAGTAAAGAGCTATCGGAGGAAATATTTGACCTGGAAAGGGAAGGACCTCTTTTAGATATAATCCGAATAGGGGAGGGGCAAAAGATGTTACTAGCCATACAAGAAAAAGAAAAAAACAATGTTTCCGAAAGTAAGTCACTAAAAATGACAAAAATTGTTGAGATTGCATGCACACTAAAAGACCCCGAGATCCTGCCTTTGTTTATTCCATACTTTATCTATTTGATAGAGAATATAAGCTGTTCTACAGAAACATGGCCTGCACACACACTTTCAAAGTTGAAGAGTGCGGTTGAGAATTTAGTGGATGGCGCAAAGAATGAGCTAGGCATACTGAATATGCTGATTAGATCTCTCTATACTGCAGCAGAAAAGTACCCTCGTGTGTTTTTCAATCTAGCGTTTAAAATTACATTTTTACAATGCAGTACAATGACAGAATGGAAGGAGTTTTTTGCACTTTGTTCGCGCATCCAGGACAGCACACCAGAATTAAACTCGTGGAATAGCTCAATTGAGAGGCTTATGAAGTCAGATCCTGCATGCCTGAGGGTAGCTCTGCAGGGTGGATGTCAAGCTGCAAACATTCCGCTGAGCAGATTTCTTGCTCTTTTCTTTTCTATAGGGCATCGGATAGAGGATTTCCCTTGCGAGGCAATTGAATACATTGAAAAAATCTTTTTTCCAGGAACAGAGACTACAAAAAGCACGGCAGAAGAGCAGGTTGTATATTTCTTTAACGAATATTTCAAAGTAAAATTCACTGAGAAAATACATATAATGATATTTCCAGAGATAGTTCGAATATTCTCGCTGGTGAAGAACCAGAATAGAGACATTTCTCTTGCGAAGACTGTTTTGCAAGCGATCTCTGATGGAATAAAAAGAACGGGAGAAGCGCTTGGGAAGGGATGGGTTAGCCTGTATGAAATGCTTATGGATGCAGCAGAGGAGGAAGATCTTCGGAGGATAGTCTTTGAGACCATTAAAGTCATAACAGAAAGAATGCTGCTATACCTGCCAGATGGTTGTCTTATCTCAACACATAAATTGCTCTGCATGTGCTGCAAGCTTATAATAGAGGACAACATATCCTTTCAGGCGCTTTTCTCGATTAGAGACCTGACTGAGTACATTCATACAGAGAAAGACAAGGTTTCAAGAGAGCAGCAGATTGAAATATTCCACGCAACCATGTGTCTTTTGTGCAGCGTAGGATATGACCAAAGGGATGATGTAAGAGACTCTGCAATTGTTCAGGCGTTTGAAACCATCTACTTCTGCCAAAGACTAGATCTCCTTCCGTGGGACTCTCTTATTACAATATTTTTAAAGCGTCTTCTTTCTGCTGCAGTATATGCGAAAGAAAAAGAAATATACTCCGGAGAGTATGACGAGAAGTCAAGCGACTCTGATGATTTGCCAACTAATGGAACGTGTGTGTGCAAAGGAGTTGGAGGTTGCTTCATCCCGCCATATACTACAGAGAGCCATAATACTGCTAGATCACTTGAAAGCGCAAAAAAGATTCTTTTAGGGGTATCCAGCCTTGTGTTCAACCATTTCGAGGAAATGAAAGAGCATAAAGGCTTTTATTCTCTATGGAAGTACATTGGGCGGATATTTGTCAAGTTCTTTGCAGACCCAAATATGAAAAGCACAGTTATTTTAGCTGCAAGTCCTGGGCTGCAAAGCTCTCTTCCCCCAAAATACCGCCTTTCTCTTTTTGCAACAATCTCTGACATTTGTTTTCTATACACACAAACAGAAGACTCTCTGGAAACACTTGTTGAGATGCTTAAGCAGTCTTACAGGAGTATTCAGCCAGAGAGCAAAAACAGCGAGCATTCCACAGTGTTTTTCAAGACCATTACGCATCTATTGAAAAACAGCACAGTAGAGGAAAACCAAGCGCTTACCTTTCTGGAGTTTGAAGCACTTGAGTCTCTTAAGTCTGAAAGCAGCCAAACAGCTAAAATCAAGGTTCTTTTGGAATGGATACCAATCCCGCACACCCATCCCGAAAAGATATCAGAGCAGTTTGTTGTACAATGCATAGAGCAATTAGAAAAAGAAATTCTCGTGCATAAGGACATCCAGACAGACGAAAGAAGCGAATCCATTCGCATTCTTCTAATGTACCATAAGAAAAAAGACGTCCAGGTGCTGTGCTGGAACCGAGCAATGATATGTCTCCAGAGAATACTTGAACTAGAGGCTCAGAGTGAGGGAATAAGCCACTTAAAGCTGATATCTTGCGAGATATTTGGGCTTCCCTCTGAAGAAATAGATGATATCCACACTTTTCCTAAGCCTGCTATACAAAGCAAAGCTACAGAGCAGCGAATAAAAAAGGAGGAGAGGAGCATACAGGATCATCTGGTGTTTCTTGAGGCGCTGACTGAAATCCTAAAGGATGAAAAGGTTATGGAGGTATACACTGTTGTACGAAATCTCTGGGACTACACGGTGAGAATGAATCTGCACATCCTGCACTTGACCACCACAAAAACGCTTTGCCGCATCCTTACATCAAAGAAAGAGTTGGCGGTGCAGGCAGAGGACTGGATAGACTGCTGTTTACAAAACTACAACGCAAGCACGCGCATAGAAAGATCCAAGCACTCATTTTTCCAGAGGCAGGCTGCTCTCTATGTTTTGCAGCAGATACTTAGCAAAAAAATGCCAATTCCCAAATCAAAGAAATTTCTGCCTGAGCTAATTCTATGCATCTCATCAGATGCCCCGGATGTGTCTACAGTTGCTACAGAAGTACTAGAGTACTTTGTGTCAAATAAATAGATTGTATTTTGGGCATGTCAGTATTAGAAGAATATTATATAGACACTCTGTTTTTAGTGCATCCTATTATTATCTCTAAGCTAAAATAACACCTGCTTCTTTTGGAAAAATTCTGCATGAAGTGGTGAATGCCAGATATAAGGCATATGTCTACTGTTTTTTCATTGCTCCTAGAAATACTTTAGTAATACATATTTTTATAGCATTGTTTATTCTTTTAAAGCGGCAGAAAGATTGAAGAAAGGCCTAGCTCATTCCTTATAGACGGCATCTTTTGTAAGCACTAATGATTTATCTAATCTAGGCAAGCTCATGATGTTTTTAATGTTTTTGAGTATTTTTTCAAACGAATCATTTCCTCCTATGAATCGTCCATTAATAAATACAATGGGGACTGTTTTGTGTCCGTATGTTTTCTGGACTATTTCCCTTAGTTTTGTCAGCAATGGCTCATGATGTCTTTCATTAATTGTCTGTGTAAGATCCGCATATTTGAGCTTATCAATGGTGCTTAAGAATCTAACACAGAAAGAGCATGTGGTTTTAATTGCTGCAAAAATAGGCTTAGCTAGTATTAAGGCCTTAAGTTGCTCCATTTCAGAAGATACCTCTACCATATATACAAATAAAAATATAATTGCAATTATATAATTTCAGTGCTCCATAGGGCCACGCGCATAACAAACCATGCGAAGATACAACCGATTATTTTATTTTTTTTCTTGCGCCAAATGCATAATTAAAATAATCTGCAAGACATCTGATATTGCACAATAATACAGGCCTCCTGGCATGATGCCGCCGCATTCGGACTATTTAGTTACAGCCATTTCACCTGTGCCAAAATGGAAGTGTTTAAATTTTATCTAATTATAGAACTAGAAAATATCTTTTATTAAGATAGAATATCCTATGTAACGCTTTATAGTAAGAAGTGCACTGTATTCTGAAATAGCATATCAATAATGATTGCTGGTTTTCTCTTCCAAATAGAGGGGTTTATGTGATTAGTCTGCTCCTTTCAAGCTTTAGAGAGTCTTAGTGCATGTTTTGCATTCCTTTTTATGGCTTCCCCTGTAAATGTGTCTATTAATTTTCTTTTAGTCTCGTGAAATATAGAGAGAAGAAATCACTGTATTATAGATCGTTCGATCTTCTAGCAATCTTATCAGCTATCTGTGGCTTTAGATCGCTCTATTCGATTAAGCCATCCATGAATAGTTCAGAGTGTTCGATTAAGCCAAGAAGGCACCAATAAAAGCTGTTTGTTAAACTGTACTCCTGATGTATATTATTGGTTGTTTAATAAAATAGTGTATATATACCTCAACTCATCTATAGAGTAGAGTAATGAAAGCAATAGTTAAGTTTTTTATTTATGCTATGACATTGCTAACCATAGGTATAGCTCTTGGCGTATACATATATAACAAAAAAATCCATTTAAAGAAAAATAATCTGCAGGGTAGTGGCTCTACTCCTAAACTGTTAGAAATCCCTTCAACTGTTAATAAAAATAGGGGAAACCCTACAGATCTAACTAATAATAGTACTCCTGCAGATGATTTAAATAATTCACATAAGGACGAAAACTCAAATAGTTCATATGAGGATCAAAGCTCAAATAACGTATATGTGGAACGTGCAGCAGACAGTTCACATGAGGACTGTTCTGAAAATAATCCACATGAGGAACAAAGCTCAAATAGTCTATATGAGGACTGTAATAAAAATAATCCACCTGAGGAACGAAGCTCAAATAGTCTATATGTGGACTGTTCTGAAAATAATCCACATGAGGAACAAAGCTCAAATAGTCTATATGAGGACTGTAATAAAAGTACTTCTGCTAAAATGGAAGAGGATGATAACAAAATGGAATCTAGTGAAAACAACTCTACGCCTAAATCTATAGAAGAACAAAAGCAAGAACAGAAACCAGAGGGTTCTAGTACTACTGTTAATCCGGTCTCAAATTTGTCTGGTAGTGAATCTAGTACCAAAGTCATTACAAAAGATGCTAGTCTAGAAACTATTATGGATACAGAGGTGCTTTCAGAAGAAAATTCCGAAACACAGCAGATTCCTTCAGAAGAAAATCCTAAAAAACAGGACGTGCCTTCAGAAGAAGATGAAGAAAGTGGTATGACTGAAGAAGAGGAGCTTAAAGATATGTTTGGAAAGATATGTACGACATATGGTAATGATTATATACCAGATGACTATATTAGTAACGAAGAAACTCAAAAAAATATTTTAAAGTGCTTTAATGAAGTTGTAATAGAGGAGGATTATAAAGATGACAAGCATAACCACATAACTTTGAAGGATCTTTTAATAGAATTAAGTAAGATACAAGAGAAAAGTAATGATATTTTACCTTTAGGCTTGAGATATGTGTCTTTTAAATGTTCACCTTTATTTAAAGAAGATAAGTATATGCATCGCTTGTTATTGGGCTACTATAACAGGAAAAATGGCTCTCTAGATAAATTAAAAATAGAAGGCTTT